TCTGTCCGAGTCCGATTGGAAGCCTAGACGAACTCTCATCCTGGCATTCGGATTTGATGAGGAAGTTGGTCTCAATCAAGGGGCTGCGTTGATCAGCAAGATTCTCAAGGAGAGATATGGTGACGATAGTATTGCTATTATCCTTGACGAGGGCGGTTTTGGCTCGGGACCTCTTGATGGCAATACCATATATGTCCACCCTGCAATCACTGAAAAGGGCCATTCCAATCTCTTCTTCGAGCTTCACGCCAAGGGTGGCCACAGTTCTGTCCCCCTACCGCATACTGGAATTGGCATTATTTCCGAGATTGTTGTTGCGCTCGAGGCCAATCCGTACCAGCCTAAAATCATTAAGAACAGTCCCATCCACAAACGTCTGATTTGTCAAGCGCGATACTCTCCTAACACCCAGCCCACGGTGGAAGAGCTACTACGAAATAATGACTTTGATGGACTCAGTGCTGAATTTGCCAGTACTAGCCCATTGAACCGCTTTGTTGTTCAAACCTCACAGGCTATTGATCTAATCAAGGGCGGAGTGAAAATCAATGCCATGCCAGAGGTCGTTACCCTAGCTGTCAACTATCGCGTTGCGCACCATGAAAGGCCGGTACAAATCCAACACAAGGCTATCCAAGTCATTGCAAACGTAGTTGAGAAGTATGGTCTTCAGGTGGATGCATTCAAAGGCGACAAAGAATATCAGGATTTTGTCGCAGAGCTTTATCCCGGAGATATACTACGTCACAGCGATCTAAAGCGACGTGATGAAGTTGACTATAACGGTACTCTCGTTATCCGAGCCACAAAGGCCGAAGCCGCACCGGTGTCTCCTGTTAGTGGCCCTGTTTGGGATGTTTTCTCGGGGACAATTCGACACTCCTTTGCAACAGACGATAAGACTGTCGTTCCAGTCGGAGACATCATGACCGGTAATACCGACACTAGACATTATCTCAGTAAGTCTTACTCTGGTTGAGGGCATGTCATACATACTCATATTGACGGTATTGTCAGGCCTCTCCCGCAGTGTATTTAGGTGGACCCCAGCGATCAGTCGGGGACTGGACAATATTCACACTGTCGATGAGCGCGTGAGTATCTTTGACCACTTGAGCGCCGTTAGATTCTACTATGACTTCATTCGCAACTTCGACACTGCAGATGTATAAGAATACATGCTTCTCACTTAGCCAAAATGGGTTCATGGAATCTACCATAATGAATTGCAATTGGATTGAAGGCTAGCTGACAGCGAAGCTTCTACTGAAAGGCGTTATACCGCTATTTCCATAGGGGCTCAACTGTGCCAACAAGTTTTACCTCTTATCTATATATTCTAGAACTAATAAACCTATCGAGGGGCTGTGTGTAGGCCAATAGACTGACTGTTCTAGATAGGGGCCCGTGACCCAATGATACCTATACTATTCTAGCACAGCTAAGGATCAGTGCAGTTCCAACGCCGACTCGAAGGCTTCTCACCCTATTCCCACTCTGTCTGTTCTCCGTTAACCCTCATCACCTTGTAGCATGATACGTATGACCATAGGGTGTGCCCACCTGATGCGTCAAAAATTATACTGTACACATGGGTCTCTACTATTAAATACCAATTGTTCCTTTTTATTTTCTTCATACGTATTAAAGCCCTATTGATATCAAATCGTAGAGGTCAGCTCAATTCTTTTTTGTTAAAGTATATGTTAGAGAGCCTCAGGCTCCTACGTCTTAGTCATCCAGCTAGAGCTCCGCAAAGCCCATAAAGCCCATAGCCTAGCCCAGCCCAACCCGCAAATAGGGTGGGTTTTGGGCCTTAAACAGTACAAATATGCCGAGAATTCAGAAGTTGCTCGTTTAGGGATTTTTAAATTACCCTTCGTTTTACCCCTGTTTCTAAGCCTTATTTTAGAGGTAATATTCTATTAGTTTAAATTATTTGGAAATAATTACTAGTTATCTCTCTATATCACGTTTAAAAACACGAGAAAGCGCGTTATTTAGATAATTTATAAATTATAGAAGTTCACTTAGAAAGTAGTAGTACTCCCGTTTAGCTCCTAGATATATATCAAGTGTCAAAAGATTAATGTTACCGTTTTTTCTAGTATCTCCACCTCTCCTTATTAGATTTTGTTTAAATTTGAAAAGTTACTTATATAGCTTGAAAATACTAAATTCTAAAAATTTAAACTCTATATAATAAGTAGAAGGTTAGAATACAGCGATTATAAGATACTAGGTAAACCCCCTCATGGGCTTTAATGGGGGCCTTCTGGGCTCCCACTAATGAGCTGTGTGTTGGGTTGAGCTTTGGGCCCAGGATCCGGGCCCAGGATTCGGGCCCATTTATGGGCTTTGCAGAACGCTACATCTAGCACCACCACCATGTTTGTGTAGTTAGCGTCTCTAGATAGCTTCACCCAATCACCTATCTATCTGCATGTTCATCTCATCTATGGTAGCATGTACCACAGCCTCTCAGCAGTATGTGTCAACATTCACTAGCTCCAAAAAATCGGAATCTTGGCGAGATAGAGGCTCCTGACTAGAAGATGCCTTGATATTCCCCCCAATTGAGAGATTTTTGGAGCGCGGCGGACGATGCAGCCCCTGACTTCTATCATAGGTTTCCGATTTGACCTGATGCGAGTTTTGAATGCCAAAACAAGTATAGAGAAGGCGATTAAACAACCGGCGAATTGCCGGCATACTGACACAGAACACTGCTGTGTAGCTTTCGATGAGTGACCAGTATGCAACTGGTACATAATCATCTGCGGTCATACATCAGCACGTTTGATCATCTTAATCTCTAGCCTTGAAGGATATCTCATACAGGTTGCATTGGTTGTATGGGCAAATGTCACCACTGACTTGAGACGAATGATGCTTACAATGGTGATGCTGAAATTGACCAAATTTTGTCAGTAGTCTATTCGCATAGCTAGGAAAGTTGACTCACAAAAATCCCGTGCAAAACATAAACATGACCAAGATTTTCTTCATTGGTCTAAGGTTCAGCTTCATGATCTCGTGGAGAGGCAAGGCCATGACGGTCACATCGAGAACGATATTGATCACTGCGCACCCAATCCCAAAGGCATTGAAATCGAGGCAACTACCCTTTGTTTCACCTGTCCAGGAGGTCCAGATATAAGACACAGGTAAACAATTAAAACAAATTCCGAAGAAAAAGGCGAAGAAATAAGCGACCACTATTCCCATCACGATGTATATCGCATTTCGAAGGCCGAAATTTGGGAAAATATGGAGATAGAGATTGAGGAAAGCCATCTTGATAGAGGTAATTGCGCCAACATAGAGCATCTCGACGATCCAATTGTACTAGAGAAAATTGTGAGTTCTCGTAACAGTGTTAGATTCTACGTAGACGGACCTTCAGGATAAGGGTAATATTTGAGAAAGATATTGTCCAGATATCTCGTCCATAACCGGCATCAACCACTTGATTCGAAAAATTAGTACCAGGAAGTAATGTACATCGACAACTGCGGAATACTCACTGAAGAATTCCAGTATACCCATCCCAACACTGAAAAGCTACGAGAGTCAACAGGAGCCATCATGATTGCTTGCGGATAAGTTTTTACTATTCCAAATATTACAAAGATGTCTTCTAGACCAAAATGCTTGCGGAACTCCAGACTTCGAATAAAGGTTGCAACAATTGCTAACCCCCCAAACACCGAATTTGTGATGGTGATAAAATTGGCCTTGTTGCGGATTGGGCTATGGCACATGGTACTCGTAGCGTTTGCCGTTGCTTATTTAATAGATCAGCTTTGCCCAGGTGCTGTGTTTTCCCGGTTTTAAAATGAGCGGTATCCTACTTAGACTATCCTTGACGGTGCAGACCATTTGCACACAAGCTGTCAAATCGGCTTGCAGCGAGGCATCTGCGCAGATACAAGTGGTATTCGTCAAAGTACAAGGGGAATCTTTGATTCCAATAGCCATGCACTCTATCTAAAGTAGAATATTAGCACAATTCAAAGCCAGGGATTAGAATTAATCTCACCGCGCAGGATGGCATATCTGATGCATTAGCTATTGCTGCCAGAAGCAGCGCGATGGGCATAATAGTCCCCTTTCTGTAGCATCGCATGTTGATTGTCGCTAAATGGAAGTAGTCATCGCCACAAGGAAGAGGAGAGGAGCCTGTCCATTATCCGCGCGGGCAACACCCCAGAGACCCAAGGGTAACGCCAGGATCACGTAGTAATCAATCTAAACTGACGATCAGGTCTTTTGGTTATTTGGCCCCATTTTAGCCTGACCGGGGTATGGCCGCCCTTCTAATACTGTTGTCCCAGTCATTCTGTCCGCCTTCAATGAAACTTCAAGCTATGGACTATACCAAATCACTCATACATATCGATGATACGATTTGGAATTCACAAGACTGTTCTTTGTTAAGTTTTGGGCGCATGAAGCGTGCCATTTTTGCCGTTTATTTCCATGAATTCTCGCAAGGCTCGCTACTCAAGACACTAGGCCCCCACTAAGCAGGAGCCCACTCAGCCTAGCGTCCCTAGCCTCGCAATAAAACCGAACCGGTTAAATTAATGGAAAAGAGCCAACATGTAACCCAATCATAAACGGTGTGTTTCAGGAGTCAGACTTAATCTCCCATTGCATTTTATCATGATATCCGGGGGGAATAGCTGAGTCTATATGTGGCCCCCGTACTACTATATATCCAATAAAATGTCAATAGATTTTTGTCTCGTGATCGATTGGCTAAGATAATACATTAATGACACCGTGCTAATTGTGCTCTCCGGGGACGGACGAGGGGATAACGATACAAAGGATGATCCAATTTAATCAGAGCCAATAGATTACTACGAATACGTACCTATGTTGTAGGTATGTCTAGTGTGGGCCCCACTTATACAGGATAATCAGTCAAACTTGACATGGGTTGAAAACTCTCTCTCCTACAGTCTATTATTTACCAGTTGTTCGGATTTACAATGGGAAATTTCGAAATATTCGACTGGAAACTAACATTCCACGACTTGCTGCACGGCCTCGGTCTTGTGATTGCTACATATTGGACTGGATGGATTGTCTACACACGGGTGTTCCATCCACTTGCACGATTCCCAGGTCCATTCTGGGCCTCTGTGTCACGAGCCTGGATTGTGCGCTCCGTGATTCGCGGCAATCCCCACGAAACTCAAAGGTTGCTACATGCACGGTATGGTACGATATTCTCCGCCTAGTTTAAGCTTGTGCTCTTTTAACCGTTGTTTACCAGGCCATGTTGTGCGAATTGCCCCAAATGAGCTTTCAATAAGCGACCCCGAGGCCATCAAAATCATTTATGGAGTGAATTCAGGCTTTATAAAGGTCAGCGAATAAGAAGAGAAAAGAAAGGAAAAGAAATGCCGTTGGCTTCAAGAAAGGAAACTGACTTTTCGGTAGAGCGATTTCTATCTGGCTTTTCGCGCACCATATAGTGAGATATTTCTTCAGGAGCATGAGCATTGTTGACCAGAACTAAAATAATTTGCTCAAAAGCTCGATATCCAGATCATTTTACATCAACAGATGAAAAGGTCCATGCTCAGCGGCGCCGCATTGTGAACGGCGTATATACTATGCAGAGCATTCTTCAGTCAGAGCCCTACGTCAATAAATGCACAGAAGTTTTACTACAGCAACTTGAAGATATTGCAGACGCCAAAGCTTCCATTGACCTGCTCGAGTGGACACGAATGTGAGCAATACTATTAATTTCATTGTTATCGATATCTAACAGTAGACTAGGTACGCTTACGATGTTATTGGCGAGCTTTACTTCAGCAAAATGTTCGGTTTAATGAAAGCAAGAGGCGAGCATCTTGGGATAATGAAGTCCACTGATACACTGATTCCGGCCATGGCCATTTCAGCTGTTATGCCATCGTACCTCCGATCTTTCTTCATGCTTGTTGGGGTGTTGTTTGCCGAGACCCGCAAGGCCCTGTCTGCCTTGAATGACCTAGCGACCGCAGCGGACTCTGCTGTTCAGAGTCATGTTCAAGCGTCGAGTTCTGATGACAGTGTGATTCGACGTACTGATATTATATCTAAAGTATTCAACATTCATCGAGATCAAGGTGAGAAGCTTGATTTCCAGATCGATGATGTGAAGCTCGAGGCTTTCGGAGGATAGTATGTTTGATTGATACCTGGAGGAAGAATCCGGAAAACTGACAGCTTTTTAGTTTTGCTGGTAGTGATACCACGGCAATTCATCTTTCCACGACTTTATACTATATCTTGAAGAACCCAGGAGTCTACGCAGCCCTCAACAACGAGATTGTTCAGGCCACACAGCGTGGCGAATTGAGCTTTCCGCATATATCGTACCACGAAGCGAGCAAACTGCTTTATTTGAGCGCGTGTATTAAGGAAGGCGCTCGTTTGCATCCTAGTGTGGCACTTACAATGCCTCGGAAAGTACCATCAAATGGTTGCAGTATTTCGGGGCAGTGGATTCCCGGCGGAGTCCGTGTGGGAATTAACCCGACTGTCGTGCAACTCGACAAAACAGTCTTTGGAGACGATGCGGAGGAATACAACCCGGATCGATGGCTGAAGCCAGATGCCGATAAGATGAATAAATACATTCTCCAAGTAAGTTAATACAACGAAAGCTTATAACGTGGGTTGACCGTCTTGGTTACAGTTTGGAGCTGGGTCAAGAATGTGTATGGGAAAGAACGTAAGTGCAATCACTCTGCCACAAAACTTAGGCTCTAGGTTGACCGCTGATCAGATATCGCTGTGCGAACTTTACAAGGTCATCCCAGAGCTGCTTCGTTCGTACCGCCTTGAATTATCAAGCCCAGAGAAGGATCTAGAGACCAGCGGGTTTTGGTTCTACAAGCCAGCGCCCATGCACATCCGCATCTATCGAAAGTAGTGGAGACGATATTTTAAAACGTCTGGGGAAACTAAATGACCACTCTGACTTGAGGGGCATATTTCTTACAGTCATCGGCTCGTGATTCTCAATTCTTGATCTCAATTTTATTTCTGATCCAGGGGGACCCGGGATTACCTTAATATTAGAGATATTACAAGCTCAAAGTAAGACATGAAGAGGAATCACCGTTTTTGAACACAGCATCCTGAAAGAGCTGTCTCACTCAATTTTTGCTGCTGTGGGCAGGAGTGACGTAGGCATTTGTTTAAACGGACATTTAGCATACAAGCAAACATCAGCGTGCCAGTTATCACAGAATAAATGACCCTCAAGGCTATACCGATTTGGGAATAGCTAGAGCTATACTTGGAAATAAACGCCGATTAGATGTAAAGCGTCGTCAGGTAATTAAGCATTAAGTGATCGTTGAGTAATGTACTTATGTATGATTAATGAGCAACCCTGATTAGCCCTGGAGCCACTGAGCGATCAGTAACCATTGGTCATTGCTCACACGACTCAACTGATTTGATCACTGAGTCTGAGCCCGTGCTGACATCTACTCATTGACCTTGAGCCTGGGTGCCATCATGAAAGCGGCGGTAGCCGAGAAAGGAAAGCCCATCCGCCACATATTTTTACGTCTGTATCGGTTGCCGTTCTGATCGATGGAATGACGCATTATCCATAACCACGACGGGTTTCGGTTCCGGCCATCGTCCACAGTGCTGAAGAAGTTGAGCTAAAAAGTCTTCGAATACAGTGCCATCTGTTGCTCCACGGAATAATTGCGAGAGGAGGATCGCATCCTGGGCATACGCAGGTATGATCTGATATCGCTGGTGGCGATAGAACTGTGATACCTGCAAACAGGCAACGCCAAATGGCGACCAGCCTTTGCGCCTAAACCCAGCCCTCTTATCACATCCTGATTCATCCACATAAACTAGATGATACGATTTAAAATCTGACAAATTATGGAGATAAATTTCTCGCAAATCAGTATTGAGCTTTTTTTCATGCTGCCGGGCCGTCTTTTTCGACCAACCTTTGGTCACTAGGGCTCTCCTGAGGCCAGAGGTTGTCATCGTCGTGCGAAACTCATCCCAGAGGAAGACAGCTATCTCATCGAGGTGCAGGGCCGGTTTTTCCGACAGGTGGTCGTAGAGCGCGTCGATCATTTAGGGTATTACGGTTGGCTCACTCGCCGGGCCGTTTTGATGTATTTTAATAACAGGTCACAAGAGGAACGGAAACCTTTCAGATCGCATCAATACCACCATATATGCTTTACAAGATCAGCTGAACTCGTAACAGTATGATTCGGGAATTGAAACATGCGGTAAAATATCAACATTGCTAAATAATTGAAAACATGCGGAAATACCCGCTTCGCTATATACCACTGCTGCAAAAACAAAGCACGTACTAAATCACCCTCACTCTCATGCACAAGTACCTGAAGCGCTGACGTGTCCCTTCCCCTCTGGTTCAAGGTTGGTGCAGCGGGTTCGCGTAAAAAACACTAGCATGCATCTCCAATACGCTAATAGCTAATGGCTAATAAATTGGATGGATACGGAGTACGGAGTAATGATTTCCAGCTTCATGGTTGCTTTTTTTGGGCCGAGCTGATCAAATGTTCTTCCATTAGAGGGGGTATCCTGAGAATTAATTACCGATCGTTAGCTTGAATACCCTTGCTGGAATGGCACGACAAATCTGATTCAAAAGTATTCAGCCTGAGTCTGTATCAGTGCAGCATCAAAATAAAAGGAACCATCGAAGTGGTTATCCGAAATTTGTCTCCGGAGGTTTGAAGATCCCGACGTGTCTCAATACCCCATGCCGGTAGATCGCGCGCCGAACCCATGTTCAAAGTGTTGATTCGTCGATCGGGATCTGTATTATTCCCATGAGCAGGAGTACGGAGTAGAGACGTGATCAATAACATTGAAGCTGCATATCCCCCACTAGCTAATGTTCAGAAACAGGGTATTTTCTTTTCTATGCCCACCTTTACATATCCCACATCTCTCGCACCTGAATAAATCTATTTCTCATTCCCACGCAACCGAAACTTGCAGGTTTCTTTCAAATCAAATTTCAGACCGAAACGCACATTGGACCTGCTACCTTCACCATGGTCCAAAGTCATCATCGGCCCAGGGCCCGAGCTAAAAAGCATCATCATCTTTCCGAAGAACCACTTTTAGTGGATACTATCCAGTCCCTTAAGTCAAAATTGCCGAACGCATTGACCGAAGGACCAGTCCAATATATCAGGGACCTCATTCAATCTCATGCTGCCCTCTCTCTCAGAATCGATTACGATTGTCCTGCCTATGATGATTACTCCAGGACCGATATTCCACTTTTGCACATTGCCTCAGCATTCGGCCCACCCGAGATAGTACGACTGCTATTGGAGTTGGGCGCGAACATCAAAGAGACCACAGAAGCAGGCTCTACCGTCCTTCACCTTGCGGCCCGAAATGGCAAAAATGAGAATTTGAAGATACTGTTCGAACATGGCGCCAAGGCTCTTGTTAATGTAAAGATGCGAGGTCAACGATTCCCACTGAATCAAGCGGCCTGGACTGGACAGACCGAAACTTGCAAGACGCTCATCGCACAAGGTGCCGATACAGGATTGAAGGATGTTGATGGACGAACTGCACTGATCTTTGCGGCGGATCTGGACCATCTGGGGGTGATAAAGACATTACTAGATGCAGGGGCTAATGTTAACGATGTTTGCAACGCACATTGGACAGCTCTGCATTTTGCCGCGAAGAAGAACCGACCCGAAGCGATCAAATTGCTTTTGACTCGAGGTGCAGACAGCACACTGCAAGAAGGTGACATAGGAAATCCTCTACACCTTGCGGCGATGGAAGGTTGTAAAGATGCCACTGTGGAACTTCTATCACAAGCTCCGAATCATGACATCAATGCCAAAAATGTCTGGGGAAGCACCGCCCTTCATTTGGCAGCCCGATATGGACAGCCCCATATTGTCCAGAAACTTATCGAACATGGCGCTGACAAAGATTTCCTCAACAATGATCTATCGACGCCACTCCATATCGCCTGTTCTGAAAGGAAGTTGGATGTGGCTAAAGTCTTAGTTCAAAATCATTCACTCATCGATGAGTACAACAGGCAAGGAAATACACCACTTCAACTAGTTGCCAGCAATGGAGAGGCTGAGATAGTTTTACTCCTGTTGAACTCCAAAGCTGATGTGGATACGAACAACAAGATTGGAAATACCTCAATCCAGCTGGCTTCTGCCAATGGTCACCACAAGGTTGTTCAAATTCTCCTAGACCACAATGCAGCAGTTGGAACAAGAAACAATCAGCAAAGTACGCCCTTACATCTAGCATCCGCCAATGGGCACATAGAAGTCATGCTGGTACTTCTTGCGCATAAAGCCAGTTTAACCAAAGTGGATGAGGATGGAAGTACCCCTCTTCATCTTGCAAGTGCTCATGGCCAGGCAGACGCTGTAGATCTCCTCATTGACAGGAATGCGGGCATCAATGCAAAAACCTACAAGGAAACAACAGCTTTGCATATGGCTGCACATAACGGACATCTTAAGGTGGTAGAGCTTCTCTTGAGACGGGGCGCTGAGGTCGACCCTGTCGACTGTAACGGCGACACCCCTCTTCACCAAGCTTGCGTTCAGAAGAAAACTGCAGTGATGGATTATCTTATCGCGCAGGGGGCAAATATACACCAACCCAACACTGGGACTTCAAAGCGGACCCCTTTCGCTATTGCATGCTCTGAGTCGTCCCTGCGACCATTTATGCCCCTTCTCAAAGTGCGAGATGGTCTCCTGCAAACTGACCCAGATGGGTGGTCAGCATTACATTATGCCTCCTGGGATGGTGCGAGTTTGTCCGTGAAGGAACTTCTCGAGGATACTGACATCGATCCTTCAATATGCACTCATAATGGCCAAAGTGCCTTGCGGTTGGCTATTGACAAGGGGCACGTTGAAATTGTGTTGGAGCTGTTGAATTCCCAACCATACTACCCAGAGACATCCGTTGATTCCTGTCCCTGCCCGACAGCTGAAAGTGAAATTCAAATAATAGCGGAAGGCCTGGCAAAGCTTCTTGTTCCTACAGACTTTGAATTAGGCGATCGACTGACCGCTATAATGTACTGGGCAATTGTGAATGGTCAGTCCTGCTTGATAGATCGATTCCTTACAATGCGTCAAGGTGAGCATCCGCAACTAAAAAGGGGCATGACCTGCCTTCATGTCGCTGCTCAGCATGGCCAAGAAGAGCTTACCAAGAGCCGCTTTTGTCATCTGGACCCTTTTACCAAGACGGATGACGGATTTACATCGTTCCAAGTTGCAGCCGCATCAGGCCATCGTGGAATATTAGAAAGCCTTTTGGGTCGGTTTTCTCAATCACCGAAATCACAGATCGAGGCCATAATCATGAAATCCAATGAGCGGGAATCATGTGTCTCGCTGGCGGTGAAGAAACGCAACACCGAGATCAAAGGGCTTCTTTGGTCTAAACTTGATAGCTTGGCCATCAAAAAATCTGAATTCTATTCAGAGAATCAAAACCAAGCAAGCCAAATACTCGAGCTTGCTGCTCAATTTGAGAAACCGGGAAAAGAGGACTATCTGCAAAGGATGTTTGAAACTTGGTTTGAGGGGCCCAGCCTTAACCTGAATGGACATACAGTTCTTCATCTCGCTATATACCATCGCCAGGTAGTAGTTTTATGGTGGCTTCTGTCCAATGGAGCACATTTCAAAACCGAGGAGATCCAACTTGCTCATGATATGCTTCACAGGAACACTGGTTCCTTGAACACGCTGATGACGGAGCTAATTCACAACCCCCCTCCAATCGTTGAATACACTACTATCACAGAGAGTGACCAGCCACCAGCACGTCCCACAAAGTCTGACAGTTTGACTGTCTTGCAAGAACTCCCTGTGACCATAATTGATTTCTACGGCAACAAGACAATTGCCGATCTTCACCACACAACGAGAAGTGTCAAGGAACTCATATATCAGACCAGTGGTCCAAATGAGATAATGAAATCGTCCATGAGGAAGGGTCATCGCCAATTGGACTTTTTGAAGCAAGATCTGGCTAACATGATTTCCGGGCAATCCGGCGACGGATTCACAGTTCTTGCGCCACATAAGATGGATTTAAACAGCGATCACCATGCACAGTCAGACCCTCCAACTGTCTTAGGCGAACTCAAATTTCGATGGCTTCACGTGCCAGCCAATCAAGTAAGGAGATTCCCATTGAACCTAGCGTGCTAACTTTCTGACACAACATTTTGAGTAGATGCAATTGATGAATGTCTGTATTTTTTGAACACTACCGCAAACCAAATATCAATTAACAAATCCAGGACCTTGCTACGGTCGTCTCGATTGAAGAAGGTAAAACGGAAAAGCAATGCCGTTCCTTTACAACATTCTTCAGTCGCAGTTCAACCTGGGTAGCTGCGGGCCAAGGGAGGACATGTATGCAGCCTCAATGCAAGGTAATTTTCTTGGTGATTTTACATAACCTCCATCTAATTCTGTACATTAGAGAGAGTTTACCCCCTACGCCGAGCAATATGATCCGAAAGAAGAACCCGTGCAACGAAAAATAGACAAGCTCGCCCTCTATGCAAGTGAAATATTCTTTTCTATTATGAGCTCTCCTAATCCATAAACAGATCCCCTTCTTGAGTATAGGCAAGTTCATACCCCAGTTTGAAAACGACGAAAAACATGGCGTGCAACAGGTCAATTCACAGAAAGGTAACCAGGCAATATACCAATTCCCATCGCCTCAAGAAGCGCTTCACGAGGCCATGACTCTTGACCAGTATTTTTACCCAACTGAGGACACATACAAACGAGACAGTGACCAGGTTGTCTCAAAATACCTCGACAGAGTAAAAGGCGAACCAAACAAATCGAGTAAGGGCAATCAGAATACAAAGCCCCCTGACGCCCCATCTGGTGAATCGAGTGAGAGAACGATCCTGATGGTAGACCAGCTGTGGATGTGGATTATCGACGGCCGTATGAGCATCCCCAAGTAGCTTTCTATTTTCACGACATCGTCTAACAGAGATAGGTACAATTATAACGACTTCCACAAAATCATCAGATCAACACGATGACATTCTATCTGCCGGAATACGTGAATTCGTCATGTCAAATCAGAGCAAAAGCACCCTTGAACGTGTCTCAAGTGTCGAATCGATGATTGAAGTCATTTTAGGAGTAGCGACTGGCTTGTTTTTGGACAGGAATATTCCGACTGGAAGGATGTCTACTGTGAAGAAACGAGAAAAGAAAAGCACTTTGGAGATTTTTCGGGAGTCGATCAGGACCATCGTGCGTAAAAGTCCCTGTCTGTGTCAGGTGCTCTACTAATGAAGGCCGACGACAGGCGGATGCTGAAACTAAACTATTCAATGAATTTCTCACAGAGTTGAACAAGGAAAAGGGAAAGCCTAAAGAGAACAACCGCAGGCTGTTAGCTCTTGACATGGCTGAGAATCCTTATCACATTGTTTCCAAAGAAGCTGAACTCCTGAATGAGATCAAGGACATTCATGACGAGCTCAACATGCTTCGTACACTGGCTGAATCCCAACAAAATGTCTGGGAACAATTCTTTCAGACAAAGGAGCTGGAATCATTTCCTGACTTCCAGTTTAGCGAGACCTGTACGCCGAACATGGTTCTACGAGATATCCAGAATATGATGACCGAGACGGAGATGGTGCAGAACTCTGTATGTCAAGCTTCAATTAGTCGAATATCTTGATGATCGAACTGCTGATTCCATTTAGATCAATACTCTTTTGGACCTCCGAACGAACCAGGCCGGCCTCAAGGAAGCCGAGTTTGGACGACAACAGGCTTATGATACTGCGAGACAAGCAAATGTCATCTTCGTATTTACCATAGTCACGATCATCTTCGTACGTCCAATGGCCCCCGGACCAGTTTTGATTCCATACTAACATAACACTTCCAATATCAGCTCCCTCTTTCCTTCCTATGCTCTTTATTTGCTTTGAATGTGGCCGAGTTTCCACGTGTTTCTGGAGCTGTCGAGTACCATGCATGGTGGATATTTCCAATTCTGTGTATGTGCTTAAAATGCTGCGAGATGCACTTAGGCTCTAATACTGATATGATGTTGCAGTCGGGGTCTCGGGCGCTGTTTCTCTCCCATTGATACTTCTTGCGTTCAATTTCGACAATCTCGTCAAGCAGTGGAATCGGATGAAGCACGAAACTAAAAAGAAGAATGGGAATAGCAACGGCTCGGAAACAGCAAGTGTGTCTCAATCGAATAGCACGGATGAGCGAGGGGCAAGTATACAAGGCTCTTCATCCCAGGAGGAGATTTCAGGTCTCCCAAAATCCGTTTTAAGCCTCATAAATCATGGCTTCCGGCAGCGTCGAAGCCCCCAAAACATTTGCTAAAATCCTGCCCTGGCTTTGATATTATGTACATCCTTTGATATATAGCTTTTTGGATACACGAAAATCAACGATGGTATTTATACACCCCCATCCTATGTGTATCCTCTATTTCCCTACTTTCCAATATAAGCCAAAGAATTAAATCGATACTTCCCAGAGATATTTAAGTAGCGAGTTGCCGCAAAGCGCTTCGTTCCTGACTTACACCACCCCAAACCTTGGAATTGAGAGCGGATATGATAAAAAGGCTTCTCAGTTGAATTTCTTGCATTTCTTATTTCATCCAATATTTATTTAAATAAATATGCCAGCCACTTCAAATTGCTGGACCTCACTGGATATACATCGCAAGATCGGCTGAATTCCCGACTCGGCAAATGAAAAATGCAGTAAAATATCACTATTGCTGAATATTTGAAAATATGCGAAAACACTGGCTTCGCTATATACTACTCCTGCAAAAACAAAGCATGTACTATTCAATCACCCTGACTCTAGTCGGCAACCCCAGCGACGGCTTAGCCGTGACATCCAAAACCTGATACATGAACGTCCCTTCCTCATACACAATCTCAAAATCAAACGTCCGCACCGTCATCACCAAGGCAATCTTCAGCTGCATCAAAGCCAACGTCTGGCCCAGACACATCCGTGGTCCCTTCTCGAACGGTCTCCACGCGTCACGCGGCACAAAGTATGGATCCGCGGGATCAGTAACGAGGTGCCGTTCGGGATAGAACCTCTCTGCCTCCTTGAAGAGATCTTCCCGGCGCATGGTGGCGCAGTTGTTGACGAGCACTGCGAAGGGATATGTGGGCCACTCTTTGCCATCTGCGAAAAGGGTTTGGTCTTGTTGGCCGCGGCGGAGGCTGACGCCTGTTGGGGGCCATAGGCGGAGGGCTTCTTTAATGACTGCGAGGGTGTAGGCGAGGTTGTTTAGGAGGTTTGGGTCATTGCGGAGGATATTTCCCGCAGCGGAGGGATCAGTGCCAAAGAAGGCATTGTGTTCTTGGCGGAGAGTGTGGAGGACTTGGGGGTGTTTGCTCAGGGCGGCGTATGTGTACTGAAAATCATTAGTGTTGACGGAGTAAAAGGGTGAGAAGGGCTTACGCAGAGAGTGCTGGCTGAGGTGTCATGACCGGCGAAGATGAGCGTCTTGACGGACGCGATGAGCATGTCTCGCGTATATTTGTCTACAGAGTTATTAAGTGGGATAGTCTTGTTCAGGGTTCGGCTGGTAGCAATGGCGTCGTCGATGGCGTAGTAGATAGCCTTTTCGCTTGGAATTGCAGTTGGGCCGCTTATGACTCGTTGGTCTACCAGACGGCCAACGTAACGGTCTAGAGCACGTCCGTTGCTCCACTTCCGATAGTATCGCCGGGGGCTGACATCGTAGAGATACCGAGACCAGAAGTCCTGAGGTACCATTGCAGCCTGTTTCCTAAAGAGCTCGAGGAATTCATCATCATCCCTCTGCGCGTTGCACTTGATTCCCCTGTGCTTTGTTAGTTGATGTTTGATCAGCAACAAAGGGCGTGTAGCTTACAAGATTACCCAAACCGAGATGTTGAATATCATCCTCGCACCCAGATCTTCCATTTTGAAGATGTCATTTTTTGCAGAGTGCTCTCTTAGAACACCAGCAAAAGCTAACGCCTCTTCCACAATAAACGGGATATGTTGCTGCAGCTTCCGCGGCTGGAAGCCCGGAGTGAAGGACTTGCGAGCTATGAACCAGTCATGTCCGTTTGCAGAGACCATAGACTTCTCGCCAAGGATAGGACCAGTCCACTTCTGCATGATGGCAGATTCCTTGGGAAGATTCATCTTTTGGACGATCTGCGTGGCCAGTTCTGGGTGGGCAATGACAAGCTGTGGCGGCGCGAGCGGCCATAGATCAAGATAGAAGAAGTCACCAAGACCGTATCTCTTTCGCATCAAGTTCGCAAACAGCTGTGGGGTTGCATCAGGGGGTAGAGTGCTTGCAATGTCTCGCATGATCAGAAAGTGACCCCAGATAGGGTGATGCGGCGGCCCAGGGAGATTTTTAAACATGCCGCGTTGCTGGCGCAGTCTCACGAGGAGGTAGCTCGTGAGAGCGACTAGGACGAGAAATAGAGCGAGCATGGTTGTATTCGGGTGTTGAGGACCAGGAGTCGTCGCTGGTAGAGTAGATGCAGAGTTGGAGTGGTGAAGAGACTGCGAGGTAGGCCAGGTATTCAGCTCCAAACATACTTTTGAGTACGATTATCTTTGATTTTCTCGTGTTAAAAGTGAATCTATTGAGCTCTTATATATTCGCTCTTAAAGGGGCCAAGGCGGATTCTGTAATGGTTGTGTCGTGATGTAGCATCCATCTATTTCTGAATTTTTGCGGCCGAGTTGCCGTATACTAAGAATCGGTTGCAGACTGCATATCCTCTAAAAATAGCCCCTACCGGCTGAAAAACAAGGCCTGGCGGATGATTGCTTGGTATCTATGGCAGTGCTTGACTCCATACGAGAGATCAGTGCTGTGCGGGGATCGCCCCCACTTCTTATCACTCCATGTGTCTCTGGAGGTGGTATAGATCGGCATACGGCATCTGTTTAAGTTCATTGCTCACAATCCGTCGGGGCGTCTCCTGCATGACTAGTTCCACTTAGCTTCTACGATGTATGTCAGACGGGGGCCATGTGGCCGCAGGACTAATCTCAGGCCTCTGAAAAGAAGCAATCATAATCTTGGCATCTCGGGGGCGAATATTGAAGCAATTCGTAGTTATAGTTCATTACCGTACTTTTCACAACACTGTAGATAGAGAAACCTTTCCAGAATCTCCCCAACCTCAATTGTCGCGCCCGACTACTTGATCGTTTCCAAGCTCACCATGTTTGCCCTACGAGACGCAATCTACCTGATCGAACTGGCATTCTATGTCGCTATTGTCCCAGCTATCTTTTTTATTATTCTAATCCATGGCAACAAGCAACCCTACACTTGGCGTCCCATCTTGGTTCCCCTCATCATTCTTTCTGGCTTGCGAATCGCTGGAGCAGGCCTCGGCCTAGCCGTAATGGACCCCGCAAAATCCGATCTTTTACCAATAGCCACTCTCCTAGACACAATTGGCCTTGCACCAGTCTTGTGTCTCTTGATAGGACTTTTAATTCGAGCGTAAGTTGACTCCTATCCTGGACGCATCTTCTAACAGCAATTGCAGCAATGCCCCTGTATACAAAGGCCTCACTATCTGGGTTTTCCTCCCGCTACATATGACTATCATAGTAGCTACAGTGATGACGGCATATGGCGGCCGAGACCTCTACACAAGCCACGATAATCAAGCCCGAGACCTCCGTTTGATGCGCGGTGGCATCTTCCTCTTCATCGCTATCTTTGCCGGGATCATTCTCCTCTCCGTGATGACTATGCCTAGAGTTCAAGTAAAGGCCTACCGCACTGAACGTGCGGCTGTTGTATGTGCTTTGCTCTGTGTGCCCTTTATGGGTGTCCGCTTGTCATTCTCGGCTGGATCATTGTTTTCAGGGGAGCGGTCCGTGTTGAACCCGATGTCGGAGGATGAGACGAGTATCTGGCTCCATTTTCTTATGGTCATTGTTATGGAGTATATAGTTACCCTATCTGCCACGGCTGTTTCTCTCACTGCGAGGAGGGTGATGGTTCTCACAGCTGAAAGGGGCAATCCTGTAAACGATGAGGCTAGTTGAGACATATTCTTGATGTTGGTTTAGATATGGATGGGATGTCTGGCGACAGTTTTATCATTATATGCTAAATGTTTGTCCTTTTACTTTGCTTAACATCACTTGTTTCACCTTGAATTTTTGAATATGCTCAATGATCTACTAGATAACACTTTGTTCGTAAGTGAAATGCAGCTCATACTTCAGGTAAAGTGTATGGCTTTGGTAGCCACATCCCATAGTAGCGCAACATATGCCTTGTGGAATGTGATACTGAGCAGCATTTAATATATGATTGGAATGTTCCGTTAATCGATTAAGATATTAGAATAGTGCCAGAAAGGAATGGTCAAACTCTCGTAATCTATTCGTAAATGTAATTATAGCCACATTCATGTGCTTCTCTCTCACCCCTGTAGGTACATGAAATCACCAATCCATTTGTAAGAGAAATAGAGATAAACCCAGAGAGCCTGTTATCTCTTGGTCTATCAATTTTCATTTGACCTAAGGCAGGCCGAAACTCAATGGCAACTTCTAATTCGGGATGCGGGTTCTGGGCAGAAACTGGTGATAAAGGTGTCGAACTACGTCGCTAATCTCGGTTCCATAGAATTTCCTAACATATTCGTATAATGGACCGATAAAGATTACATCGTTGCAATACTACAATCCATTCAACCTAACTACATCTAATGTATCGGAGATCTATCTCAAAACAGAGAGTGGGTGTTGACATTCGCTTCTTTCTTGTATGATCATACCAACTCAACAGCGATACTAGGGTTCTTTTCCGTTTCAGGATAAAGATATGATATCCCAAACAATGTACTGCTGCATGACTCCGTCTAGTAATACTACCATAGACCTGAGCATTCAGAAACATTTGAAGCTTCTAATACCGCCTGACACCTCGCAAGGTCCTGTTCAATGAAGATGTAACATCAACCCTGCCTATTATTAGATAGGAAACTCATGCGCCACTAGATAGGAGCTGCCTCGAATAATCTTCTTCAATGCTGGTCAGCACTTTAGCAGTGAAGGGCAGTGGTGGATGGCGAGGCACCGCGCCTGGGCTTTTGGCCCCCTGAGGGCTGACTACAGCTAAGACCTGCAACATTCTAGCCTTGTGGATGTCCCACGCGAGGCACACGTGCTTACGTCGATATTGGAACTAAACCCGGATGTTGCATATTTTGGCTGCAAAAGTGCCCCAAGCTGAAAGCTCACGCAGGAATGTCTCAATATTGGGGCCAAGGGCACCAATTTAGCACCCCTTGTGTCGGGGCTGTCCTTGGCTAGAACGAGTCAAGATCGCCAAGATCACTTGTCAAGGCTTGTTAGATTTCCAGCGGCCCCCACTATCTCATGTTAGAGTTGATGTAGTCGCGAGTCATTCAGGTACTACATGAAGTAAAGAAATTAGGCTATTTTTGTCAGAACGTTAGACTCTTGGTCTATTGGTGGCACTGTTCGTGTTCCTTAGTTTTGATTATTTTTCGATGGGGGCCATATCACCCCACGACCCCGTACACTGCAGCCCGCCATAGGGCAAAAGTCTACTAATAAGTACTCGATGCACGTAAAAGTCGATCACTTCTCCCTCACCACTCGTCTTAATTACCCTACGAGCTATTTGACAATGGAAACCACAAACATGCAAATGGACACGGAGAAGTCCAACTCCTGGCTCTACTACAAGCTCGGCATCCACACCCTAGCCCTCGTCCTTCAATCCGGCATCACAATCACCACCCCAGACCCCAAAGTAGACGCAAAACTGCAAGTAACATCTGGTATACACCATGGAGGGACCATCAAAGTCATTGTTGTACGTCTACCCAGCAACAAAATTAAACCGAGACATACCTAACACAACCCAGGCCGGACTCCCCCGCACAGGCACAATGAGCATGAAGCACGCGCTTGAAGAGCTAGGGTATGGCTCATGTTTTCACCTCGCCGAGCCCCTCTGCCAATTTGACAACCTCCGCGAAAGCGCCGCCATCGTCCAAACAAAGGACACGGCCCTCCGGCGGCGCAAGCTCGCCAAACTCTTCCAAGGCTGCGAAGTCACCCTCGAGGTTCCCGGAAGTGCATGCCTACCCGACCTCCTGGAAATGTACCCCAACGCGAAAGTCGTTCTGACAGAACGCACCTCCGCGGCCGTCTGGTTGCGCTCATGGCGCGGCTTCGGTATTGATCTACGGTCTGAATGTTTCCGCTGGGTCGGGTACTGGGTTCCCGGCATTGTGGCTGCTAACGATCTCTACCGCGGCTGGATGCAGCTTTGTGCTGAGCGGCTAGGGGTCGAGGCCGAGCCGTCGGAGGAGCTGTACCATGCGTACAATGCGTGGGTGAAGAGCATTGTGCCGCAGGAGAGACTGCTAGTCTTTAAGTGTCAGGATGGGTGGGTGCCTCTATGTGAGTTTTTGGGTAGGCAGAGGCCGAATCGCTTCCCGCATGGCAATGAGGCAGGCTATTTGCGGTATTATAAGCGGGTAGCGATTATGCTAGGGATTTTCCTGTGGTTGATTGTTCTTGCTATGGCTATTTTGTTATTCTTTGCGTTTCCTTTGCTTGAGTAAGTTTCTGGTACTATGTTTCTATTTGTTTTGTAAGCCGTTACAGCTTGGTGTTTTGTGGCGCATGTACTGCTTAATTTACTTCAGACCGAACAAGGTCAATTATTTATAAGTTGTCACCATAGAAAAAGTGATCCCACTGGCGTGATGTGGTAGACCATAATGTAGCGTACAATTTTCCTACATATTATAGAGAAGTACTCGTGAGGCGATACTGGAAAGGGGTCCATCATCACACAAGAGAGAGCATAAACTACAAAGGAAAATATTTTCAACCAGACACCAAAGCAACGCAGTAACCGCGAGAAGCGTCCCAGATCATTCTTCACAATCAAAATTGGCATAGGAATTCAACGCTAGTCCTAACTCGATATTCCCTGCATGCTAAGAATCCCGAACTCCTACGGGATTGAGTTTAGCGCTGTTGATGAGGTTTCGCATCCTTATCACCAGTTTCTGCATACGTTGAGATTCCACTCCAGACTGGTTCCAGTCAAATGGAAAATGATAGATCAAGACATAACATGGCTTTTTGTTTCTCTTGGCGGTGAATGAAGGATCTTTCGGTGGAAGGAAACATAAATATGCCTTTAATTTCATATGAAGGGATTTAAGAGTTTAACAATTTAACTTTTGGCATTATTCCATACTTCTAATAGATTTGAAAAATATTCCAAAATCCACTTTCCAGATTAGTATCTTCGCCATACTATCCAACACCGCAGCTGCAACAGACGCAGCGGTAGTCAGCGCCCCCGGGGCCCCGGGGGTCCGCAGCACCTGTGGACCGGGCGTCTTCTTACCTCAGCAGTCAGCCTTCCCGAGGTCCAAGGTTTCCACCCCCGCCCTTGCATCCAACTCATAATACAAACTCTTTCTAGTGACTGTCGGTTGGCAGAAAATTCCCTTCTCGGAAGGCTTTGCAAAAGATGAAACTAGAGTAGCATGGGCCATATATCAACGAATGAGATATATCGACCAAGTACTTCGGTCCCACAGGAACGATCAGCCAATGATCAAATTTGCAGCATAGGCCAATACATGACATAGATTGATATGTCAATATCATTTCCACGGCACCTAATACAGTATAGATAAAGATCTGATGTATGCACCCTGTCTACATCGCTAGTCGAGGGGTATATTGAAATCCACCTTTTTGCTTAATCTCAACAGCTGTCTGAAATGCCTTTTGACGCTCCTGTTCCTAGTGGTTACAATATTCGGAAAACCATCGGAATCTAGTCGTTTCCAGCAAGAAGCTTCTCCATGGTCTGCGCGAGGGTATTAGATGAAATAGAAAAGTCAATTGTGTAAGTAGAAGAGGAACCTCAGTAAATTTAATTCCACTCAACCAGCGGGAAATGCAAGCACCAGACATGGAAGAGAGAGAAAAATCTATTTAGTCACTAATGTTTAACCCCCTAATGAGATCCCAAAAACAACCATTCAGTCTAATCATCGTGTACAGTGCAACGGGTGAAAGAAGCACCAGCATCTTCAACCATCACTCCAACAAAGTTGTTTTTGTAGTCAGTGACAACACGGTACTTGCCGGGTGAGCCGCCTATTAGAATGGTCAGTCTTGATCTAACAACCATAGTCTTGATGACATACTAGTCCAAGTTCCACCTTCAACAATAGGATACTCGCGCAGGTCCTTGGTGACACCCGCAAAGACCTGGCCGTTACCGCTCTTGTTACCAAATTTGTGCGGGTAGCCGCCGACACCATAGTCATTGTGCTTTTTGCACTCCTTGAACGCATTACCGACAGAGTCCTTAGAGAGCGTGACGCCGTCGGAGCAGGTAGCGCTACCGACCTTCTTCTTCTTAGCACGGGTGGCCAGGTCGTTGACAGTGTTATCGGTGGAGTCCTCGGGGATCTCGGTCTCAGTCATCTGGACGCTGCGCTCCTCGTTACCGTTCTCCTCTTTCTCTTCGACAGGCTCACGCTTGGTGTTTGCAACGCGCGTGCAGGCCGTATAGGCACCGCCGGCGGTTGCGCCGGTATGCTGCATCACACCGCGGAAGTCACCACGGTTATCCTTGTAGTCTGTAACCACACGGTACGCGCCAGGTACACCTGAATTCACTCGTCAGCTTTTGTCACCGTCTTTGCTGTTTGAGAAACTTACCGCCGGTATACTTTCCACCCACAATGATGGGGAACTCCCGCAGATCGGTGCCATCGGGGATGTTATTGAATACCTTCTGGTTGTTGCTCTTGTTGCCAAAGTAGGCCGGGTACTTGCCGATGGAGCCGTCATTGTGTCTTTGGCACTCGTGAAGAGCCTCGCGGATGTCATGCTCAGACAGGGTGGTGCCGTCGGGGCATTGGAAGTCGCTGAGTTTGGCACGCTTGCTCAGCTCCGGGAGGGGAGAGGCATGGGCCAGGGCCACCAGTCCGTAGACGACGATGGATTTGAGGTCGAAGAGCATTTCGAGAGGCTGGTGCTTTAGACAAGGGTTTAGAAAAAAGAAAGAAGCTTGTGAGTAGGAATAGACTGCTTTGATGCTGCTGCTGATGATGATGAATTTGACGATGTTCTCATAGCTTTATAGGTTCAGGTTCATGTAGATCATCTCCATTCTAACTTGTGTCTAAACTCGGAACACTGGAGGAACGTCTCATGATCGACAGGCTGAGTGAGATGTGCTCAATATTCAGGGCTGAGCTGCATCCATGATTTGGCCCCCAGGATCAGTGAGATGGCCTCAATATTCAGGGCTAATATGCACTTCATAATTAGGCGTCCAGAATTAGTAGAAATACTACCTACCTAGCTAAGAATATGGTTAATGCCTCGCCCTGCTGCAAGGAACTGGGCGAGAACCACGCTAATGCATATGCAGGTACTTGCTTCTTTTGCTAATAATACCGGTACCTACATGTAGGTACTCATCAAGTATTCCTAATAGATTAGAAGTATGTAGCTTACATCTTGCGTATTAAATAGTCGTATTAAGCTGAAAGAATACCATATTTATTACAAGTGGCGTGCATTAGCGTAGTTCTCGCCCGGGGGTGGTAACAGGGTAAACCCTTGGGCTTGAGAGTGGAAACCGTGGGGACCAGGTCATGAGGGAGCCAAGACTGGGGGCTGGGAGTGGGGGCCGGGAGTAAGCGCTAGTCCAAGCGCCGCGAGCCTAGTCTGGCCCCCGCAGCCAAGACGCTGTGCCGAGTGTCGATGTCACCTAACACAGCCCACTCTGCACATCCTGCAGATCTCAGTTATATCTCTTCCTTCTTTTAGTTGCCTACTCGAACTTTCTACTTTCCACATTCTCCATCCCAAACACACTCTCAATCTACCCAAGAACACCTACTTTCTTTGGTTACCTACACACACCCTCACCATGGGAAAAGAGAACTTCATCCGACAAATCGAGAACTCGTTCGAGTTCAAATTCCTCGATCAAGTAGTCAAGGGAGAGCTCACAGCGCAAGATGCAGTTCAAGAAGTCATCAACATGACCATGAGTGCGTTGTCCATTCATGGTCCAGACAAACATAACGGGATCGGTCTCCCAGACTACAACGTCTCTCTTGCGGTAATGGAGCTCGCTCAACGCCTGGAACCATCCAAACACACCAAGCTTGTCGAGTTTATATGTCATCTCCAGAAGCAAGTTCCCGTTGATCCATCTACCAACGAACAACTCAAGGTCCAGGGCGATACCCTCTGGACAGACATGCCGTCGTTCGGATACACAGAGCTTGAGACGTGGTACGAGTTTGGCGGGGATTATAAAGGTGATTCGATTCATCCTCCAACTTAAAGAGTTAGAATGCTAACGTATGTAGACCCATGTGATGCAACTCTAGATTCTAAGCAACGGGAACGATGGGTGAATCTCAACGCTTTCCTCGCGCAGCTCACTCAGTCTGCAGACATTCACTATCCACTTCCCAGTGAAGAAGTGCGATACTCCGCCCTGGATAAATCACTACGGGCCATCTGGACCATGGCGATGGCACTTGAGAACGAGCGCCCTCCTGCGTCGCTGGGAGATACGGCGGCGATGGAGGCAGCTTGTCAGTGGTTTATCTACGCTGCGGAGCGACTGTGGGTGAATGTACTCAATAGTCGCACGTACCCTGAGGTAGCTGGCGCTGGGCCGGGGAAGAGGTATGAAGAGGAGGGGTGGACGGGCTACACCGGGGAGCGATGGGGAATCTGGGAGGAGGCGCTGAATGAGGCTAAGGCTAAATGTGAAGGTGAACGGATGTTGAAGCTCATTGATGATGCTTTGGCGAGCCTGAAAAGGGGAATGGTGAATCAATAGTCGATAAACGCCGCATTTATTTCTGATAGACATTCATTTTTCGTTTCACTTTGTACGAGTCTAGTAGGATCAGCCTGATCTGAGATTCTTTGTTTTCATAGATTCATATACTACTATAAAGTATCATATTCTGTTCCCCACTGATATTCTCAGGTAGTTTAATTCAAAGGTGAGAAAGACGGGTATATTGGAGCCTAAAATTCTACGCAGGGGGTGTTCCATTGTCTACAGGGGTTTGTGGTTATCTGAGGGAGTATGTGTATCTAGGCCCCCAACATTAATAGAGGTGAATCATCTACTGCCTCTGTTATTTCAGTTCATTCCTCGCAACTCAAAGAGTAGTTGTCAAATTAGGAATATGGTCCCCCTGGGCCCTAACCAGGAACCTTGGTTTTGGTTACGTTCTGGTAAATTAGTTGTATTTTTTCCCACCGTAGCAGTAAACTGATAAAAATATATTTATTCGACATCCCATACTACATACCTTCTGAGCTTATCATTGTGGATTTACGCCTTACGAACTATACTCCGCACTTTCGATAAGGCTGTGTTGATTGTGTGGGGCGGGGCTGATCATCCTTTACCATTTACTTTTTTGTATTTTGGCCCCAACTGAACTTCGCTTATACACTGCGAAGGAGCCAAAGCCTCGTGTCTGTTTATTTTTATTTTGTATCTCTGGCTGATCAAGGGAATGGACAAGCTCACGCCAAGACTCTCGCAGGAATGCTTAATACGGGAACAGTGGACGAGTGGGATTTCAACATGGCGCTTATGTCGATCCTACCAACAGTTGATCATCAACGTGATTGGCCCGAATGTCGATCCTTTCTGGTGTCAACGTGGCGCAGGGGGCTGACAGATTGACAAAGGATATACCCAAGAAGGATGCGCTAACATGGGTATGACCCAACGCTTGTTTGTCCTATTTATCGGGTCGCTTTCTTTATATTTTGCCTCTTGTCGATTCCCTTCAGTCCAAATAGAACCAAAAAGATAATATTTCTACAGAACTGACTGACTTGCACAATGACCAACTCCCTCTCTGCCGCTACCTGCGCTATCTACGCACTGCTCGCCATCCCAGTACTCTACCTCCTCGTCCGACACGGTCGCTACGGCCTTCTGGGATGGCTCTTCCTGTTCCTCTTTTGTACCCTCCGCATCATCGGTGGCGCGCTGGCAGTCAAGGACACCAGCGTCACCGCTAGCATTATCTCCAGCGTCGGTCTTTCTCCTCTCCTCCTCGCAGCAGCTGGAATTCTACACGAGGCGTAAGTAGTCCACCCGAAAATACAAGATCCATGCTGAGCCCAACAGTCGAGAATATCGCATCCAAGTCCTCGACAAAAAAATGGAATGGGTCTGCGCCCTCGCCTACCATATGCTCGTCGTCGCAGGCGTGGCTTTAACAGCTGCCGGCTCCGTGAAACTCCAGAAACACGAGCAACCTCTCGACAAGGCGGAGAGGATCACCAAGGTAGGTATCTCGATTTTGGCGGTCGCGTGGGCGGTTTTGGTTGCCTGGACCGGGTTCTCGTTCATTGCGCCCCGGGGACGGAATTCCCCACTCATGAGGGCAGGGAATGTCGTAAGTGCTTACCCACCCCCGCGTAATCGGAATTCTATGCTAATGTTTCGCGAATAGCTGCTCACGGCCCTCGCATTCTCACTTGTCTTTATCGGCATCCGAGTCTTCTACAGTCTTGCTGCGCTGTGCACGCAGAAGGCGTCGCTCAATCCCGTCACGGGCTCACTGGCTGTTCGTGTGGTGCTGGGATTCCTGCCCGAGTTGATTGCAACAATTCTGTTTATTGTTGCGGGAATCAGAACCCAGGGTGCGGCACCGATGGCTAAGATCGAGGAGGAGAGGGCAGTTTCGAAACAGCGAGCTCAACCTTGGATTTAGCTAGCTTAGGATGCATGCGTTGGTGATGTTTGTCTTTTTCTATACACCTAGATGATACGAGTTTGCAATGATGAAAGGAATTATACCAGACCGGGTGGACTTCTTACAGAGGAACCTCTTACTAGCTTTGCATTCTCAACGCCTTATCGCTATGATTGTTGGGATAAGATCAGGGCAGATTATTGCTATAGCACAGAATATATATACAGGCTATAATTCTGAGCCCCTGAAAACTATTACAGCTTGCGATCAAGAGTGCGAATACTGTGGACATTGCGACTGTTCAGCATGAATATTATTAGGCAGAAAGAAAGGAAATTCAACGAGATTACCAAATAATTATTACCATTTACATACCTTCACTTGCTTGTACTCCGTATATCCCCTCTCACTCGGTCACATAGTTCTTTTCCTTTACTTATCCACTCAAATCACTATTTCCCTACTTTAGTTCACGGTATACTTAGTAGTCAGGTGCTTCGCAATATTTGAATTCGACGTCGGTTCTCTAGTAAACCATGAGATTTAAAATTCTTAGGGACTACGACATGTAGGCACCTAAAGAGAAGAAAGAGGGGGTTGATTCCTAAAGGGAGCAAAAAGCCCGACTATCTATCTAGCAACGAGGGTTTGATGCCACAGGCATCAAATACAGCCTAAGGCCACAACAACAAAAATGACTGGTATATGGTGAGCTCACCCGTAACTAGCTCCGTTGTTTGGCTCGTTGGGCTGCTCTACTCCCCATATCTGTTTACCAGAATCCCATGCACACCTCCGACGGGTGGACATGTTCTCTGCCTTTGGCTCGCCCGGACAAGGGGTGTATCACCTCAGCGATATCAGCCTTTAGTTCATTGGCTAAATTCTCTAGAACGTCACCCCTGCAGGTAGGTACCTTGCGGCTGATACTGTTGCTTCGCCGGCCCGTTTTGAAATCAAACAAACAAAGCAAAAACCAATATAACAGAAAATACAGTACTATATTCGTTTGGCAGGGGAATTCTGGTTTGAAAAATACAGAAAATACAAATCCCTCAAAATGATGAGTGCGAGGTAACTAAATTCCCCTGCACCCATATGGGCCTTAAATTTCAAAGTCTAACATGGCTTTGAGGTAGTGTACCCTTGTTGGGGTAAATTTGCTTTCATATGCCATGCCTGGATTGTACATATGAGAGCTGAAGACTTGTCTTTTAAGTTACGGGATGAACAAAGTACCACGACGCGAGACAAACAGCTGAAACGATGACATTAGCCGAATGTTGAGTAAGTCATAGAAAGACCCCTGAGGAGACCTAGGAGCCGGGCAGACCCGATTTCGAAAAACTTCAAGCAAGTTGGTTCAATCATCTAAATTCCCAGATATATTCTTGACAAAATTGTCGTGAGAGGATGGCGCAACTAATTAAGAATGTCATGGCTAGACGTGTCCTGGGGGACCAAATTCAGGAAAGTTCGATTTGCTGCTCGTTTCGTGCCTAGATATGACCTGAGCTTCGTGATGTTCGCAATTACAAGCCTCATGGTACGGGAACATCTAGATCAAAGATACACCAAGGCGTACGAAGAAGATTATTAAGAGAAAACTAGTATCGTTGCTAGAAGATGACAATAAAGTCGGAATCGAGTTGTAGAAACAGTTTAGCACGTAGAGTTTCCATTCTATATATTCCAGTACGTCTAACGCCAAAATTAAAAAGAACCCTCCCGCAAAAAGTCAAAACGCTATCACTGCAATGTCTCTGCCAATTTAGCGCCCAACTCGTTCACACCGGGCCTTCTCATCATCGTGAAATGATCACCAGGAATCACTGCGCATCTCACAACCACTCCTGGCACTAAACTGTCCCAGCCATTGGGCCCTGCATTTCCCCGTGGGTCCAGGATCCAATCTTCGGCTTGGTTACCGCGAATGCGGGTTAACTCTTGAAATTGAGACTTCTTTTCTTCACCCACTGTCTCCCATACTCCGTTTTGCGCCCACAGAGCTGTAACAGACTTGGGTCCTTGGCTCGAGGAGGGGATTGCCTTGGGTTCGTAGGCTTTCAATGCCTTGATTGAGCCGATGAAATGTTCACGAACTCTCTGAGGAATGGAGCTCTGCTTCGATGGGGTCAAGCCGTTACGGTTGTCGTTCTTCAGACCGTCGAAGGCCCCGATCGTTTCGAGGAGATCGACTGTCTCGATCGGGAGGGGTGGGTACACGCTCGGACACGGGGCGTCGATGAGGACCAGCGACTCGATTGTTTCATCGTGCTTTTGAATCAACTGCGACGCGGCTTCGAATGCAAAGGATCCGCCGATCGACCACCCCGCCAGACGATAGGGCCCGTGTGGCTGGATACGTTGGATCTCGCGGATGTACATAGCAGCTACTTCTGGGATCGAGCAGCTAAATGAAGACGGCGATTTGAGGAATGGGCTGTTCAATCCATAAACTGGACCGGGGGCGTTGAGCGAGGGTAGTCCAACATAGCTGCCGGCACTGCCTGAGCCATCAGGTAGGATGAACAATGATGCGCCGTGGGAGGATGAAGGAGATCCTTGAAGCAGAACTGCTTCGGCCTTGTACTTGGATGGTGATGAGCTAGGTCCATCTTGAATCTTCTCGAGCGCCTTTGCAAGTTGTGGGGGTGACACCGCGGGTGCAGCGCGACGGCCGTCAAGAGCAACTTCGATCTCTGCCAGGGTAGGGTGGTCGATAAGGAAGCTGGATGGTAGCACCCTACCGGTTTGCGCCTTGATGGTGCTGATAATCGAAATTGAGAGCAGGCTGTCTACGCCAAGTTCCGCCAGAGGGATGTGTTCATCAATCTCGGCCACGTCGATCTCCAGTTCATTTGCGATGATCTTCCTAATGTGATCGGTAGAGCTCACACCCCCGCTAGCAGGAGATGCGGCTTCGGTAATTGGAGAGTCTGGTCGAGTGTCTTCTTCACTACTGGAGCGGTCGCCACCGCTGTCACTGCTGTCACTCGAAGGCACGGGCGCGGTCTCGGTTGAGGCAGAGAGATGCCCACAAAGCTCTCGAACTGATGGGTAGTTCATGAAGAGCGAACTTGGGATCTCTTGGTTGAGCTCGCTACTCAGTCGCGCAATAATGCTGATAGTGAGAAGACTGTCCACACCCAAGTCTGCAAACATAACATCATCTGTAAGCTCAGACACATCGACACCAACCTCGGAGGCGATAATCTGGAGCACATTGCTATTATCTGGTGTGCTGGTGACTGTCTTCGTCTTGATGACGGGTTTTGATCGTTGCTGAACAGTGTAAACAGGCTTCCTCTCGACTACGGCGGGGGTAGTAGCCGGATTGCGAGGCATCAAGTGGTCGAGGATAGTGCGCTTGATACGTTGGAACTTGAGCTCCTGGCAGACAGCGACCACTTCACCATCCTCCAAAAAGAACACATCACCGGATAGAACACCCTTTGTTTTGGTCTGCTGCATGCGGACATAACTCTGGTAGTCCTTCTTCTCGGAAAGCTCTCCAACAATCTTCATGCTCTTCCACCCATGGGAGATATACACACTATCGGCGGGCGTAGTGTCGGCACCGTTCAGCACGAAGCCAGACAGATGCGCCAGACTGTCGATCCAATACGGGCTGTACGTGAAGGTTCCATCTTCTGGCGTGGTGCGGAAGCGGACCTTCGCAGTGGCCTCCAAGAGATCGCTGTCCATGTACACCTCCTGCAAGCCCTGGTACTTGTCATCGTAGTCGACCAAAGCAGCAAACAGCTTGTACACCATCGGTCGTAGGACTTTGTGGACATCTCCGCTGCTTGAATCCTTAATCAGCTGGTTCATCCGGGATTTAACAAGGTAGCTTGTTCGCGCCCATTCGGACTTCCACACGTCACCCTCACCGCGATCGACACGGCAATGGGCGTGGTCCTGGTGAGAGCCACCGTCCTCGGAGGAGAACTTCACGTCGATAGATTGACTGGAAGGCACCAATGTGGCAGTGACTCGAATGATCTGCTTCGTTGCGCCCGGCTGAATCAAAAGGGGCTTGTGCACTTCCATGTCTCGGACGTCCAGGGGAGCAACCGGCGTGGACGGATCCAAGACGCTTTGAATGTAGCGGGCCGCCGTAAATGCCATGTCGGCGTAGACTGAGCTAGGACACAGGCCAGCTCCATTAACGAGGTGGCCTCGCAGTGCCTTGTTCAACTTAGGCTCAGCTGCATCAGACGCAAATGTGACCGAAATTCCAGTGTCGTCATCGCGGACAAGACTCTCAATCCGATGAAGACCACTAGTGGAGAATGTAGGCAGCAGACTCTTGGTCGGTGCCGGAGTAGTCCCGGATGAGGCGCCCTTTCGAATGGCCCAGTCACCCTCGTACTGCAACCAGTAGTTCTTGAGATCAAACGCGTAGTTGGGCAGCTCAAGGAGGTTCAGATTCAGCTCGTATGGACGATGAACTTCCCTCCAGTCGATATCGACGCCTGCGTCGTACGCCAAGGCAATTGATTCCGATATGGTCTTCCAATCATCCTCGTCTCGCTTCAAGGACGGCAGGAGAACCTGGTCCTTGCCTGCGATGTTGCGAATCATGCCCAGGCAAAGCGGACTCGGCCCGATTTCTATCCAGACTGGCGAGGCTCTGTTGCCTGCATGTAGGGACTCAAGAGCCTGCACAGCCTTGGTGAATTGGACTCTTTGTCGGGTCTGGCGCTTCAGGTACTGGGAGTCAATAATTCCGCCTGTTGTAACAACTGTTCCCAACTGGGTAGATGCAAATGGAATAGAAGGAGTCGAAAAGTGGATTTTTTCGGCAACGCTCACGAGGTCATCGAGGAGGGGTTCCATCTGAGCCGAGTGGAATGCGTATTGAACCTCGAGCTGAGTAGACTTCTTCTTCTCCGCCTGCAGAGCCTCGTGCAGAGAGGCGATTTGATCAATTGGGCCACTGACCACTGTGGAAGTTAGTCCGTTGACGCACGCAATTTCACACTCGGAGAGGGTGCTATTATAGCTCAGAGTATCTTCGAGGTTTCTTTCGGTATCCTGAACTGCTAGCATGGAGTGTGAACCGGCTCGGCATTTTTCTAGCATCAGGGATGCTCTGGTTCCGACGAGATAGAGACAGTCGCTGACGGAGAAAACTCCTGCAACACACAAGGCGGCATATTCTCCCAGGCTATGACCGATCACAGCGGTGGGCACAGCACCCATCGATCGCCACAACTCCGCGAGGGCAAGCTCGACAGCTACAATAGACAACTGAGCCTGAACGGGGCTTGCAGACTTGGCGCTCATTGTAGGATCGATTATTATCGGCAAGAATGACGGGAAACCATGGGCTGTTGAAATCCTATCACAGTCTAGAATTGTCTCACGGAAGCTAGGCTGGGTCGTGTACAAATCCTTTGCCATGCCAGCACGTAGTGAGCCTTGCCCAGTAAAGGTGAAGACTAATGGCCGGCTGTTATTAGGCTTGGCCCACTGAGAGCCATCTGCAGACTGCTTTTCCAGCTTCGCAACAAGATCGTCGACAGATGAAGCGACGATCGCACGGCGAATATTGTAGTGCATTCTGCGGGCGGTCGTTGTGTAGGAAATGTCTTGTAAGCGGACTCCGGGATTTTGCTTCAAATAAGCAAGCAATTGTCGCACGTTGTTGGTAGCCGATGTTGGGGTCTTTGCAGAAACCGCGACCATATGGTGGCTTCTGGGATCAGAATCGGTGGTCGCGGGCCGGGCGGGAGGATCCTCAATAAGCATGCTCGTGTTTCCACCAGCCGCATCAAAGTTGTTGATCAAGATCCGCCGCTTACCATCGCCATCTGCTCTGGGCAAGAAGGGGGTTTTCTCAAATGAGATGTGGGTGTTGAGTTCGGCGAGCGGGGGCAACTTCTGATTAATGCGACCTTTAATGCCAATGTGCGGAGGAATCATGTTCTTCCTCAGCATCATAATGGCCTTGATCAGCGAGGTGACGCCACTGCCAGCTTCTCCATGACCTAAATTCGGCTTGACGGTTCCAATATATAGAGGATTAGAAGCAGTCCGGCCGCGAGCCAGGACGTTTGTCACAGATCTTGACTCTGTCGCGTCGCCTGCCTGGGTGCCAGTCCCATGCAACTCAGCATAGTCGACATTGTGAGGCTGAACACCAGCCTTGTTCAAGACTGTCGTAAACAAGCGCTCTTGGGTCTCTGCGTGGGGGTGAGTGATGGAGACAGCCTCGGCGGAATGATTAGTGGTCGTTCCTCGGATAACAGCTAAGATGTTATCGCGCTCGGCTACCGCATCCGATAAGCGCTTCATCACAACAACACCCACAGCATCTGCTCTAACATAGCCGTCGGCATCATGATCGAACGTCTTGCAGCCACCGGTCTTGGACAAGAAGCTTCCCCTGCTCAGACCGGCAAACAAATCTGATGCAGTGAGGAAATTGGCGCCTCCACCCACCGCCGTGTCGCACTCGCCAGCAAGCAATGCCGAGCAAGCCAGCTGGATCGATGCAGCACTTGACGAGCAGGCTGTGTCCAACGAGTAACTGGGTCCCTCCCAGCCGAAGTGGTAATTGAGTCTACCAGGCCCGAAAGCACGGATACCGCCCGTGATGAAGTATGTATCGACATTCTGGCTAGCATTCACCTCACGCCAGTCATCACTTGTCTGGCCCATCCAGGAGCCAATTCGACGAGTGTTGGTTGATGGGCTTCCATTGGGCGTGTAGCCAGCCATCTCCAATGCCTCGTATGTTGTCAGCAGCAGCATTCGCTGTTGAGGATCTGTCTGGGCCGCTTCACGAGGGGACATATTGAACAGACGCGTATCAAAATAGCCTGGTCGGTCTATAAACACTCCATACGGAGTCAAGGTGGTATTTTTGGCTTTCCCGGTGGGGTCACAATGCGTATCAACGTCGAACCTGTCTGGGCGAATCTTTTCATGGAGATCTCGTCCTTGCTCCAAAACCTTCCAAAACTCCTCGAGGGTTTCACTACCTGGAAGACGTACTGACATGCCGACGATCGCAATGGCGTTTTCTGTATCTGGCTCCTTCATGGAATTTTCGAAAGCTGCTTTGCTCTTGTCATCCACTTCAATACCAGCCGTTGAGTTTAAAGAGTTCATAATTGTCTTCTTAGAGCTAGTTGCGCCGAAGGAGAGGAGTGAGATTGACGAGCTTGCCAAGCTAGCCACCCCCTTTACGGCTTCCTCGAGGATTATGGGCTGTTGCAAAATGTCATCGACGACCTGGATCAGGAGTGCGGAGAGGTTGTCAGCAGCATAAGGCAGACCGGAGCTCGGTGAGATCAATGGCATGTTGGGCTTGAATGTCTCAAAAGGCGCATTGGAGCAGGCCTGTGAGATTTTCTTCCAAGGTACTGGATCGAGATGCTCTGCGTGGAAGGCCGCAGCGATTGGCAACGGAATCGTCTTTCGTCCGTGAAAAACGGGTTCTTTCTGTAGCAGCTCTGCTGTGTATGATGGTGGACCACTAATGGTCACTGAGGATGTGCTCTGTGCGCTGATATACGCTCTCCGGCCGCTTTTTGAGGGCATCTGAGCATTAAATGATGCCAAAGCCTCACGGATTTCTTCCACCGCGACATTGCTTACAAGGGTAGCCCAGCTACCCCTGGTCCTTGTGTCTTTGGAAGAATTAATATATTCTGATCGTCGAGATGCTTCCAGTCCAAGCTGGAAGGCCAAGGCTACAGCGTGATGTGCGATGCGGTGCAGCTCAGTAATATTTCGAGAGCAGGAAAAGACGGAGGCTGCGATTGAGCCGGTGCATAGTCCCAGAACAGCATCGCGGCCAGGTTTGGATGAAGATCCGAATTCCAAGGCTCTTGGGAATTTTTCGAGATAGCTATCAGGGCACCATTGTTAGCAAGGCAAAGACGTCCATGCACTGCACAGAAAGCGCAGAGTATCAGACCATCGGATTACTTACAGTATAACATGGCCAAGTTGAGATATGCAGCAAAGAGCAGCCTTCAACGCCGGGCAATGGGCATCATCGCGTTCAACCGCAGTAGCAAGGTCCGTTAGAGATTCCCAGGTAGGAAACCTCTGTCTCTCACGGAAAGATGCTTGATATATCGCCTTGCGCAGACTGTCCGTTGCAGAGCGCAGGAAACGTCGCAGTTCGTCCGAGTTAGCTGCGCGTTGACTGAGCTCCTGGATGCATGGAAGAACGTCGGCAATCTGGTCTCCGAAGAGATATAGGACGGAAGACTCGGTTGCCATCATGGTGGAAGGTTATGTTTGATAGTTCTTTGGGTCACCAATTTAACGGTGCTCATGATGGATTCTTATACTTCTCTCTGTATCTATACAATCTATGCCCTCTATCTAACAACCAAACAGACTTACACTCTCTGGCCCCCATTTTGCCAATACATCATTTGCATTAGCGCGCCGGTATCGCAATATTTGAAATTTTGATAATATCACACACTGGATATCACTGCACACCAATTCAATGATGTTGTTGGACAGAGGGTGTATACAATCTATCTTTAGCTGTACTACTCCACTTCCTACCACGAGGCTTCCATGTGAGTATCGGAGAAATACAATTCATCCTTGGCTCAGATCCTTCTCGCTTAGATTGCATGATGAATCGGTCTTAAATTACCAAAAGGGGGTCCCGAAGGAGGGACATCGCGATCTATCTGCTCAGCCTCTACTCCAGGCCGCGGGATTGCCGAGAGATAACGGCGAAAAACGGTGAAACGAGCATGTGGAGGAATCTAGACCAGGATTATCACGCATGATTGTGGCTTTTTCACGAGACTAGCCCTGCAGTAGCGCGTCTGCAGCAGGCACCGTCAGACTGAGTAAGATCTCATGTCTCACATTATCTCCGTTGAGCCGCGGACCCTAGCCCCAGTTCTTCAACCCGAGCTCCACTCAACTACAATCTAATTCATCATCCTTCTTTAGGCCCCCATCCGAATAGAGGCAGAGGTCCGAGCTCACCTGTCACTATGGGTGCGAGTCTTAAATATCACGGGCTTCAGCCTACGCCCACTGACGGCCGATTGGCTTCTCAGTTTCTATCTAGCAAATCATAACCAATCACAGATTCCGCAATGTCCCTCGCCTTCACGCTTAGCTCGCTCTATAGCGAGCGCAATTTTTACAATGCCATTGTACTTCTCTTCGGCGTCCTTGTGGTATGGCTCTACCGTACTTGGACGGAGCAATCGCATATTCCTGGGCCATTCTTATCTTCTATTTCGAACATCCCACGTTTACTTTGGGCGCGATCGGGCAGAGCACACGAGACTCACATCCAACTTCACAAGAAGTATGGGTCACTCGTCAGGCTCGGCCCAAATTCAGTGAGTGTGGGAGATCCTCGCGAAATCTCCAAAATTTATGGTATTCGCTCAAGTTTCGGAAAGGTCGGTTTTGCTCACCCGTGGACTCTCCCTTTGTCAACCAAGAGGAAATGCGATCTGACAATAATCTAGTCTAATTACTACAAAGTTCTCCAGCCAATTTCAAAGGGCAAGATCATTCAGGGTCTCTTCAACACGCAGGATGACCAGCTGCACCGCTCTATGAAGAGACCAATTGCGGGAATCTACTCCATGAGCAACCTGGTCGGCTTCGAGCCTTACGTTGACTCCACCATCGGCTTTTTCCTGGAGCGTCTTGAGGATGCGCAAGGAAAAGCGGGTGGGCGGATCGATCTAGGTACCTGGTTGCAGTGGTTCGCGTTCGATGTGATGGGCGAAATCACGTTCAGTAAGCGGTTAGGCTTTCTGGATGAAGCCAAGGATGTCGATGGTATCATGGGTTCCATCTGGAAGATGTTTCAGTATTCCTGTTGGGTGAGTGAAATTCCATCGCCAAGACCAGCGGCGTTTCGTGGCCGTCGCTAATCATCATCCGTGACAGGTTGGCCAAATGCCATGGCTGGATAAGATCTGGGTCAAGAATCCACTTGTCAGTCGGTTGCTTCCCGCAAAGAACTCGCCAGTTGTGACGTTTGCTCTGGAACGGGCACAGGAAAGAATATCCGAGAAGTTGTTGCATACTTCCGATAGCCAGGACGCCACTTCTTCATCAGGATACAATTCGCAAGATTTCATGTCGCGGTTCCTGGCGGCCCGAGCCAAGGATCCGAGCATTCCCGAATGGTTTGTCACCGCATGGACGACATCCAATGTGCTAGCCGGCAGCGATACGACCGCGATCATGCTCCGAGCAATCATTTACTTCCTGATCACGAATCCGGCCAGCCTCCAAAAGCTCGAACACGAGCTGCGCCAAGCCCGGAGCCAGGATCAGTTATCTGACATCGTTACATGGAAGGAATCCCGCAATCTGAGATACCTGGATGCCTGCGTGAAGGAAGCCGGACGGCTTCATCCTGCCATCGGACTGACGCTGGAGCGAGTGGTACCACGTGGCGGGGCCAAGGTATGCGGGAAATTCTTCCAAGAGGGGACCAACATTGGCATGAACCCTTGGGTAATCCATCGAGACCAAGAAGTTTTTGGGCCCGATGCCGACCATTGGAACCCAGATCGCTGGTTGGACACCGATGCGGAGCGAGTGACGCTTATGGAGAATTGTCTTTTGACTGTGAGTACTTGGCGTCGGGAATATCCGCAGAGTTGAAACTAAGCAGGGGCCAATTAACAGTTCGGATCCGGGAGTCGGACATGCATCGGAAAGAATATCTCGTATTTGGAGATTTACAAGCTCATTCCGACGATGTTTGCGCGATATGAGGTAAACTTCCGTTATCGGAGATTTTCCCGTCGTACTTTGGCCTTGACGCTCAGACTAACTCAATCTTAGATTCAACTGTGGGACCCGAAAGGCGAGTGGGAAATTACGAACTCGTGGTTGGTGGTTCAGAGTGACTTCTTCATAAAGCTGAAACGGAGAGAGCCTCATCTGTGATGCTGCAGACCCTTGCTGTCAAAAAACGACATGCATACCATAGATCACATTCACGCAACTTCATATAGCTTGATAATACGAATTTTACGAATATTTGAGAGATACCCGGTTGATCGTAAGATGTGAATGCACGTGAGATTTCAATTTGCACCAATCTTGATGAGTAAGACATATACTTCGCCTTGAAGTAGCTACATTGTTGCGGTAGGGCGTTCACATACTATGTCCAATTACAACACACTAGACGAACATACTATTACATATTCAGCTAAGAAATGGGCTCGCTTCGCGTAACTCCCACCTAATAGAGCTTAGTCAATTCATGCATGAAGGCGACAGAAAAAAAGCTAGTGCCCATCCTTCATTTCTTGGCATTGTGAGGACTTCTTGGCATGATGAAGATTTATACACATCCATTACTACGATCGTTTCTAGAAATAGTTCAAATGCCAAGAAATGGTATAGCATACGGAGTACACAATTCCTTAACCACCAATACGATCTCAGAAAGCTTCAAAAGGTATGAGTGTTTATAATTAATCGGGATCTGCTCGAGAATATAGTAAGGAAGTTATGATTATATACAACTAAATACCGATGCTTTTTTTACTTGGCTAAATTAAGATCATTTCAGATGTTGTTTCTCTACATATCTTATAAAACACACTTTTATAAACAATACATTCTACACTCACCCTTTATGTCCAAGGCTTACTAAACCTGATCCATGCTTGATAACGCAATTTTAGCGCTTAGTAAGATACACTAGTACAAGCAAAACTCGGGAAGCGGCGCGAGGCGAGCCCGTAATTCTTATCTAAAGACGCCCCCAGAGCTATTCCCAAAGCGACGATGTAAGTCCGTCGGGTACGAAACGGGAATCTGGTCGGGCTCGGGAGGCGATTGAGGTTCATCCCCGATCAGCCCTGTCTACTTCCCCTTTCGGTAATTAAACTCCGGCCCGTACACTTCCCGATGGGGTAATCAGCTCTATAGATTCCAGATCTGTTAATGAAGTGTTTGTTTCTTTTGCTGATTGGGCATTTCACGTCACCCAATTCTTTGTTAGGAGAGGATATTCTTTGAATACGGTCATTTGGTCGGTTTGGTCGGTTTGGTTAGGTTGTTTGGACCTGTGGATTACAAGCTCACTCGAGCAATATATTTCGGCGCATCGTCAGTTATTATCAATTTCTTCCACTAGTCATTGGTATTATGAGAACTTGACCATCTTCATTCACATCATCATCGCTCTATGCTTCGCTGATTTCAACTTCGACCTCGCTTTAAATATATACCATTTCCCAATGGCATCCTCCCAGCCGTCTTCCATGTTCGGAAAGGACATCGAGTCCGACTCAGCGACCGACAACAGCCATGTCAAGACGGAGATTGTGGCAGAGGAACCACCAAAGCCCGCAGGACCCCCTCCGCCACCCAATGGAGGCACGAAAGCATGGCTCCAAGTCCTCGGGGCCTTTTTCCTGAACTTCAACACTTGGGGTCTCTTGAACACTTTCGGCACATTTCAGTCGGAGTACAGTACCGGCTTGCTGAAGGACTCGTCACAGTCCTCAATTGCTTGGATTGGATCGCTGCAGGCGTTTCTGATGCTGGTGATCGGAGTTCTGTGTGGACGCGCTCTTGATGCTGGGTATTTCTATGGGGATATCACCATGGGTGTCTTTTTGGAGGTTTTCGGCATGATGAGTGAGTTATCGCTACCTATTTACAACGAGATAGATGCTAACTGAACAGTGACCTCGATTTGCAAGAACTACTGGCAGCTTATCCTGGCCCAGGGCTTGTGTGTGGGCATTGGCGCCGGAATGTCATTCATCCCCAGCGTTGCCATCGTGGGCACGTATTTCTCGACGCGACGATCTACTGCGCTGGGTCTGGCCGCCACCGGCTCAAGTGTCGGGGGCATTATTTACCCTGTCGTGCTGAGACGTTTAATCGACCAGATCGGGCTACCCTGGGCAGTCCGAGTCATGGCTTTCATCATGTTGGCAACGCTTCTCATCTCAGTCGCTGTTATGAAGCCTCGCCTTCCACCTCGCAAGTCAGGCCCGCTGATCAACGTCGAGGCGCTCCGGGACCCCGTCTTCGCTATTTGGCTCTGCGCTGCATTCTTCATCTTCATCGGTCTCTATATCCCATTCTTTTACATCGAGCAGTACGCTCTCAACCTTGGCATGTCGCGCGACTTGGCTTTCTATACCCTGATCATTATGAACGCAGGCTCGGTCCCTGGCCGTGTCTTGCCGTCCATCATCGCTGACAAGATCGGTAACTTGTCGGTCATGATCCCGTCCGTTCTACTCACCGGCATCTTGATGCTTGCATGGATTAGCGTGGAATCTCAGTCCGGTCTGATCGCCATTGCGGTCTTCGTCGGCTTGACGAGTGGCTCTATCCAGGCTGTGCTTCCTGCGACAGTTGCCTTCCTTTGTCCTGATCTGTCTAAGCTGGGCACCAACATTGGCATGACGCTCTTTACGTCGGGTCTGGGATTGTTGATCGGTAGCCCCGTGGCGGGTGCGATTCTGGACCACCAGCGAACGTCCGAGGGAGATGTCTTCTGGGGAACTTTGACTTTCTCTGGGATCTTCATTCTGGCGGGAGGTGTGTGCCTGACAATTGCTCGCGTGGTTAAGGTGGGATTCGCTTTGAAGAAGGCTTGAGATTGTGTACAAGACGGGCACACGATCAACTTGTCAGCATGTCTGAGGCAAACTCAGAGCATAAGTGTGATGAAAGGGAAAATAAAATGTAAATCTGCATGCTTAATTTAATCAACTATATTCCATAGCCATCTTACCATTGACGGAATAAATGGGGTGTAGTTTGTCTTACCAAATCACATTTCTTTTTAGGTGCCTTTTTGTATGAGTGTTGCATACAAAAGGTACCTAATGCTAATTTCATACCCTATATCTATACATAAAGAATAATCGAAATCCGGTCAAGTAGTTAAATTCGTTATGTTATCAAATAGTATTTCCACCATCTTTTAACCTTGTTTAAATTAAGAAGATTTTGTTCTTTACGAAGTTGGGGCCCTACTTGTCAAAACATATCTACAACAACCTACAGCTCATTACCATTAAACACTACTATATTCATTTTTATGTAAATTCTAATTTGTACACAGACTAAATTAAATGCTTGTGAAAGCATACCTGATGGATGAGATTACTTTTGGTTTGTTCAACAGAGTAAACTAACAAGAAAATCCGCTAAGCGCGTTGTATGTACAAGTCACATATAAAGGGTGCCTAAAAAGACAAAAGTTTGATTTGCTGCGGAAGGCAAATTGATATATTTCTCTGCGTAAAAAGTGTTCGGGATCGTAGAGGCTAATTAGGGCAAGGTGAACATTGTGGAACGTCGACACGTAACATCGGTGGGGTGGCATAGCAGTCAAACAGGGGGAAAAGAGAAACAAAAAGACAAGAAAACGGGGTGATGGCGCTGAATATCTATTTTCTATTTATATATGTCCAGGCGAATAAGACTATGTGCCGACGGATTCGAATTTATACCTCTTCCCACAAGAGGTCAGGCGTGGACTGGATAGTCAAAGTGGGTTTGAAAGCCATGGAATATAAATCAGACTGCATACTCAGACCCGGACATTCTGGATCTTGGTAAAAAGCACAGTCGCTTGGAAACAAAGTCTCAATTAAGTGATCTGGAAGTTGTGCCTGGTCCATCCAGTTTTCCGAAAGGGGGGTGGGGACACTTGATGCAGCTGACGTCCTTGCGGTATTGAATGCCAGCAAGCTTAGTGTTGAGTCCTGGTTGTCCCGTTTTAGAGAACGTTCCATCTCAGCTGTGACCTCCTCAGCGGCTTTAACGCCGACCTGGAAGAACTTGGAATCCTGCTTTGAGCCGCCCAAGTCGTTGACCAGGCTTGAGCTGACAGTTGTCGCGACAGCAAGGACAAGTCTCGTCTTGGCTGCAACAGGTCCGAGATGGTATCTTTCCGCTAGCATCTGCGATAAAGAGTCTAAATATTTCAGCAAAAGCTGTTGAAAAATGACCAGCGTGGGCTGTGGGCTGTTGCAGACGGTTGTTCCTAGATTGATGCGCCGCAGGCGACCAACGACCAAACAGGCGGTCAATGCTGCTCGGGCAAGGTCGGTCCAAAGTAGATGGTAGGCCACGTTAGACAGCTCAGAGCCGCTCTGTAACACCTCCTGTGACTGATGGAGAATGGACACCGAATTGTCCCATGCTTCATAGAGATCACCCCGCTGTGAATTATGAGACGGGACTCCTAGGACGAAATTGAGTGTGATGATGATCATGAAGCTATGTACATGCATTGATAACAAGGCCTGCTGAAGCTTTTCAATTGGACTGCATGACGAAGCTCCCTCTTGCAGATTCGGAGGCAACTCACGCAGGATCTTTTGGAAAGAAGCGCGCATTCGATCCCGTACCTCGCTTGATAATCCAGGGGCTGTGGAGCAAAGTCGCTGGTGTAATGGAGCTCTAACTATAGCAAGCTTCATTGCGGCGATATTGAAAGCCTGGTCCGTTGCTTCCTGCACCTGGTTCAAGAAGGTACCTGAGTCCGTTATGGGTCCTTGGTCAAGTGTTAGAAGGTCGATAGCGCTCGGGAGAGGACAGTCCACATCTTCCAGTCGAATACCAAAGTGGGATCCACTCCGTATGCAATAGTTGAGGTTCAATCGAAAGAAACACGCCCATAATCGTTTCCGAACTTCCGCATAGTAAGGAGTAACCCCGGGAAACAAGGCCGGATCCCTATGCAAGCCCATGCTCAGAGCCATTTGCGTAGTCAGCCCCATGATACCTAGGAGGCTATAAATTTTGTCAGTGTCAGAGGCAGTGATGGTCTTCATGATGATCAACAACAATAAAGCCTGCATGACGCCGATACAAGGTTTTTGGAACCGTGTGGATGTGTGAATACGGCTCTCCGCTTCTTGTAGCAGTAGGCGCCCGCGTAGTCGCTCGGACTTGTCGGTCTGCATGGCTATCGCAATGACCAACATAATCTTGAGGATGTGCACTTCATTGGCGTCGACACATGCCATCAATATTTCGTCTAGCTCGGTGATCAGGCAGTTGTGGTCGATCACATGGTAGATTCTACCATATGTTTCACAAAATCGTCTGATCCACTTTTGGCAGGTCGATCGGTCGGGAAGGAGATAGAGTAGCTTCTTACCATCTCCATTCACCCCGGCTGGTAATGCATTTGCGATGTGAAGGAGAGACTTTACTTCCGTGAAAGTTCTCCACGTCACTTGAAAATCAACGGTCTTCTCCAGCATGGCCCCTATTATGGGCAAATCGTTGCAGGGGGCCATCCAATGAGTGCCGCCAATGAGCCTTGTTTTGAAGTTCGACCCTTTAAACGCACTATTGGCATGACTGACGGTGGTCTGGTGGGGCAACGCCGATCGTGGATCAAGGGTCTCGCCGTCAGAAGAGCGGGGTGTCAGCTGCTCCAAGGCGAGTTGATCGACCCCTGTGCTTCGAGGGGATACGATTGGTCTGGTAGAGTCGGAGACTGCTGAACTTTTTGAACAAGAGTACGTGCACTGTGTGCCCAGTCCACGATCTTGGCAGGGTTTGCATGGCGACTTGCGATCGCAGCGGACTTTGGATTTCCGGCAATGGTTGCAGGCCACGGGCTCCCGAAAACGGGGTCTTTTCCGACCGTTGTTTTTCTTGGGGTTCTCAAATGCTTCTGCATCCATATGGCTGAATGTCAACATCTTGTCAACTGTACAGGGTGGTGATCAGGATGAAGACTTTGAAAAGATCAAAACGGCTCGACAAAGAACGATTCTCAGCCTTTGAACGTCCGCTCGTACTTCAGCCACGAGCCTAGTCATGACAAACCACTCCATCCAATAACAACCAGCCTGCATGCCACATCCCTGTCCACAATATTACTCACATTTATGATTAGTGATCCACTAGCTGCTTATTGCCGCTAGTTCCCGGATTTGCACCCCCTATGATCGTAGGTATTATGTTACGTGTAGGTGAAGATACTAGAATCTTCGGACTTTAGTGGTAGGTGATTCATATATTACAGTTCGCTAAAGGCTATGATACATACAGGTTAAAAATCAAACTATACTGTTGAATGCATCAAGACAGGGTGGTCTAAGACTTAAGTGCCTGTCTTTCAGAGTCTTGGGCCTTGTTGTCATCAAACATCCAGTGTTTTGGCCCCTCTGGCTGTTTAACCTCATATCTCTTTTGTCAGGAAGTCTTCGGGCAGAGTCGCCCGTTGTTGTTCCAAGAGTAGGGCAGCGGGTCAACAGTCTGAACCTCCCAATCCTCAGCACCAACAGCAGTCAGGGCAAAGAAAAGACCCGTAGGATCATACTTTTGCTTGAGCGCGTATAGACGGGGATAGTTGACGCCGTAAAAGGCCTCCTGGAGGTTTGGCTCGATAAGATCACCCTCACTCATGTAGGACCCTGAGTCTGGAGCGATATCACGTAGAACGTCCATCCACTCAGTCACGAAGAGTGTGGAGCTCTCCACCACATCCCAGGGGGAAGTGAAGTTCCATTCGGTACCAACAATAACGTGCGACAGGGCATCGCGCCATGCGGGAAGCACGGAAGTGTCTGTGGGGGGCTCAACGGCAATGCCGGTGCCGCTTATGTGGAAGCCAGCAAGGAAAAGGCCCTGTGATAAGTCAGACACTATACGAGGGGGAGAGCAGAGGGTATATCTATGCATCTATGTATATTTATACGACATACCTGATTAACAGCATCCCTGTAGGCGGCCCAGGTTTGATTGCGGAGATCATCGCTCTGGAATACACTGCGGGGGAGCAGACGAGAAGCAGTCTTCACGACATCAGTTCCAACATATTCCTGAGGGAAGGACACGACCCAGGCATCATGGCTAGAAGAAGGTTTAAGCTGGGATATAGATGCAGACTTGAGAAAGGGGTGGTGAAACTTCAGACGTACAAGTTATCTGCGTGATTGTACCATGGGGTGTAAGAGACATTCAGGCTTTTGAGGGTATCAAACCATGGAGCCAGGATTGCCTCAGTCTGGGCAACAGTCATGTTGGGTGCGACGAAGGATTCCATACGGAAGTAATAGTCAGGATCACCAGCATATGTCGTACCAATCATGGCTTCGGAAGCACCGATGTAGAAGTAACCGTAGGTGCCAGCATCAACAAAGGTCTCAAAATTGTCGAGGTAGGACCCAACAGCAGCCCAGAAGGCATCCGGACCCGGAGTATCGCTGACCGTGAAATTGAAGGTCACGGTAGTCGTCTCCAGCTGAGGTAATGCTTTAACTGTCAAAGAGGTGACGACTCCAATAGTGCTACCACCGCCACCGCGAAGCATCCAGAAAACTTCCGAGTTTTCAGTGGAGCTAGCAGTGATGAACCTGCCATCTGCCAGAACAACTAAGCATATTTAGTAGGGGGGTTCTTGAAGCAAATTCGAGATAATAGAAAAGGGACTTACCTTGCATGGCCAAGACCTGATCGGCCGCCATACCATACATACTGGAAAGGGGAGAGTGACCACCACCAGCAGTATAGCCACCACCCAAGCCGACGGTGACGGCTTCTCCACCGACAACCGAGTGGCCGAGGGTCTGAGCAAACTCATAAGCCTCGTGGACTTGAATACCCGAGCCGAACTTAATGGCCGGACCGACATAGCCATTAGCAGCCTTGAAGTTCGGGAGATATTCCTTGTCCTTGAGGTAGTGGGTCCAAATGGAGAGGGCACCCTTGCCGGATGCCTTACCATTGAAATCATGGCCGGTATTCTTGACCACTAGCCGCAAGTTCAGGTTACGGGCAAAGTTGACCGCTAGCTGGATCTGAGCCACAGTGGATACATTCACTGCATAAGTCGGATAGGCGCCTTGCGTGCAGCTGGCAGTATAGTTATACGGTGATGGTAGGCACGAGCGGCCCTCGTACAGCGGCAGCATTATCGATGCAGGGTCGGCCATGTGCAGGTCCGAGGTAAGCCAGTCAGCGGAGATGCTTGCGCACTTGGCAGCATCGTACTGCGGCCAGTCCGGATAGCAGTAGGATCCCAGGGGTACCGTTTTAATCAGGCTACCGCCGAGCAAGAGATCGAAGACATCCCAAATGAGTTCCACGGGCCACAAGAAGTCGCCGGGCATTACCTTACAGCTATTATGGACACTCCTCTTGGCTACCGAGGAGTCGCTCGCAAAGGCGAACATGTTAGCGACAGTGCTATTCTGCAAAGTCGCGGCCACATCAGAGAGTACACCTTCAGTCAACTGCACCTTTTCATTGTGGAACAATAAAGGTGCCGAGTCAGTGGTGGCCACCACCGTAGTTGATGCTGCTGCGAGTGAGGTAGTTGAGATCGCCCGAGCTAGTGAAGCGCTCGCGACGACTGTAGCTCCCCATATGCCCTTCATATCGGAGATTCACCTGCAGAATTCCAAGAAAGAAAAAAAAAGAACGACCAAGGGTTGGTGGTCAGTTAATATAGAAGATATGGTTGACCCCCTGTCAACAATGTGGACAGGGGTGCTACTTAAATACTCCGTACATCTACCATGGTAGGCCAGCCACGCGCCCTCAAGAAAGCTTTCTGGGACAAGCGACCGAAGAACCGCGGAGCTTCGGCTGGTGGTGCTATATTTTAATTAAATTACCTCGGTCTATTTATTTGTTTGGTGCTATAGCCGACAAAATAAATACCCTTGTACACTAAGTAACTAGTTGCATACGTTAGTTAATGAGGCGTGCTCAAATATATTCACACCGGAACAATTATCACTATCTACAGCAAAGCTTCCCACAACAAATAAAAATTCATAGAGCGCACTTTATTTACGGTCTTTGATTCAATTTCAAGATGCTGACACATTTAGTGCACAAGCAATGTGTTCGTACTATGCATCGGCAAATCCATTTCTGAAACCTCCAGGCTCCAGTCTCGATTTTAGCCCCCAACCTAGTGCCCCAATCTAATATCCATCTGAAACACAACTAAACTCGATTCTATATTGACTTACGATCCCCGGCAAGCTACTTCGTATACGCTAGTCTATATCGAGCCCGGAAGCCGGAAATAAGCACACAATGTAGGGAAAGCTTCAACTAATTGTGATCCGAACTAGCCGTATTCCCTCCATTCTCTGCCAACCGCTTTATAGCAGGGTGCGGTATAATTTATGCAGGTGAAAATGCACCAGGTGGGTTTTCTCAATACTCATGTGACCCTGGCGCACTACCCACGCAAGTCGAATTTTCCCTGTCAAAACAACAGGCGACAAGCGCGGTGTATTTGTACATGAGACGACTGCCTCAAAATTATGGCTTCCAGTGACAACCTGCAAGGGCAGGCTATCGGCCTAATCTTTGCCTTTCCGTGCTTCGCGAGCGTGGCTGTGGCTCTGCGGCTTTACAGCCGCACGTTGACGCAGTCGTTTGCCGCAGGTCAGTCCAATGTCCCAACCCCTTTTCACTCATGGGTTCTATAGATCTAACGGACAATAGATGACTGGGTTATTTGCGTCGCAATAGTGAGTGCCGGAACCATTTCAAGAACGAGCCTAGAGGATTGACAGAGATCGGCAGATCATGTATTGGGCGGAGACCTTTACATCTTATAAAGGTAAGATCGGAAGTGCAGGGATAATCTAGTGGGTACTTTGATTCATGAGGCTAATCATTTATTAGTGATAATTTACACGTACATCGGATATAACGTCTGGGATATACCGAAAGACCATCCCGCCATTCTCGGTGGCAAATATACCTATGCAGTGAGTAGAACATATTCTTGTTCACAATACTCGTTCACTCTTGCTAAAAAAAAAATAGACCGAGCTCATTTACAATCCCATCTTGGCCCTCGTCAAGACCTCCATCCTACTCTTCTTGCTACGCCTAACTGGCCAGAAAAAGTCGGTGCGCCTAGCCATCTGGGGACTCTTAATTTTCAACGGTATCGCGGCTATCATTACATTTTTCATCACTGTCTTTCGATGCATGCCCGTTGCCGCTAATTGGGATTCGGTCGCATATCCCGATGCCAAGTGTCTTGACTTTGCCAACTTCGTCACCGCCACGGCCTCAGTCTCCATTCTCACTGACGCCCTTTCTTTAATACTACCGACATGGATCGTGTATCGCCTACAGATGCAATGGAATCAGAAATTGATGCTGATCGGTATTCTATCATTGGGTCTTTTGTAAGTAGCTCAGCTAAATTTCTTCTTTCCGATCAATTTGAGACTAATAAATAAAGAACTGTGGTGACTGGAATTGTTCGCCTGATTCTCCTTGACAATTTCGACCGTCATATGCCCAAGAATTACACACATTCGGTGCTCTTTTGTGTATCTACCATCGAAGTTGGCCTCTCATTTATCGCTGCGTGTGCTCCCTCGTTTAAACCACTAGTTACCCGGATCGTCCCGAAGCTTTTCGGCTCGACCCGCACCGGCCCGTATAACGGCTCCACCAACCGGAGCGGTCGGGCCCGGTTGGGTTACAACCTCGAGGAAACAACGAACTTCACACATCGCACGCAAGATAAGATCACCACTACCGTTGAAGGCGGTGATGACGAGCTCAGCTACAGTCCCACGAATTTGAAAGCCAATAATGTGATCACCATGACAACGGAAATGGAGGTCACCTGGGATCGGTCTAATATTGAGGAGCAAGAGACTAGCAGCACAGAGAGTCTTGTCTACGGGAAGGAAAGGAGCAGGCGTTCTTAGTAAATTTGTAATAAGGACAAAATGAGACCTCATAGCACTCTCAAAGCATATCAGGCTTGTGAAACCTAAGCACACACATACAGCCCCCCTTAGTATCTCATACCAACACAAAATATACCAGTACGGTGTAAATGTCATCGGTAGATTAAAGAAGGGCTGATTTAATATTTTTTAATAATGAAGAGAAATTTAGGGATTATGGAACTTCAGTATATTGGAAATATATCCCAGCTCTGGTAGCTCTAACTTAGGCAACACGATTTAAAGTGATCTAAGCTGACAACTTGCATAAAGATGACATGAAACGTGGCACGACAGAACGAGGGTTCCCCGCTCTATTCTCGTGTAACTATATCATTGTATCAAAAGCAATATACACAGCTGTGAATTATTTAACACCATCGCCACCTAGACTCGAAAGAGTTTTGTAATTTCCACTCTCTTTAGCTCGAAATCCTCAAAATCAGTTTCTAGCATGAAATATAATCCCCATAGCACTCACTTTGCTAATATTATAAGCACCACTAAGGACTCACTACCCAGAATGTTCCTCGGTGGAGAGTGCGGCAAGCGCCTGGTAGCAACTATTATTGACGAGACGGCTAGCAAAACTCCTGATCTTGAGTGCATGTCAATTCCACGGAGCAACAATCCCAGCGATGGATGGAAACCCGTGACCTGGGCTGAGGTCGCCAATGCCGTCAATTATGTGGCAAATATGCTGATTACACAGGGTGGGCATCCAGCGCCTGGCATATTCCCCACAGTGGCGTATATCGGCTTGGAGGACCCGCGTTATCCCATCTTCGTGATCGGTGCCATCAAAGCCGGCTACCAGGCCCTACTCATCTCGCCTCGCAACTCGATCGAGGCGCAACTGAACCTGTTCGTCAAGACAGATTGCAACATATTATATCATGAGCAGCAGTATGCGTCAATGGTACATCCGTGGGTGGGTGCAAAGCCAGGAATGAAGAGTATGGCTGTAACTCCATTTGAGGAGTGGGTTGCGGATGGAGTCGCACCGGTTCTGTACGGTAAGACATTCGCCGAGGCAGAATGGGACCCTTATATGGTAGTGCACACGAGTGGCAGTACTGGCCTTCCTAAACCTGTAGTTGTACGGCAGGGTATGGTCGCTTCGAATGATCTTCATCGTTACATACCGGCGCGCAATGGCAACTTACCTTGGCTTCCGACATGGGCCGGTTTTCCCAATCCGCGCCACCTGCTTGTTATGCCCTTGTTTCATGCTGGAGGCTTCATGGTCGCCACTTTGTGCGCTTTCTACTATAATATGCCGATAGCATTCCGGGACCCCTCTCGACCGATCACAGGTGATAATGTGGTCAAGTGGCTGCAAAACAGTAACCCTGGGTGGACGGTCATACCGCCGGCCATATTGGGCCATATGTCCCGTTCGCAGCAGGCAGTCGAGGAGCTTCAAAAACTGCATATTGTGGGCTTTGGGGGAGGTTAGTTATATTTGCAATTTCAGTTTCCCGATTTGCTCCATGCTATTTAGCTAACCGGACAATCCCATCAGGGGCTATTGCCCCCGACACGCCCGACCGACTGGTAAAGCATGGTATCAAGGCGGTCAATATCATTGCAACTACCGAGTAAGAAATACTGAAGCTATTCTTTTGTAGTATGAAATCTGTCGAACGCTTTACTTACCAGTCGTGGTAGGTTTTCTTTCTTTCCATATTACTCTCAACCAGACCCCGCCATGTGGCCATGGTTTATCATTCCAAGCGATATGATGGGTATTGAATGGCGGTTGGTTGGGGAAGATACGTACGAGCAGGTCATAGTGCGCAAGGAAAGTCACCCCGGGCTACAGGCTTGCTTCTATACATTTCCCCAGCTTGACGAGTTCAGTACCAAAGACCTGTACCGGCCGCACCCGACCCTGGCAGACCACTGGACATACGTCGGGCGTGCTGACGATATCATCGTCTTCTCCACGGGAGAGAAGCTTAACCCCGTGACAATTGAAGGTGCCATTATGGGCCATCCAGAAGTGTTGAGCGCGCTGGTTGTTGGAAGTACGCAATTTCATGCTGCGGTAATAATCGAGCCGATTCAGCATCCCAAGAATGAGGAAGCAAAGAAACTTTTTCTTAACAAAGTTTGGCCAACTATTGAAAAGGTCAATGCTGAAACGGTTGCACATGGCCGTATCTCCCGCGATTATGTCTTTTTGTCAGATTCACAGAGGCCATTTCCTCGTGCAGGCAAAGGCACCATTCAGCGCTCTCTGGTGGAAAGGTTATATGCGAAAGATATTGAAATATCTTTCGGCAACAGCGACAATTCGGTAGTGGCTACGGAGCTTGATATCACTTCCGAGACAGCATTTTTGCGTTCCGTTCGCCAATTAGTCCAGAGAATTTTCAAATCCCATAACTTGGACACAGACAAAGATTTCTTTACCGCCGGCATGGACTCACTGCAAGCAATCCAACTCTCACGCGCGCTGGTTGTCAGTTTAAAGAAATTGGGGGTGACGGTCAACGAGCAGGCGGTAGAATCGAGGGTTATCTTTGCCCATCCGACGATCACGCAGCTAGCAGCATATGCCTTCTCCCTGGTCTGCGCAAGCCGAACACATAATGGCCCAACCTATGGTGCCGGTGTGATAGCGGATAAAGCAACCATATGCAGAGCACTCGTCGACAAATACATTCACAACCTTCCAGCTCCAGTACCCAATAAGCCAGCTCCGGCAGACAAGGGACAAGTCGTTGTTATAACGGGCACAACGGGTGCCCTGGGATCATACTTGTTGGACTTTGCCTTGAAATGTCCCAATGTTAGCAAGGTCGTTTGTTTCAACCGCTCTGTGAATGGTTTAGAGCGCCAGATTGAGGCAAGCACGTCCCGAGGATTATCGACTGATTTCTCCCGGGCCGAGTTCCTGCAGGTTAACCTTGCAGTGCCAGACTTGGGCCTTGCGCGCGAGGTAAATAACCGACTGGCTGATGAGGTAGACCGTGTGATTCACAACGCTTGGCCTGTCAACTTCAACATGTCCGTGAGGTCTTTTGAGCCGCATATCCGCGGTGTACGTCACCTGGTCGATTTCAGCGCACAAGCCGCTCGCAAAACTGTGCCCATAACATTTATTTCAAGCATTGGAACAGTTGAACGACGGGGGAATCCGCAGGTGCCTATTCCCGAGCAAGCCCTACCAGATTGGTCCCTCGCAACAATGGGGTACAGCCAGTCCAAGCTCGCAAGCAGCATGATTCTCGATAAAGCTGCCGAGGTATCGGGTGTGCCTGGTGTTATAGTACGGGTTGGTCAAATTGCAGGCCCGCGTGGCGAGAAAGGGAAATGGAATCCGCAAGAGTGGCTTCCAAGCTTAGTTCGAAGTTCTGTCCACCTAGGTGTCCTACCTGACTCCCTTGGCACATTTGATGATATGGGCTGGGCACCAGTGGAGGACATTGCGAATGTGGTACTGGATGTTTCGGGTGTGACATCCCTTTGGCCAGTAGAAGAAATTGCCGGATACTTCCATGCGCTCAATCCAAATGCTACCAACTGGTCTAGCCTCATACCTGTCCTGCGTGATTTCTACGGCGGGAGAATCCAAAGAGTTGTCTCATTGGAAGAGTGGATCCATGCACTTGAAAAGAGCCAGGTTCATCCTATGATGGATGATAACCCGGCGGTGAAGTTGCTCGACACATATCGATCGGCAGCAGAGGGCGCAAATATGGGAATCAAGGCGGTATCGCTGGCCACCACACGTACTGAGCTTCATAGCTTCACAATGCGACAGATGGAGGAGGTTTTGCCCGAATTGATGAGGCATTGGTGTACGCAGTGGCAATTTTGAGGCGTGTTTAGGAAATGGAGGATTTTGCTACGGCAAGATACATGCCGCGAAACATAGGACCGCAGTCGCCTCGCAGAAAAGAAGAACATCGCAACAAACGCTTGATACATGCTGAGAGCATTTATTGTAGATTCGAGAGTGCGGGTGGTAGATTTAAATTGCTAGGATTCCAGAGGCCGTCGAATATAGCGCGTTCTAAGAACAAAGATGAGACTCAAGGCAAAAAGGGCCTTACCCGAAAATTTTTGTAAAGGGGTGCAATTGTTATTTTGCTAATCTTATACGAACCCGAGAGGTCGCCGAGGAAGATGTGGAGAAACTCCTCAAAATGTTTGAAATCAAAAGATGCGGTAATATAGCACTGGATTCAAAGGCAAGGTACGAAAACGAGTAATACTGAGCATATATCGGCCCCTTTTAGTTATAAATATATCATGCAAGAAGCTTATTAGCTCCACCTTAAAAGTAACACTCGGCCGTTTATTGGGCAGACACATAGTATCTCCACATGGCTGAATTAGTTATGGAGCCACCAAAGCTTAGTCAAAATAACAATGAGTCCGGCATCCCTTCTCGAAGTAAACTCCTTCTGCAACAGCTCCTGAGTGGAATCATGTCTACACAAGCACAATTGGCTTTACCGAAATATCGGATGTAGAATACTTGAATCAACACATTGTTTCAGACTGTATTTTCCCGGATCCCAGACCCGTAACGTTGGTCTGTTTCAAAAACAGCTCACCTGAAACACCTAAATCCAATTTGTTCCTTTTCTTGAATCCACATGCGAATTTTCATCCCACGAAATGGAGACATTCGAGATTGGTGGAATCAAATGATCCGGCTGGTGTTTCCCCTGAACCGGGTCATCTGACACCTTCAATCTTGAAATATTTGGATATATAAAGCTCCCGTCCGCATCCGAAAATTGATTCTTCAACCTTGGATCAACATCTCATATTCATCATGTCTATCAGAAACCTCGCCATCCTCGCCATCCTCGGCCTTGTCAATGCCCAAGATACGGTTGGATTCGGTCCATACTTTTCCCTCGGCCCTACCTCGTCATGGATCCGTGAAGCAAACACAACACTTGTCCTCCCCGAGGCCTCGAGCCCACAGAAAGACCGTCTTGCTCTGTGGCCCGGTATGGGAACAAGCGCTGGTGATTTGATTCAGGCCCTTGCCGTTTCTTTCGCCGACCCTAGCGCGTGAGTGATGGGAAACCTAATGACAATTTACATAATTGATTACTGATTCTTGCAGAAACTGTGGAGCGAAAGCTGGGCAATGGTGCACTTGGGCTAGTACACTTCAAGGCACCCAGCTGGGCGGAAAGCAGGTTCCTGCCGAAGCTGGTGATGCGATTACAATGCATTGTAAGTTCTGATTTGCTGGGACTTGCAAACGTACGCTAACTATTCTATAGACAAGTACAATGACGAGACCAGCAAGTTCGATCAGACAGTCTCCATCAACGGAGAGGTTGTGTCTACCCTTTCAACCAGTAAGTCCTAGGTCTAATCATAATCCCAGTCTTCTACTGACACTCCTTTCTAGCTTCCGGTCAAGCACAGGGTTGGGGTACTGCTGTCGAATGCCAGGATGATGCCTGCAAGAGCACTGCTGCAGCACACGGTAAGTCGGCGCGGATATATCCAAGTCATCAAGCAAATGCTAATTATTTTAGAATACCTCGATACTACAATCATCCTCAACGCCGCCGATGCTTCCTTCATTGACACCCTGGCTATCAATGAGGTCACTTCTTCTGGTCTGAAGACAGCCGATAACGGAAAGACTTGGACTGTGTCTAGCATCAAGGTTCAGGCTCACACCTACGACCTGTAAACAATAGCTCTCAGCCTATGTATGTACTCTAGAAACACGCTTTGTGCACGCGGCAATTTAGACAATTTCAGCCTCCATGATCTGTCTAGCAATTGAAGCACCTTCAACACAAGGAATAAAAAGGTTCAGCACACCTTACTACTCAAGAGGGAATATGGCTGTCAATTATATATCCAAGTAGTATTTGATGTAGCCAAGATCAACTAGAAAGCAAGTAGCGATCGAAAGTTTCAACCCCTTTAGGGCATATTCCCCCGGACCACTGCATCAATCGCACGGGCCGTCCGCTCGACATTTTCCGTATTCAACCCAGCGATATTTATACGGCCGCTAACCGGGAGATGCACGTGGTGGTCGTCGATAAGCGCATTGCACTGTTCGGGGGTGAGGGCAAGGCAACTTGTCAATGATCAGTTATGATATCGTTTTAATGGAATGGGATATAGTACGAAAAGAGCCCCTTCTCCTCAATAATGTGGTTCCAATGACCTGGTGTCTATAAGCAATATCGTGTTAGCACTCGCAATACTGGAATGAGATTAAGGAGGACAGTGTACCTGGAGAACCATCGTCAGTTCCTCGTGGAGTCGATGCCTGTTACAATGTAACCTCGCTCTCATGGATGCTAGCTCCTCAACCCTTTGTAGACATGCTTTGTCAGTGAGAGGAAATATTGGGAATGTAGATCACTTACCATTGCCGACGCAGCTCGGTATCCTCTAGCACGATCGTAACCAACCGCGATCCGTATGCCGGCGAAGAGGAGTACTCACGCCGTATCAGGCTTCGCAGTTGATCTTTGGTGTTAGTCGCGACCTCAGCTGAGCGTGTGACTACATAAAGAACTCCACAGCGCTCCCCGTAGAGCGCAAAATTCTTGGAGAATGATTGGCATACGATCATGTCAATTCCGAGACGCGAAAGTATCCGGACGCCCACGGCATCCTCATCTAACCCATCACCGAGTCCCTGGTAGGCAATATCAATGAAAGGCAGGTGACCGCGAGCTTTTATTTCCTCTCCGAGCAGCTGCCACTGCTCTGGCGTAATGTCCTTGCCAGTAGGGTTGTGGCAACAGCCCTGTAGAACGAATACACTCCCGGCAGGGGCGTTTCTGATCGCGTCGATGCAAGGCTGGAAGGAGAGTTCGGATGTTTGGGTGTCTATATATGGATACTCGACAGTCTCTAAGCCGGCGTACTCACAGAGCGGCTTCATGTTATTCCAGGTAGGCACTCCGAGGTAGATGGTCGGCTTTGGATCCAGTGATCTAGCCATAAGGATAGCGGCGATGTGGTTGGCTCCTGTTCCTGAGAGAGTCTGGACCGACGCGATCTATTTTGAGGAATTAACACTTTGTTATGCAAACATTCTGTGGAGATGCCAACGGACCCGCCCTGATACCAAGGCTTCATTTTCTTCGCCAAACATGACTTCAGCAGCAAGCTTAAGGAATTTATCATCGCCAGTGGTGAGTCCATACTGAATTCTTGATTAGCAATGAGATTTCGGGCCTGGGTTCTATATCTGATATTTTACGTCGTGCCCCAAGTCGAGCTGGTCCAGTATTTTCTTTGCCTATAGGTCCACATAGTTAACGAGCATATTCTCATCATGTGTCACTTGACATGTGATTACCTTCTTCACGACAACAAGCTCCTGGTAGGTTCCTTGCTCATTCCGATATATGCCCACCCCTATGTCGACCTTATTTGGGTGATTATCCCGATCGGCCTTTTTCTTCAGATGGAAAAACGGGTCGACGGGACCTGGAGGGATATGGTCAAACATTCTTTCTGGTAGAGGGAAGCTTCAAGAAGGGTGTGAAAGGGAGGTCTCAGATCAGACACTTAATCTACAGCGCAGAATCTCTGACCTAAATACATAGCCCAAGATCTCTCCGGAGTACTAACCCGACACTTATAAATATCAACCGAGATAACTACTCATTAAGTCGGCCAATCACTGCTGACCCTCTGTAGCCCCCACAGTACGGCACGACAGCTGGAACGCCGATCCAGCAAATGAAGGGCCCGGCTTGAATCAGTCGGTGCCGGTACACACCATAGAACCTGTTCAGTAAAAAACACCCATCACATTGATTTTTCCCATGTTCAATTATCTCGATTCTTTTCACACCATTCACCTCAATTTGCTGAGCTGTTGAATCGAATCACCTCGGTTTTTACTTTTATTCTTTTCATCAATGGTTTTATTGATAGGGCTTATCTACATTATTAGTTTAGTGAACGCCACCAAGAGCGTGGGGTTAAATCTCATTTGTCTAGTATATTGTGGGGGAAAGGAGATCGGCATTAGCAGGATATTACCGATCAAACGAGGCTCATCCCTATCTCGACTGGAGTTCCGAAGCGAGTCCCCCGGCCGCTAACTGCACTTCCCGAGCGCCATTCGGCGAATTTAACCTCTACGCCGGCCTATATCGGCCTAGACCTCCCGTGCACGCTGTGACTTAAACGGCGAATATTTTCCAATGCATGTGATCAAATCATTACAAGCTGGGTATTTCAATAAAAAAGGAGGAACGAAAGAACAAGAAGAGAAAGAGAGAACAACAGCCAAAAACACAAAATAAATTGGGTGGGATATATGGGTTTGAGTACGATCTATGTACAAACATGATATGCATTGAAGTAGCTAGCAACGAAACCGTGATTGAGCCAAATGCTGTTCCGTAGTCAAATATCTTAAGTTCGGGTTCCAATTGCTATCCAGTGGACAATACTTGGGGTGAGATGGTTGGTGGTTGCGCGTTCACCCGCTGGTTTGGTATGTTGCGGTACACAACTTGAAGGACCCTTATTGCTGCAATGGGCCAATGCATGTCAATTGTGACTAACACTTGACATTGTATTCGAGGTGTTGTTGATCTAAATTGTTTCGTGATCCATTCTCAATACATATTCATCGAATTTCTTTTTGCATGCTTGATTGGCGAGTCTCTTTCTTCTCATTTCCTAGCTGGTACGGCACTATTGGACTCAAATCTGTAGTACATTGATGCTAGGCGTTCGACAGGCACTTTGCAATGCTTGCTTTGATCATCAGCCAAAATCATACCAATTTTCATTCGGAACAACCAAGGTGACTGAAGCCAATAAACGGTCGACTTTCGAGTTTACCTATCTCCTTCCCGTCCTTGGTGAGATATTCGAGGTCCTGACGAGGTAGCCTGATCAGCGCGCAATGCTTGTCTTGCATATATCACGCGATCTTATCTCGAATCCCATTGACTGCCACTGAATGCGCTTGCAGTGCTTTTCCCTCATACGAGGTGACCGGTCACCTTAGATAATTCTGTATGTCCAGGATCGAGTCACCTGTCTGTGAAAGGTTGAGGATGTCCTGTCGGATAGGTAAGGTCCTTTCTAGTGTCTTCTTCAATAACAGTGGGCAATTGTGCTCTTGACGTCATCCGTGAGGGCTCCCGTGATTGTCTTTTTGATATTCAGAAAGGCTTGCAAAGCATCCCCAGCCATAGCTCGTCACTCATGGAGTCAAGGCTGACGTAAAGGCTCCTTGTGGTAGAGGTCCCTTTTTGTGCGGAGGTGGCGTTGCTTCCATTTTTGAGGTAGATGAGGTCGCAATTAATCACCTTCCAGGCCCAGGTACTCGGGGGCCTAATCGTTCAGCCCACGGTAGAAGCGTGAATGTCCACCTTAGGACCAATTCACCGCTTTCCGCAATCGGTACCGACTCTGTTAGTATCACGGATTAATCCCGATATTACTTTACTAGATGTGTGGGGTATCTTACAAGCAGGAGGATACTAAGGGGCATATATGACGCTGTGTAGTAGGATCAGACGAAGAATTGATAATATCCTAGTCAGGATTGGGCTGAAGATGCATATTCTGGCTAGAGCTAGACGTAGCGCCGGAGTCACTCATCAATGTTGTTGAGTGAAAAAGTGAAGAAAGAGGCTTCGATGCATTGCAATTCGAGAGCATTTTGACTTGTTTGCATTTTTGATTGTCCATCCTTTGCTTCTCCCTGGAGCCCTTCACGAAGCCCAAGGGTAGCTAGGAGTGGTACCACGTGGAAGACTCCAGCACAGCCTCTGGCTACAACTCGCGTTTCACGGTGGTCTTGTTGGTAATAGCTAGTGGAAATAAATGACGGTCTTTGTGTTGTGATTTAACGTTCCGATTGGAGAAAAGGTCAGATAACCCGATCCCAGTGTTAGTGGACTTGACCAGCGATCATATCACATTCAAGAATTTCTCCAAATTAAGCTGGCGAAGACCATTCCGAACGATCATGTATTGGGCGACTTTGGTTCAGATAATCAGAGCAAGCCTTTTTTGGTCTGCAGGACAGGATAAGTTTCTGACTTAACCAGGGTGCCCTCGTCGTTAGGGAAATGGGCAGGTTAATGCGTTCTCAATTTCCAACATTTTGTCCGTAGAAACCATTCTTTTAGTTGGATATATAGTTGTAACTCAAATTGGTCCCTGTAAATGCCTGTTAGAGATGGGGGTGTAGAGTGCTCCCATGCCATGACTTGCCATGTTTTTGTCTGGGTAGAGTACGATTGCCATCTCGTTGACCTGACCACTTGCTCTTAGTGCTCCCAGGTGCTAAACCTTGCCTTCTGATGGGCGAAGAGAATCTTCGTTGATTTCCGAACTTTGTCGCGCTCTGAGTTGAGCTTGATGATTCGTTGAGTTGAGATATATTCAGTGGAAGAGTTGATTGGTCTTGCAGAGTGCATAATAAGACGTTGGCGGACTAGAATTGATCATCGCGTAGCGACTAACATGACTCTATCGGATCGGCGTAGCCAATAGTGAGCCGGCCTAGACTAACACGGGATGGGTGGTCGAGTACCGCACAGAAGAATGATTTGTGGTTCCAGATTTCACAGACAAGGTTGAGTGGGGCCAGGCCCAGCTGGTTAATATCGTCCTTTGTCCACTCTATTTTCGCCTGTCCGACTAAGCATACCACGCCCGACTGAACAGGGCCTTGCAAAAGCGGCAAACGCATGATTAATGGAAGGAAGGGGGGCACTGTGCCACTCCTTTGGGCTTGAGTCTCATTTTTCGATCCCGGGGATTTCGTCGTTGTGTAGGCACTCTTTCAAAACGTATGTCAACATTCCCCACCACCGATACCTCTCCTTGCCTAGTGGCATCAAAGATTTTTCCACAGCCGCACAAGGATAGGTTGCCCAAATATCCCCGAACTGAGATTTCAGACTCCCAACACATGCAAGAACCTAGACATCTTGTTGATGGTTCGATTTGTTTTTGAATCAATTCCAAGAGTTGGACATTGTGTGTGATCGATATTTCAAATTCTGACGTTTGTTATGGTGTGAGCAGTTAGAGAAATGATCACACTGCTCACGCGTGAGACTTAAGTTCTCGATTTGGTGTCATTGCGGTAGCGTTTTCAGTTGAGTTGAGTTTTTCCGTTCTTGTTTCTGACGTCTGATCTTCCGAGGCTGGGTGTGTTGTGGGCAGTTGGAGAAAGGTCCAGGTATGGGATTGTTGTGAAATCTTAGTGCGACGAAGCTGGAAGGAGCGTCCAAGTCCTACTTTCCTTAGATAAATAATCCATGGATGACATATGCACGTGTCAACTAACATACAAATTAAGTTCTACGCTAACAGATCAAAGAGCGACAATATGCTCTAAATCGAAACTAAACTCGCACTGGGATAAGTATTTCTCTATTGAACCCATCGGAATTGACAAGGCTGTAACAAAGTTGGAGAGGATACTTCTACTTCTTGTCTCTTCCCCCCTCTGCTCTCGATTTATTGCCCAGTTCTATTAAATGTGTGGCACTTGGTTCGTGGGTAACTATGCAGCAGCCTTTCACATTAACTTTTCGAAGGATGTCCACGGGCAAGCAAGCCACACATGGCCTTTCTCGATAAATATCATCACTCAGTTTCAGTATGTCATTATAAGGGTTATAGAAAGGCCAGAGGAGGTCGGGTAGAGGTAAACGGCGTCGGTCAAGTGAACCTAACTATTACATAAGTCAGCTGGTGTGCGTTTCCCGAAGCCTCCGAGTCAACTTACACCACGTGGGGTTCGTCCCAAGGGATTCCCCTGCATCACGGGAATATATCTCGGGATGTGGTAGTCTTAAAGCCGGTAGTACATGGAGTGTCGAACATGGCGTCAGTAGAAAAGAAAATGAGCTTGCGTTGGCGTCACTGGGAAGTCACTAGTCAATAGCACCGCGTAGAGATTCAAGCTCCTCGCTGTTCGATCTTCTAGGGCAATAGAAGTTAACCTAGAATACCCAGCTATGTCAAAGCACACGTATCATTGTCCCTCAATAGACTCTAAAAGGGGGGCAACGTTGGCATAATATCCTGTCGATGCTGATGTTCTTGATGCTGTTAATGAACTAACCTTGTCCTCGACATCATCGGCGCGGCTTGAGTCTGACTCTATCCATTACCGTTCTTCCCCTGCCTAGAATGGAGTAGTATTATCGGAGCCAGCGAGCAGTTTGTTTCAACCTCCTATGGACTCAACATTGTCAGTTTAGTGTTATAAACGCAAAGTGTGCAGAGGGTCTGCATGACGAGCTCTAGATACTTACAAATGCCAAGAATATCAATAGAGAATGTGCTTTGCAAAAGCTCAAGGCACTTAGCACTCGAATGAGGTTGTGCAAGTTCCCTCGGCTCACCAATCGCACAGAACTAGAGACAAAACAAGCTGACTCGGGGTAATTCACTCAACTGGGGGTGCTATCGCACTATTGCAGCGATCTCATCATTTCAATCATTATAGTCAAAATCCGAGAAAATATTCTCGGCATCTAATTTTCCGGAAGCCATGATAAACAAAGCGTCCACGGGTGGAAGTAGAAATGATGCCCATTGAGATGGGACCGTGTGGTTGGAGGATGAAAAATGAAAAGTGGAGCAGGTGGGTGTTTCTGCCCTAGGCATCAATATCTCTGCCTGAAGATCATCCTGCAAATCACCCATAATCCTAGGCGGACTCTGGGGTATACTTACAAACTAAGCCACATTGGACGGAATCATCCTCATCAATACCGTGAATCAGTGGTCACCTGAGGAAGGCAGAGCAAGATTTTGCAGCAAGGAAATATTTGAAAACCACATAATAAAAAATTTCATACGGTATATTCTTTGTTTTAGCGTAGGATCCTGTCGCACCCCTGATGATCTGGGTCGTCAAACTCTGAAAGGGGTTTTCGGGTCTCTAATCCTGGCGGAACAATGAAGATAAACTAACGTTAGAGGCTGCAATGTCCTGCCTAGGTGCAGTAGATAGGTTATCATGAAAGTGATGGGATGTGCTTAGAGGCAGGTATTTGACAAGTGTAGCGGACAATAAATATATGGGTATAGACCAACCATGTAGCTCTAAACGCATCATACAACGCAAAAATAAAATGAACCAAATTTGACCACCCTTAGCTCTTTCCCCCTAATGGAACTATATTTTGCCCTTGTTGTGACTGGGCGGTTTAATTGTTTTACATATTGGGAGAGGAGAGGAGGATGGCCATCGTTGGCGCGACCCATATATCTAATTTTTAAAACATACAATTTCAAAGACAAAGGAAATGGTGGAGGAGGTAGCCCGACAAGGGAAGACATGAGAAGAGCAACATCGCTCGCATGCACGTCCACGGCTATTCACAACGCCATAACACTTCAATTCAATATACATGCCTCAGTAAGGTGATTCCATCGGAGTTTATAATCGTGGAATATTTTAAACTAAGAATGAAGATGATGCCGGTGAGAGTCAGGTTAACTTGGCCTGACACATAGTCAGTCCCAAGGTCAGTTTGAACTCCAAACATAGTGCAGGGTTTGAAAGGCAACTCCTGTCATTCTCTTTGTTCGCTGATATAAGTAGCTACCCTAGGCACCTAGGTAGGTATCGAGCCAACCTCCCAAGGTTACTCACTTGACCCGTGGACCCTTACAAGGCTAACTAATATTAAGCCTATATAATTGAGATCTAGATGTCGATATAGACGCTGATTTTCACTATCAATCAAACGAGTTAAATTATTTGCTAGCGCAAAGGTTGCTGCCCAATCACAGTGAGGCGATAGCAGTAAGGATTCCCTGGTGGTCACATATAACGAAAACTACCTCTAGGGCGACTTCCCTGTATAAATATCTTCCTTTGTTCTCCCGATCCAGATCCTAACAACCTCCCTTCTCACAACAACCACGTTTCTTTCTATCCATATACTACTCCAACGAATACATATAGGATGGTGTTGCACCATGGCCCGGCCTATTGTGCCAGCCTTCTTGCGGGATAATGCAGTCTATAATCGTCGCCTTCGAGATGGAGCCACTGGGGAGCTAAGCCTTCCATAGTACGAGTAAGTAAGCCCATCTCAATCGGGCAACTTGATCTACGGTTAGTATCTATAAAGTAATTGCTAACCGATGAAATAGATACTGCAATAGGCACCAAATAGGGAGGTAATTGTCCATCTCGGAGAGGTATTCTGTCGGATCCCAAATTGCCCAGACAGATGTGTGAGCGCGTAAATGACTCTCAGTAAGTACTATATTAACGGGTACTATGTTGTCAGAGTCCGTTGTGTGATACTAGGCTGGGTCTCCAGCTCGGTCACGATGGCGTTATGGTGGCCTGAGCTCCGAGGGGCCAAAAGAAGAAGGGAACCATCGAGGCTGCCATTTCTTGGTTCGAGCCAGTGTTCACCGACGAGGAGGGGGTGCGAGAGAATACGAGGCAATCCTTCCTGGTGAGGAGGTAGGTAGGGGAGAAAACGGGGGGCATGATGATGGACTGTGAACGACGCCAGAGGTCGTGGGGATATTTTCTCACTGAGTAATACTTGCCTTTTGTTGTGGTATCTTCCATCGTCAGCTACAAGCCCCAAAATCATAATTATTCTATAGGGCTAACGTCGTTCTTCTAAGCTATTTCTGGGTCCACTTTTCCGCATCAGCTCCTACTATCTACAGATGAGGTTACGCTAATGGAATCTGACACCCAGATAACTCTTGAAGCATCTTCAATGGCTAATTTCACTAACTCTGGAGATGATGACCCTGATCGACCCCAAATCCTATCCATGTCGTCGAACCCCAACAACAACAAGTAATGTCATTTCATTGCAAGCATCAAGGATTCTTGGTCGGAGATATTATGAAGATTGTTTGGGCTATATATTTGGTCAATCCGAAATGGCAAGGTTCTAAATCCGAAGTCAGAGAGTTTGTGATAATGAGGAATACATATGATACCGCTCAGAGCCCAGTCAAACTCGGCCACTTGATTATCTCAAGGCTATAAGCGATAACTCCGATGCAGAGCTACTGTGGAGCTTAGTTTCCCAGAATACGACCGAGTAAGTACAAATCAACCTGGACACTGGAACCACTTTCGGAACATGTGAAACAGAGCCTCAACCCACGAAACACATGCTAATCAATGAAATTAAGATTGAAATAGAGTCGACTTGGGGGGTCCTCGTCCACCACGGCCAGGTATTTTGCCGCATGGCTAGCTGCAACACTTTCGTTATCTTGTATCAACCATAACTATAGTGATATGAAGTATGATGCGTGTTATGCTGGACAACTTTCAATTCCCAGTACGTTCAATCGATCGCTAGCATCTGATATTGTTGGTTGAAAATTTCGAGAAGAGGAGGTGAGAAAGTCTCTGATCATAGAGCATTTAGATTATGATTGAGACTCGCTTCACCAGTTCACTAATCCAGTGCAGGTGAATATTCGATCAATAAAATGCAGATCTAGAAGTCAGGCTAGAGTCTTACTTTTACAACTCCCAAAAAGGATCTACAGATATTCTTAAGCATTCACTACGACAGGTATCCAACAGTGAGACGGGGGAAAGAACCACGAAGCCAGGAACTCGGTGGCCACATATAGGAAACCACGTCTAGTGCCTCTTTCCTGTTTTAACTTATGGTTTGTTTGCTTTTCTCTCAAACTAGAGTCACCCTAACAACTTCCATTCCTCACATTACCCATTCAATTTCCACCCTATCACTCAACCCCTCCAACTACCACAATTGATCGAAACCTATTTCCAAATTCAAAATGCCCCGAAAGTAAGGCCCTGCTTTCCTGTATGCCTGCGCAGCCTATCAACGGTACCTGCGACACGGCATGACTGGGGTGGTTGATCTCCCCCCATACGAGCAGGTGAGCACAAATGGATTGAAGCAGTCACAGAGCCTTTCAATCTTCTTTGAAACTGATTGCTGACAGAAATATTGAAATAGACAACAGACAAACAAGCGATTGTTCATCCTGGGGAGGTTTATTGCCACCTTACCGGCTGCTGGCGCGGTCGAGTGAGTCCACACAGATGTCTCATTACTTTATCCAGTAAAGGCTAACCGATGAATTACAGGTTCCCCTAGCCGAAACAAGGAACTTGCGCGACCACCCTAGTCGCCATGGGCTCATGGTCGCCTGGACCCCATCCGGCCGCATCAGCGAAGCTACTAAAGCTGCCGTCGCTGCTTGGTACGAATCCCTCTTTGATGATGAGGAGAAATATAATCTAGAATCGAACGAGGAAGACAATCAAGCTGCAAATGGAGAACAGGATCACAACGGCAAGGTTGAAGAGGGCAGGGGACACTAAATTATGGTGGTAACTATGACATCCTAGGCCATTCCAGCATGATTGACACCGATCGTCATGTTTTTTTATCGCCCTCTTCCAAGCCCTAAGTCAGGCTCGATTTTTTTCATCCATCGAATTCAGTGGCATTGATACAGCCAAAATGTTTGGTTTACGTCTTGTATCACAAAGCTAGTTCTATAAGGTTTCTTGCCACATGGTAGCATGAGTTGAAAAGATAATGAAGTGCGATTGGGCTGAGTGGGTAGTAAATCTGAAATGAGGGAGATCTAAGTCCAAAGTCATAGATCTGAACCAGAAGTCAGGCCATCTGATGTTGGATGAAGAAGAGAAATGACACCATTTTGAGCCTGCCAACTTTGTTACTTGACTATCCCAAGTTCCGGCAGATATCTGGGCTATAAAGTCCTAATTTGTAAGTCAAAATACCAAAAGAGCTTACAAAGTCTAAGCAAATGTTCCAACATTTGGTAGTGAGGTACGAGGAAAATTATATATTTCCAACTCCCTGGTCACCTATAATGGGAAACCACCCACGCACTTCCAGTCTCTCTGCCCTAAAAGTTGTTTGCCATTTTCTTTCCTCCACACCAGTCATCCAAACATCCTTTCTTCTCACAACCACGACACCATCGAACCAAACCACCTACAACCAACTGATATCTCATCAACCAACCAAAATGTCGCAACCTATTGGACCTGTCTTTCTGCATTCCTGCGCGGCCTATGGCCGCTACCTGCAAAAGGGGGCCGCTGGTGAACTGAGTCTTCCCCCCTACGAGCAGGTGAGTACATGTCAATTAGCACACTTGAACCAACCTGCAAAACAACTCTCCCACTCATGAGGCTCGTACTAACGGATGAAATCAACATTCAAATAGGCGATAGATGGATCGATCATCGTGCGTTATGGGGAAGTCTTTTGTCGGATTCCCGGCTGCGAATATGGCCATGTGAGTTCACCAACATATCTCATACCAGACACCATCTTGCCTAATGCTAATGAATTCATTACAGATTCCTATATCCAACACTAGGGCTCTGCGCAACCACCTCCGCAACCATGGCGCTATGGTGGCCCGAAACCCCTCCGGCCGTATCAGCCAGGGAGTCCAGGATGCAGCCGTAGCCTGGTTCCAGGCATTATTCCCCGAGAACGAGCCGCGTGATGAGGGAGCTCATCAAGACAATGAGGGTGAAGGACAACACAATGAAGGCGAGAAGTAAATGGGACGTGCGGATTCTGCGGATATTTTCTTCGTCCATGTTCTAGCCCTTTCGATATCTTTACATACAAACAATGGAAGCATGATTTTCACTGTCATTTATAGGCAGACTGAATGTTAATTTGGATGAATCCGTGACTGACCTTCCGGTTTTCTTCTCAATCACGCATGTGTTGTGGAGCATCATGCGTGGTATGATGAAGAACTACCGTAAAGTCAGTAATAGTACATTTGAGCCAGGTGAATTTGATAGATATTCTGAGCTTGATTACATTTGGTGTGATAGGCTCGTTTAATGGAACTACATAAACACATGTGGGTAGATGCAGATATAAGTCGGCCCAGAGGTAACAAATCCCATGCTGCTTGTTTGATAGAGAATTAAATGCAAAGTCAAAAGACCTAAGTAATATAGGGCATTTGTAACTCCAGTAATGCAACGAGAGGCGAAACAAATGCATGGTATTACCCCAAATGTGAGCTCGACATCGTTTTTTATTATTAGCCGCCGTGCTTAGCATGTCTGCTTAGCGTGAAATTCCAGAACATCAGTCGCACAGCGCAGTCCGTGGCGAAATCATTTTAGTCGTGTGGACAAAAGCCGGTAGACCTACCGAGCAGTCTGCATGTCAAAATGCTTCGAAAGACGTGATCATCGGCAAGTTCAAGGCCGGCGGGGCGGTAGCTTAAAGTATTGGCGTGAAGGGATCGCAAAATTGAACGAGAAACTTGACATGGGAATATACCACATGTTTGGAGTGAGGGTGTCGATGCCCTTAGTCCTATGCCGGTCTCAGCAATCAGCACTGGGGTCATTTCGAACTTTGCGCGTAGCTGGCCAGGTTGTAGGCATCAAATGGCGGAGTTCAGCAACATTAGGTAGGTTGAGCAACACAGTGATATGGGAACATGACAGAAGACTTCTCCCTTCACCCTTGCGAGGAAAAGCTCTCCATCTTATCCGAGATTGCCGATTTTGCTGCTTGGCTTAAAGGAGATCCGCGTAACAACATCGGGATGATGAACGCGATACTGTTCTGCTTCTTCTTCTTCTTCTTCTTCTTCTTCTTCTCCGAGCTGGGATTCCCCTCCTCTTTATACAAAACGGAATCTGTGAGAGGCTCGCTCAGCTCGGATGTGTCCATTATGGTCAAATTCTACCCATCCGGTATTCTTCCAGTGCCAGGCAGATACTTCATCGCCATGTAGACGTTCTCGTCGAGTATCCTTGTTCCATTCGGTGGCAGAACAAAATCAGCCTTCACCGGTTACCACACGATCAATGCAGAAGTCAGTGCAGACTGACCACGTTGCGTGTTGTAGACTCGACTATTTAAGAATCCTCAACGCCCTAGGTAGTTTTAATGAAAGTCTGTCTGAAGAGAATTGTTTCGTCGTAGTGTGTTATCCATCCATGTAAGCTCAAGGTCTCGCACATAGGCAACGGGATGTGCTATGAATGCACACATACCATCTCCGTCAACTTCACAGACCTTGAAAATTCTCTCTCATTCAGGGCGCTTTTCATCCCCATATGGCGTTGAGCGTAGTGGGGTAGGATGGGTTGGTTGGTAACAATGAAAAGTCGGGCAGTAGGTTGTAGAGCACCCTTGCGGGTTCCAATGTCCCAACCCTTATGTATATTGACTGCAAACACATATCGATTTTGGGGATACTTGCTGATGTGGGTTGTTCATAGACCCTTTCCCGGCCCTAGGAAGATACAGCTCCGGTGCGGAATCCATGTTGCTGTTCTCTAGAAGTCTTTGAAAAGAGGAAAGGGAGGCCAATCACTTTATTGTTGACAACGGACAGGTACAATAAGACAGATCGCATACTTTACCTCCCACTGGATGTGGAAAGTTCAAGTTTGCCATCAAATAGTGTCGGTATTTCAAGACCTGATTAGGCTTGTCTCAGTACATTCTCATTTATGGTAGCTGCCATGTTTGGTAGGAAGCAGCCTGCCACATTGTTTCCCAATTCTCCAGTAAAAGACGTTATCATCGCCACGAGGATTTGAGGTTCGTCTGTCGCAACATTTTCCGAATTGCTCGATGTCCGTCGGGGTGGAACACACGTCGATGTGAGGGGAGTCCAGGTACAAAGAGGATGGAGGCTGTGCTCCTTTTGTCCATTTCATGAATAGAACAAAGTATCAATATTGTTTCCAGTAGGCTCAGGCGAACTTCTGTTGAAGAGTGAGATAATGATTGTGTTGAAAAGCAGAAGTGACCGCACTGGGAAATCCTGGGTGAACTGTGGAGTTGCCTTATCCAGATAGAGTGAAGTTTTGCATCCATGCCACCACTTCGCACACTCATGTCTGCGGCTTTGTGATGGCTAGAGGTTCAAGTATTGTGACCCAAGGTCGTTCCATCCCGATTCCCCGATTTCTCAATTGCTAGAATCGATTGTGGACCAAAGAATAGCAAGGGTTATGAGAGTCATTGCAGATAAAGAACAAGGATGAATCGTGTATATTGCAAGGGAGAGATTGACAAGTTGAAGTGGGAGGTAAACACATCACATGGCAACCACCTAGGCAACCACCTCCAGGGCACCTTCCCTCTTTGTGCTTTCCTTCCTCATTTCCCCTCACAACATCCCAACCATCTTTCTTTGTCAAACCCTTCTCTATTCTCTCTCACTCATATTCTTCCCTATCACATACCATCCAGGATGTAGAACAAAAATGGCACCACGTATCAATGATACGAAGCCTGAAATCTTTAATCTGAGATGGTTCCATTGAGGGAAAAGGTTTGTTGAAACCAATATGAAATATTGGTTGATGACTGCCCTCTCGACCCTATCAATAGCGGACTAATTGACCTCCTCTCATGTTCCTGCATGGAAAATCCCCTGCAAAGTACTACAATATAGGAACGTGGAACAAAGCCAAAAAGGAATACAAACAAGCTCAGATGCATATCTACCATAGCGACTTTCACAACCTCTCAGACCTTTTTATCACCAACGATACCAAAGGTCGTAGTAAACTCAAACGCCCCAGCCTCAAGTCTATGACCCTCAAAGGCACCAGGCCCACAGCTCGCGGTACCAATTCCATGATGCGCATAGTCAATATTGAGCTCAGTCTCATTATCCAGCTCGGAAAGCTCATGTGGATGTTTCGCGCGGTCAAGCTCCGCCGTCGCATACTTGCGAAGAGAGAAACTGAACGGTGTATCCATATACGCCTGGATCTCTGGAATTGGTGCAATCGCTCCAGCAGAGGCAGCATAAGAAGTATCCGGAGGCGAGGAGTGAACATTCACCCAGCGGGTATCGATGCGATTACCGTTCTCCTGGGGCCACTCATATGGTGTCTCCAGACCGCTCTCAATGGAAGCAGTGTATTTTCCGAACCGTGCAGCTGATCTCGTGTCACGGTACGATTCTCCGGGACCTCTACCAAACCACGTGGCAGCGTCATATTGTCGCGGAAGACGAAGTGTGAGACCGATTCTTGGGATATACTTTGGGTATGTTCCTGTGAAGTCGCCCTTAACATGCAGACTGACGGATGTCTCCGTAATAGTGTAAGTGAGAGTAGCCTCAAATGCCCATTCCAGGACAGTCGGTGCAACGCGGACTTTAGTTGCGATTAGCACGCTTCCGTTATCCTCGTTGACATGCCACTTGGCAGATTCGACGAGCATCCGACTGCTTTTCACGCGGAAGCGATCCCACTCGGGACTAGGCCCCGCCGATCCGAGGTCGTTCTGTGTAAGGGCTCGGTATATGCCCAGTTGAGGTCCGCTGTTGAAGATTTTGCCAGCCTCTGTGGACCATGATAGATCGCCTCTGATCAGGTCGTAGGTGAAGTGGGAGCCAAAGCTATTTGAGTTGATATATAGCCGGCCGGGTCCCTCCTGAACGGACAGTTTTGATTGTAGTGACGTTATGGTTGAATGGATTGCGAGTTTCTGGTCATCGAACAATGGAATCTGTGCCCAAGCAACCTCGTGTCCCTGGGGTGCCCAGGATTTGTCCACCTTGAGACGGAAGTTGATGGTGAGCCAGCTGGGATTAGAGCCCAATACCACGCCCTCGGGGAGATCGAGCATCTTGGATTCTCCGGGTTGGATTTCGGGTATCTGCCATGGTGTTGGCTCACTGTTTCCCGAGTCTGTAACAACGTGCCAAGATATGGACAGGTGGTCGAGGGTATTGAAATCGTAGTGGTTTGCTACTTCAAGGGAGCGTCCCTTGAGTATCACCGTGACTGGCTCAATTGCCTTTTTGTATTCCGCTAGCCCCGGGCTGGGTGTGTGGTCCGAGAACACCATTCCGTCAAGGATGAAGTCTGCGTCATTGGGCTCGTCGCCGAAGTCGCCGCCGTATGCATAATACGAAGTGTCACCGTCTCTCTTGAGAAGGCCATGGTTACACCACTCCCAGATGAAGCCGCCTTGGAGCAGCTTTTCATTCCGATATGTCTCGATGTATTCTTTCAATCCACCCGGTCCGTTGCCCACTACACACGAAACAGAGGTTAGCAGATATGGTAGAAGTTGCCTCAAGCACGGATTTGAGACTGAACTTACTGGCGTGTGCGTACTCGCACTGAATCAGAGGTCTATCCGGCTTCTCCTTGATGTGTTTCTTGAGATCGTCGATACTCCAGTACATGGTGGAATACAAATCAGCGCTGATAGCCTCCCGATCACCTTCGTAGTGGACGAGACGGGTTGGATCAGCTTCCTTAATCCACTTGTACATGGTCGCGTGGTTTTGACCGTAGAAAGCCTCGTTTCCAAGGGACCACATAATAATACAAGAGAAGTTCTTGAAGCGCTCAACAAGCTCAACAGCACGATCAAGATAAGCGTCCTTCCATTCTGGATTGTCCGACGTCCACTTGGTAGCCATCTTGTATGAGGTCTCCTGAATTTCGTGTTCGGTCATCAGGTGCTGGTTGGGAATATTGGAGCGCTCCACCGGGTCAAAGCCGTGAGCCTCAAGATCGGCCTCGGCCATGACGTAAAGACCAAGTTCATCACACACTTCATAAAGTCTGGGATCATTGGGTTGATGACAACATCGCAGAGCGTTGATGTTGTGCTTCTTCATCAGAATGAGGTCCGCACGCATATTTTCATACGGGACGGCGCGGCCGTGGAGGTGGTGATGTTCATGGCGGTTCATGCCGTATAAAATTATTGGCTTGCCGTTGACCAAGAAGTTTGCTCCTTTTTGCTCGATGCGCCGGAATCCAATGCGCTGGGGAATAGTACGGCCATTGAAGGAGAGAGTCAAGGTATAAAGAACCGGATCTTCGGCAGACCACAGCTTTAAATCATCACCAGATACATCGATACGACCAGATTCTTTAGAAGAGAATCTCAATTCTTTAAGTAACGTGCCATCTGGTCGATATAACCTGGCCTGGACATCGGCGCCTTCTCCTTGTATCTTAAGATTAGTGACCAGCTGGCCTGTAGATAAATCTTCGCTAAGTGTTGGAACAGCGTTGAAGTCACCCACCGAGTGCAGCGGGAAGGCCAGCAACGCAACATCTCGGAAGATGCCACTCAGAAGCCACTGATCTTGCCGCTCGATATACGAACCATCACAGAACTCGTACACCCGCACCGCGATGGTGTTCACAGACCCGGATGGCTTGAGAAGGAAGGTGATGTCAAACTCACTGGGGTTGCGTGAACCCTGCGAGTACCCAACCTCTTCTCCGTTGATCCAGAGATGAAACGCACTATCAACACCTTCGAAGCGGATGCGAATCTGTTGTCCTTCCCACGTGGAAGGAGTTACAAACTGCCTCCAGTAAGATCCAGTCTCATTGAGGAGTGGCACTTGAGGAGGATTGACGTGGAATGGATAGTTGACGTTGGTGTAGGTTGGGTGGGAGTAACCTTGGAGCTGCCACATTCCTGGGACTTTGATGTCGTCCCAGCTCAAGGGATTGGCAGTGGACCACTCAGGTGCCTCGAAAGGAGAAGCATCGTGTCGGAACTTCCAAGTGCCATTGAGGGAAATATACTCGCTGTTGTCGCGGTTGAAGGTGAGGGCTAATTCCTCTGAAGCATAGCTGTAGAAGTGCGCCCGTGGGGGAAGAGTGTTCTTATGGATCACTTTGAGGTTGTTCCAATCGGGTACGGCTTTAGGGAAAGACATACTGAGAGGATGTATTGAGAGAACTACAAATATGACTGTTTGAGACACAGTCGGGAGATATTGAGGGGTGATTAGATACGCCCGAGCAATGGCGGGGCTAATGTTGAGCAAGCCACTCTGTCAGTCTCCCAGCAAACCGGATAAATATCAAGTACATTTTGCCGGGATTGTCTGCCAAGATATGATCCTGCTGGTCGGTTCGTAGGGATCCGATAGGCCCGATAAATACGGGAGCCGATTAATTATGAGGTCGTACTAGTTTTATGTGGAGTAAGGCTCGGCGAGAATGCCGAGGTATATGAAAGATTGGATTTACAATCATTTAACGCGTAGTTGTATAGTTTAGTCAAACTACACCAGCCTTCTCGCACAATCCCGCAAGCCAAGGTTCTCAAGATCACAAGAATAGTTTGTGAACACACACCTATCAACGGATGTCATCGAATTTGAACGAAACGTTGGGCACGCCGGTGAAAGCACAACGCACAACATAAGACATGTTGTAGAGACGATTCTCTATAACAGACCCATAGCCGACTAGCTAATTTTCTAGACCCCCAGCAGTGACAGTGACAAAGTGACGGCAGATCTTCATGTCCACAGACAATTTTCTTAGTACTCAACCTAGTAGCAGTTGCTTAAGAATGTACCTCGAGTAGTCAAAAACTGAGCCCTATATCCATCATATTACCTCATGGATTAAGACATGCCTTTGATAAGTATAATATGGAAAGGATTAAATATCATTCTTAATTGCACATTATATCACACAAAATCGTCAACAGGTCTTGACTTGAGAAAATTACCCCGCGACCCTGCGCCCATATTTCTCCGTGCCTATAATTTGTCCGGCGCTATCTCCTCACTGTTGGCAATTGCCTGCAATTTTGCCTTCTCGCCAATTTCCCTCTCGGCTGTAGATGCAGTGGTTTCAATCAACTTGTTCCCATACTCTTCTCCATCCAAGATAACGGCAGTTTCTTCCAGACTCAGACTGCCGGTCTCGACAAAGAGGAAGTAGACGACCACAAGCTCAAATGCCAACCACACATCGTAGGTAATATAAAATTTCCACTTGCTGTTGGTGACACCGATTGGATTGACATACTGGTTAAAGATACCAGCAAGTGCGACGAAGAGGTTATACAAAACGAGACCTCGGGCGCGCAAGTCGAAAGGCAATATCTCGATGCAGTAGGTAACCTGCAGAGGCGTCCAACCAACGGAGTAAAAGAAATTGTACAGGAATATCATGGCCAAGACGCCCTTCGCGTAGTGGTCGTTACCCCCAGTCCCGTCCAGCGCTGCCCCTCTCTCATACACAGCCTCGAGGGCTGTCCAAACGATATAGACGGCCAGGATACCTGCGGTAGAGATAAGGAACAGAGTTCGCCGACCAAATCGATTCATCACAGCGGAAAATACCAAGCTCCAGATCATTGACCACAGTGTGAGAAGTGCATTGATGAGTGTTTGAGTGCCCTCGGATTTGTAGCCAATCGAGTCGAGAATCAGTGTGAGGTAGTATGAGATCAGACCATTACCGCTCCACTGTGAAAAGAACCCCACACAAAGAATGATGAAGAACCGTCTGATGTTACCTTTACTTTGGAAAAACGTCAAGTATGAGGTCGTGCGTCTCGCCTCGTTCTCGAGTTGAAGAGCAACGCGGATCTCCTCCATCTCTAGCGTGACTAAAGGGTCGGAATCATCCCCGTTGGCATGATATTTGCAAATCAGCCTTCTCGCCTCATCGTCGCGCTCTTTGCTGATAAGCCATCGGGGCGACTCCTCAATCAGGAAGCAGAGACCAATCTGGAGCACACTGGAGAGACCTTGAAGGAGCGAAGGAAGTCGCCATGACCAGGTGTTGTTGATGTGAAATGTGCCATAGGTTACCCACGCAGCAACTAAAGCACCCAGGTTCCATAGGCTGTTGTATATGGCTACCTGTGGTCCCTGTTGTCTGGGAAAGGCCAACTCCAGGAGGAGGAGCGGCGCCGCGGTGATGTTTAGGACGAGGCCCATGCCGATGATTCCTCGCGCTGCGATGAACATTCCGACGTTCTGTGCTGCAGCCTGGAGGGCAACGCCGACTAAAAGAATGAAGGCGCCAACGAAAAGAACCGGACGACGACCGAATTTGTCGCAACTGATGGCGCAAATAGGCATTGTGATGAGCTGGCCAACGTTTTGTATCGCGTTAAGACTATTCAAGATTATGTTAGTTCTGGTTCTTTCGTACCAATCGTCGAATTCCGGCCAGCGTGTGCATATTTAGCTTGCTTGTCACGTACAGACCCAACTCAGAAGCCCCTGGGTTATTGAAAGAGTTTTGCCAGATGGTAAGGGACTGCAGCCCATTCATCATCGATCCATCATAACCCGTTGCATAACTGGAAATTTGTAAAAGCACCAGCATTAAGTTGAGCTTGATTATTCCAGAGTTGGAGAGCCAGGATAATCCAGTACCCCTGCTCCCTAAAGCACTGACCGTAAACGGCGACTCTGATTTTGGCTGGGACATGACCGTGTTGCGACGCGATTGAAGAGACACACATTGTGTAAATAACCAAAGGTTATTCAGTAACTTTATGTGCAAAGCTCCATGAGCTTGTTGTCAAAAGTCCCAAAGTCGAAGCTTATCACGCCTCGTGAGGGGATATCGCCGACATTGCCGGAAAATTGCCGGATTTTGTCAAAATAAACCAATCCCCTAAAAGTGTCAACGATTGTAGGATAGATTCAGTGTCTTATCAAATTGCAACCTCAGCGGGAGCCCGATACCAGTGGAAGTGTAGTAACTGGCTGTGACCAAATACAACGCTGAAGGTTTTCTGGCCCAGATCAACAGCCAGCCCCATTGCACCCCTGTCAACGCGATAAGGGTCCACGCGCTGCTTCTTGAACTTCATTATTGTTGAGACCCGTTTGTGCCTCGGCCCAATAGGACTTTGCTCCTCCCCCGGGTGGGATCTATTTCCCTACCTCACTCCACCATCCCTCAAGCCAGTTTCTCCACTTTTACTCCATCAATTGCCGTTTTTGGTTTGCCCGTCTGAGACATGATCACATGTTCCGCGGGGCGCTAGAGTGGCAAGGTGCTCCCGGAAGCTTTGATCCCCCCGACCAGAGACATAATGGCAGTGTTAAAATTACACCCCGTGATTCCTTCGTCTTCGGTCCAGCTAAGGGCAAGCGGATTATCCAGAACCAGGAATATCTTACCCGCGTCACAAAACCACTGCAATTATCCTGTGACATTTCACGTTCGATATAGAGCTTACCAGAATACTCTTGCCTTGTGCATGTGAGCTTGAACAACGGACACTTCCAAATGTTGTAGGTTCTCAGATGCATACTCACCAGAGTATGAACTTTGCTCCATATGCCATCAGAACCAACGACAAGTCGGAACCTAATAGCAGTGGAACCATTCGTAAAGTGTACGGTGCATCCATTATCATCAGCGGTCTTTTTTTCGTCGCTAGCTTTTCTCGCAATGAATTTGACACCATGTCCCCAGCGAATCTTGTGCTAGGGGGTTGATTTGAGCAAAATATGACGAAGTCGCAAGCGATAGATCGCAGGACGGTTCCTCACAAGACTGAAGTTGGCGATTGTCTCCCCAGCGAGTTGACGATGCGGAAACAGGCAGCGTCCCAGCGCGTGGCTGAAAAATATGACGCTGGAGGACCTATACGATGTCGAGGCAGCAACCGACAAGCTAGCACACCAGGAGATACTTGGAGCTACCCAAGCTACCTAGGATCTAGATAAGCTTGATTCGGAAACCGCATACTCCTTTATTTTATCACTACTAATATTAGATTCAATTTGAACCAGTGGGCCTATCATTCCACTTATTTACTACATATGGAGAAATTTGGCAGATATTCTAACCCGTGCGAAGATATATATCTCAAGTCAACTCATGGTCAGGTGCATAAGAAGCATACACATATCCCCAATCACTGTTCGCTCAGGACAATTATACCAAGTTCTCAATATTAATCGGAATAATAGTAAAATAGACTCGAAAATATAGGATTTGGATGTGGGTGAGGAAGGTGAGAGGAAGGTGCTCTATTGTGTATTTTTGCTCTTGATGCACTTTTATGATCCCTCCACCAATCAACTGGGCTTGTGGTTTAGTGGTATAATACTCCCTTAGCATGGGAGTGGTCCGGGGTTCGATTCCCCGCGAGTCCAGATCTTTTTGTTTTTTTCTCCCCTCGGATATGACTGCCAAGACATAATGGTCTACTCCGTAAGGCGTGTATTGTTGTGGTCAGACCATACAACCACCTCAAATGTTGTTGGTGTCTATAACTTTGAGTCTAATTCGTCCAAGGCAAATTTTTAGAACTCTAACCTGTCAGGGGCAACCACTTTCCGACCCGTATATTTCAGCCTTATAATTCCCACATTCCGCTTATTGCTTTCTCGATCTTTTTACCCCAATTTTGATTTTCCCAAAATGCGTTATATCTGGGGATGGGCTTCGCGGATTTATCTTCTAATTTTAGTATCCACTGTGCTGGCAAAAGATGACCCAGACTATAATCCATCATCAAATTTCCGGCCTAACAATGTCACTGGTCTGAATCAGCTTTATGCTTGGGTTGGATCGTTCGTTCTACTGATCGATCTACCCGAGTTAAGTGGCTAACGATGTATAGTTACTACAACGGGACCACAGAAATCGAACTAAATCCAACAATCGGATACACGCCAAACTTGACAGTATGTCCGACTCACAAGAAGCGCACCACAATCCTGAAATGGAACTCCCTCCTGGCAATTACACAGCGAGGCACATACAACTCGGGGATTGATCCAGTCAATTTATGGCTTATTATGTTTCCGCCGAACCAAAACATCTCCGCGATGCCATATGAATCGCAATTGCTTAACGAGGGGACACCTCTTATGTTCCCCGTCATGTCTTCACTGTGAGTGCCATACTGGCGGGAATTCTTTTCGTTTTTCATGAAATTACAATCCTAATTTGACTAGACTCACCTGGAAGCAGAAGAAACAGGAGAATGCAACCGTTCCCGATTATTTCAACGTGACTGCAACGAGAAATCCCAACTCTTCCTTTACTCTTTCAGGCGGAATGTATAACTCCCTACACCCATTTGACGGGGACGCATCCTGGCCTTTTACCCTCGATATGCCTGCATGCAATACCTCCCAGCAGTACGGAAACTGGAGTACGCAGGTTCTCCAGTCGAGATGGTGGAATACGAAAGACTGGAGCGAGTTCGTTTTACCCAATGTCACGGTTGATTTCGATACCCGCACGGCAAATTTGACTCTAGATGGGGATTTCCTTGCGTCTCCATACATCCGATTGAATAATTCCGGATATCCGGCGACGGGTACGATTTCTACTGAGGATGCTCTCCAGGGTGCTATTCAAATTCGGTTTAGGGGTGTTGTGGACGCTTATAATTCGGATATCCTGAATGTCAACTCGACGGCTCCGGCGTGGCTACGGACTGTTGGATTTGGGAATAATTCGTTGAATATTGCGAATTCGTCGAATCGGGGGTCTGGTCTCCGATCTACTCTGTGGAGTGCTCTTGTCGTTCCTTTCATTGTAGTTGTGATTGTTTATGTATAGATGAAATTTAAGCAACCTTGAACAGTACAACTGCTTGCCAGGGGTTTTATCACGCGTAATTGTTATATCGATCATTTCTCTTCAAATAGGTTGGATTTATACAATTATTCAGCATTCGCTATGAGCGAGACCTATGAGTGGTTCTTCATATCAACGTATCTCTCACTCTCATCTGAAGGGTTACCAACGAGAAAGAAGATATCAATGTGCATGAAAACATGCGAGAAGAGTTGATTCTTGCTAAAACTAACTTCCGACAGAACTATCCAATTCAAACACCTCCCCGTGAGCAAGAATTGCAAAAAAACTCCAACGAATGAAGCCCCCAGTTTGTAAAGATGCTGTTCTATTCTTGTGGCGGGTCTTGGGTGACTGTATGTTGAGCAGAAGCAGGAGCCGTAACTGGAGCCGTAGCCGCTTTACCAAACGGGACTTTGTTGATCGGGTTGCGGAAGCAGTGGTCACTGGAATGACCAGATTGGCGATTATGAAACCGACAAAAGAAGGGGAGATGATTAACCTTTGGCAAGCTAAAAGAGTGAGCTTGATTGAGAGTGTTGAGGCGACGATCTTCAGAAACGACGAAGTCCGCAAAGGTTGCTTCGATGGTTGTATCGGTGGTGACTTTCGAATTCAGGAAACTGTCGAGCCATGAATGCGCGGCTGGATTGGCACTGACTGCGTGCAGGAAGTGATAAAAGATGAGAAGAGGCGTGAGCTTGGTCGAATTGCACTCCTGGAGCTCACCAAGGGCGTCACGCCACTCGTTGACGAAAGCTTGAGGCTTGTTGGAAGTGTATGTGGTGTTCATGAACTTCAGAAAATTGGCGAAACCTGCTTCGTAAGACCGGGCTGCGAAGACGCGGTGGAGGTTGGAGTATGCGGTACGTGCGTTATTCGCGTCGAGAATGTAGAACCTGACTGTTTGATGAACAGTTGCGTTGAGTAGTGGGAGAAGGTAACGACTGGCGGTGTCCCACTGTGTACGAGCCTTGACTTCAGTGGGGGTAGGCTGTGTAGGGTCGACTGCACTGGGTTCACTCCACATGCCAGTGAGAAGTTCGTAATATCGAGGGTCGCGCGAGTCCAGGGTCCACTTGAGTGAAGTAGCCCACGTAGAAAAATTGGACTCGCCCACGAGAGTTGGGACAAGGTCGAGGAGGGTCGGCTCGGCAAAGCCGATGGAACCCATTTTGGCGATAAAATTGACAAAAGGAGAGTTGGGAGTGACTGTATGAAGATGAAGTATTGATAAAAAATAATATGATGATTTGATTGATGGAATTTCTTGTGAGCGTCTAAATTGCGAGTGGTAGAAGTTATGTGCTGGTGCGACAGGTGCTCCAAACTGGAGAAAATCCAGGGGAAAAAAAAGAATGTGATGAAGAAGGAGCGACGTGAGCCTCATCGCCTGTCAATCCATTCGTCTACAAGAGCACAAATGCCGGTTCCTACATATAGTGACTTCCTTGTCAAAGCTAAGGTGGGAGGAAAGTATCTACTCGCACTATTCTTTGCTATCTAGTATGTACACAACAACTCTCTACAGAAATAACTACATTATGAATACAGTCGTAATTAATTTCGAGATCAAATGCAGTTTTAGAGTCTACAATAATTGACTGGGAGCTGGTAAGACATCAGAAAACTAGAGTGTTCATATAACTATCTGATAGGCCAAAGTGCTAGGTGCGCGATGTCAAAGACAGCATGTTTTCCGCGCTGGTACTGAGACGAATTGCACGCTTGGTCTGTTGTAGCTGCGGATGCAAGACTTCGAGACCAAAGGTCTGAATACGGGGGAGATGGAAGTCATTGGACATGCAGGTCATATCTAAGGAGTTTTCGGACAAAGATCTAGTGTGTGAAATTGTGATTTGCTTGTGAATTGCGAAAGCTACGCTTTTCAAAAAGAAAAGTTAGAGTTTTCCATATTCACAGATGCATAATTTGCATGATCTGGCCCTCTAAGTGTAAGCTGTAGCAACTCCGAATGAGGATTCGACATCGCAGCTCCCGTGCTTTTGACGATATGACCAAGTGAAAATCATGCCCTCAAATCACATTTTCCCGTCTGTGTTCGATGTGCCAAGCCCTTCGAAGTCCATTTAGACTGTAGCCTTGACGACATCGCTGATACTGCGAGCAGTGTATTCGATATTGGAGTCATTGAGCCCACTGAAGGAAAGAAATATGTTAGTTTAACCCTTATTCCCAGAATACGCTTATCAGACATACGCGATAGAAATTCTCCCAGAGTGCTGAAGATAAACATGGTGCTTCTCTCGGAGCAGAGTGACTTGCTCCACAGAGAGTCCAACATATCTAAAGAAGGTCAGTATGATGAGTCTCCAGAGTCCGATCTTGGTAACACATACGAAAACATTCCGTTTTGTTCAGTAATATGCCGCCAGCTACCTGGTGTTTCAAATTTCTCCAAGGCCTCCCTTAGCGCAGCTCGACGGTGCTTGAGCTGGTTCGCCATATCGCGCACTTCCTGTCGCCATTGGCGCTGCAAAGCCTCATCTGACAGTACCGTTTCAACAATCTTGGACCCGAAATCGGGCGGCGCGCCGGATTCTGCTCGTGCAAGTAGACTCAATTGCGCTTCCACTCTCTTTCCTGTTTCCTCATTTGGAACGAGAACCGAGAGAACTCCAACGCGCTCGCTGTAGAGACCAAAGGCCTTTCCGTATGTGGAAACAAATACGAGTGGGACTTCCTGCTCGGCAAACAAACGAGCACCCTGAAGATCTGTATCAATGTCTCCCGAGGCAAAACCGGGATACGCAGCATCAAAGAATGCCAAGTGACCGCGCTCCAAGAAGATTGAGGCCAGCTCTCGCCACTGATCTAGTGATGGATCACATCCAGTTGGGTTCTGAGCTCCAGACTGGAGAAGAACCACGGATTGAGTTGGCAAGGATTTGATGGCCTCTGAAAACTTCTGGAAATCAAAGGTGTTTGTCTTGCTGCTAAAATAAGGCAGAAGACTGGGCTTAATTCCCTGGGATTGGAATACGAAAGGATGATTCACTAGAACCGAGTCAGAATTACTTTCGCATGTGGGAGTAAACAACAACTTACACCAGGTATCGCTCGGAAGGAAAATCTCGGCGTTCCCATTCTCCTTCCACGGTCCATAATTATTTTTCAAAAACACTGCGCCGACATGGCATCCGCCACTTGCGCCGAGAGTCTGGGCTGAAACTATTCTAAGAAGGAAAGTCAGCTCTAGATCAATTTATTGAAGAGCATGTCAGTCTTCTTTTACCTTTTCTCTCGCAAAAGACGATGATCTGCGCCGAAAAGCAGATTGGCACTCAATTCCCTGTAAAGCTGGGAACCCACAGCGGAAGGACGATACTCGTGATGCCAATCGGGGTCGTTGAATATTCTGTTCTTTGCCTGTAACATAGATAAAAAACATTTAGTAATGCACCTCGGTTGTAGAATGGCAAACTTTGGGAAGCTATACATACCTCTTTCACACTTGGCAACACATACGCTTTCCCTTCCTCCGTTTTGTACACACCCACGAGGAGATCAGTTCTGTTGGGATCAGTATCCGCTCGGAACTGCCAAACAAGAGCCGCGAGACCATCTAAACATGCTTTCTTAATTCAGGTTCATGAATATATCAATTGTATCTTTTACCTGGTGCTCGGGCCGCTGGGATACCCTGGAAGGGATCTTGAAAAGAAGTTGTTGTTATGCTACCCATTTTGTTCGTGAGGATAAGCGGGGAGAAGTGGGATTACTGTTCGATCTTATAGCTGCGGGGAAATATGGGGCTTGCAGTAATATTTATCTTGTAGCACGTTATTAGTAACACGCCATCATGTCGCAATATTACAAATGTGCCAAATTGTCTATTAGTATATATTTCTCTCCATCAGGCACCATTACTATGATCGACCTGCTCGCGATATCGGCCTCCTCTTCCGCCAAGGTCCGAAAAAGAATGAATAAAATAAGTGAAACATAGAGCGCCCTTCACACTGACACAATATGGTGAATCAATTGAGTCACACGCTAGGTCCGATTATGGTTGGGGTCGTATATACGTGTACTCATCCACATTGATAACCTAAGATTGGAACATTGGAACACCCAATCCGCGCCTCTTATACGTCTACTGGTCGGCGGGGTAGAGATAACGAGGTAAATATGTAGGATCACTATCAGTGAGCTCTTTTTTCTCGGCGATGAGTATAAAATATACTAGAGGTATGAACGGTTGTTTTCACTAAATTGATGCCTGTATGCCTGAGTCATCGCCGGATAGAGCGCTTTTAGGCATCTACAGTGACTGTTCATAAGTTTTAACACCCCAGCCCCACACCACTTTGATTATGTAATATTCTGCCAGTCAAAAGATTTTCTTCAATATTGTTGTACATCAAAATCTCTGGCTTTTGATAATAGTCTACACTGGGGTAGGCATCGTCTTCAGGAAAACATATTAAAATATCTAGACATGCGACATGAACTCGAGAGATAAGGTCCGCCAGTTTATTTATGTAGGCGGTATAGGCGGTAAAGGAAGGCGGTACATGGGTGGGGCCAAAGGGGGTCACTGTATGTACTACTCCGTACAGTGTATCGTAAATCATACCGGCACGGAATAACTAGGCCCGATCTATGAAAACGAAGACATCACTACATCCTCATCCTGGAGTGGTTTCAATGAAGGAAGCAAAGGCTACTTATCCTGTATCCCTGACTAAGATAACATTCATCAGATGAAACCTCGGTGAATTCATTTATCTTAGTATATGGGGTCCAGTTTCTTATCATATAGCACATAACACTATTGTGTCACCTTTATAGACGGTATTAGACGCTTTACCTAGCAAAGTGCTGACAGAGATATGTGTCATATACGTTGAGATGAAGAAGCTAAGGTACCAAAGCAACCGGACAATTAGAATAGTATTAGCAAGAGAGAAGGAAGAAGGACGTAGATATGTGAAGGTGGTGAGGTTATTGTTGTAGCTTTTGCTACAGAGATCGGGAAGAGAGAAAAAAAGAAATCATTGTGGATTCAATTTATCAGAAATAGGGTATTTATACCCCGAATCTGACAAACAAGCGCTCAGTCTGTAAGCAAACAAGGGGAGACGAGGTCATCCGAATAGTAATGAACGGCATAAGGCACACATAGACTCCTAGCTGAGGGAGTGCTGTGTATGTATTAAATAGTAGGCCCTCATAATTTATAGTTACATGTCCCTTCACAACACCCCTTCAAATATTAGTTCCTTCACACTTCCAACTTTCTTTTCCTCAAACTTGACTAGATCTAGTACCTCTCACACATCGCAAGACCCAAGTCATTTGCCTATCATCTGCCTCTGCGCTTTATTCTAGACCCCTCTGCTCTCCTCGACGAGTTCATCGAGGTGACGAGACGTTCTCATGTCTCATCACATGAGCTACAACTGAACGTACAACAAAACATGGCGAGTTCAGATCATCCAGATATCCCGAATCCCCCGGAGCAGGGGCCAGTTCCCACACTTGACGAACTTGTGGAATTTCTCCGAAATTTCGCTTGTAAGTATGGATTCAACATCTCGAAACCAAAAGGAGGCCGCCTCCGCACCCGAGACGGTGAAGAAATCATGACATCTTATGTGCTGTTCTGCCCTTGGGAGTCACATAACAGCAACCGGGGGGGGGGGAGTAGCTGCAAATGGAGAGGCCCCTTGTGGAGACGGCCCTACTCGTATAGTTCTGCATCCCCACCTCCTCAACTGGAAGGATATCTCCAGCAGGGAGTCTACGACGTTACAGCAAAGCATTGTGTTCACAGCCAAGGGACCCCATTGCCTAGAGATGTTGCTTGGGGGGGTATCGCAGGCTGAGTGGCTCGAATGGGCAAACCTACCTCCTTTACCCCCAGAGTGGACTGGAGCTGCGGAAGTAATACTTGATCCGCCTCCGCCAGCTATTCAAGAAAATACAGCTCCCCAATAGCAGCCCATTCAGAAGAAAGAATGAACGCCATCTTTCAAAGCCTGCTGTGGGATATACATGATGATACGAATCAGGCAACACAGTCGCATTTACAAGGTGCAGAAGCACCTATCAGCCAAGTCGATGCCGTCGCGACCCTGTTTGAATTAGTTGATGAAGATGGAACTCCCGCCAACCATACCGCCGCGACCCGATTTTAATTATTCGAGGAAGATGAGACTGTAGTAAACACTTCCTGTTTCATTTTCAAGTCGCCGACGAAAGGAAAATGGTCTAGGGCTACTACCCCTAGTAATACGCAACCTAAACCTGCGGAACCCCCTGTTCCTAAGTCGCCGGTGAAAGAAAGTCGCGATTTGTCGCCCCCTGATACGCGACCAGAACATACAGACCCCTCAATTCCCCAGTCACAAAAAGAAAAGGAAACGGGATTTGTCGCCTCCAGAGACACAACCCGGACCCTCAAAGACTAGAATCACAACATACAGGTCGGAACATGAGATTCAGCCAGCATCGAGTATTAGCAGTGGTCGTACCGACAGACCTGCACCTAAGCGATCACGGGAGAAGCTGAAGGGAGAGACGAAAGTCTGCACACAATATAGAAACTCGGTTCCAAGGAGCCAATTTGCTCGCCACGTAAGGGCCTGCAAAGGAAAGTGCCAAGAGTGCCAGGCAGCAGATATGCCTCGTGTTAGGCCAAAAGGTGGTACAACGAGGTATGAGCCATGTAAGGAACGCAAAGCCGGATGCTCTGCATTCAGCCACAGCCAGGACGTCGAGTCAACTCCAGAGTCTTACGATCGTTATGGCAAGATGATCGGGGGTAACATAATGCCGGATCATCTACGCTTTTGCAAAGGGAAGTGCAGCGAGTTCAACAAAGCCGATATTCCGTGCATCAAGCAACGACATAAAAGTTGCTGCGACCGCTGCGACACACTTCGATATAACTGCGCCGATTTCACCCATGAGGATCTTGCCTTAGTTGACTTCATGATCTGCGATCGATGCCAGACCACAGTTAATACATCACATGGGTTTTCCCTTTTAGAAAAGCATCAGAGAAACTGCCCTGGTAAGTGTGATCAATTTGAGAGGAGGAAGGGGGAACTGTGACAGATGCACGCAAGATCAAGCTCAGTGTGACAGGCCGTGGCTTAAGGATCAAGAAGAGGGCGTTTGACTTACACCTGTAGACAAAGGCTACATACAACAGACGTTGAGGTTAATTTCGCGAAGAACTAGCAGCCAGAAATACAGGTAGTCTTGGTCGCTCTATGTCCCTATGCCATTCCGGTAGTCCAAACGTCGTAAAATTCAATTTCTATTGTTATGACTGACTATACTCGGTGGCCTCAGATGTTGACAGCGTTTCCCTTCCCTTTTCCTTCCCTCTCGTTCATATCACCATTTTGATCTCAATGAGAGCCTAAGTCTGGTTCCTTGGCCTTCTCCGTAGCACAAGTGGTCCATATTCGACATTCCCTGTACTGTCGCCTATTCTAACTCAATAGTGCCAGGGGGCTTTGAGGTTCTAGAAAGACGATGTTAGCTCAAGGTTCGATAAAGGTCGACTTCTACTTACAAGTCATAGACAACACGGGCCACGCCCTCCACCTGATTGCAAATAGTGCGCGATACATCCTATAGCAATGTCAGTAAGTGTAGGAAAGAATAATACTAGGCCGTTAATGGGATAGAGTAGCTTACCTTAAGGAAGGAGGTTTCGAAGTCAAAGATGTCTGCGCTCATGAAATCTTTGGTACTAACAGCGCGGAGGATCACGATGTAACCCCAAACTCGCTGATCACCAAAAACACCAACACTGCGGTTAGTATCGAGACCAGCGAAGGCTTGAGATATCTAGAGAGAAGAATTAGCTTGCGCTCGTCTGCGCTCTTGCGACTCGCTCGACTTGCCTGGTCGTAAAGGCCAGCCTCCTTGATCTTGGTGATAAAGATGTGGTCGGCCTTACGGGCGATCTCCACTCGCTCCTTAGTAACGTCGCCGAGGATGCGAATAGCAATGCCAGGGCCTGGGAAGGGGTGACGGTTAACCAGCGACTCGTGGATGCCGAGCTGTCGACCAATTGCCTGTACAATTTAGCAATTGAAGATAGTAAACATTGAGGATTAGCATACCCTAACTTCATCCTTGAAGAGAAGTCTGAGCGGCTCAATCAGCTATAATAGAATTTCCGTTAGCCTTCTTCTGTATTGATAAAGAGAGAAAGTAAACTTACACGCAAGCCTTGCTAAACGAGTTATGTTTGTCAGTAAGTAAATCAAACGATACTAGTCCACTTCAACTTACACCGTTCATCATCCGCTATTTGTTAATTAGTTAAGAGACTTTCATGACGGACGGTGGTATTACTTACCTCAGGCAGACCGCCGACGTTATGGTGAGCTATTTTCATATCAGCTTGTCTACTTCTCTTTTTGCATGACTTGAGCAGCCCTCTGTTCGAATTTCGTTGGCTTACTCTTGATAGTGGCCGAAGGCCCGCGGAAGCTTAAAGATTCGATACTAAAACATAACAATATTAGTTTGCACTTAGCAATTAGGAAGACGACTTACACATCCGGGTATAATGTCCCTTGCAGGAAGAATTCCACCTTTCCGGAGTTAGGGGTGTTCTCTGCTTCTTTCTCGATCTTGATCGTGTTAGCTAGGTAGCAAGAAAGATCATCAAAGGAGTTTGAGCGTACCCGAATAGCCTCTTTCTCGAACAGATCGATAACTTGGACATCGTCAGTACTGTCAATATAGACTTCTCAAAGTACGCACAAGTTGATCCGATGATCTTCCGTTTCTTTTCCGGATCAGAAACGCCTTCAAGGCGAGTTAAGAATAGCTCGCCAGCCTCAACAACTGTGAGATTGATGCCAAGGTGTTCTCCGAGTGTGGCCTTAACCTCCTCACACTCATTAAGGCGCATGCATCCAGTATCGACGAGGATAGCCTTAAAGCGGTCTCCAATGGCCTCACGCATTAGGGCTGCTCCCACAGTGCTATCAACGCCTCCTGAAACGGCGCCAAGGACAAGCGCTCGGTCACCAACAAGCTCTCGGATACGAGCGATCTCAAGCTGCGCAAAGTCGCCCATTTTCCAGTTCGGTTCAGCTCCGCAGATATCAACACTAAAGTTACGCAGGATCTCGGTTCCGCGGGGTGTCTAGATCCGAATGTTAGAGGGGGTTAAGGGTGTAAGGGATAAGGGTAACAAACGTGTTCGAGTTCAGGATGGAACTGGACGCCTAAAAAATTCATCTGTGTTAGTATGTACAGTTACTGCAGCTTAAAAGTGGTAGACAAACCAAAGATGGGCTTTTCCTCGTGGGCAATACCGGCGTACTCTGAGTTCTTAGTAGCACCAATAACCACAAACCCCTATGACAGTCAATAACGGCGCCTCGGAAAGAACTGAGTTCACTCACTGTAGGCAGGCTAACTAGCTTGTCGTAGTGGGACATGAACACAGGAATCTCATCCCCCAAACCAGCGAAAAGCCGGTCGACATTACTATTGACCTTAGTGATTGTGACGTCGGCGTGACCATACTCTGCGACGTGTCAGAATTAATTTCAGATAGATAATGTTCTAAGGGGTACAAACCTCGTGCCTCTCCGCGGGCAACATTCTTTGAGTCGATTCTCCATGCGATCTCCTGGCAACCGTAGCAAATACCCCTACATCGCACGTGTTAGTGTATTTAAACATAATGGGCAGAAAGCAGGATACTCACAAAATAGGTACATTAAGATCGAAAACAGCGGGGTCAACATCTGTACATGTGAATGTGAGTATAGGTAATACGTTCGGGGGACAAAAGCCTTACGGGGTGAGCCCTCATCGTAGACAGAAGCAGGACCTAGTAGCTCAGTTAGACGTCGGTATAAACGATATATTCAATAAGACTTCATACCTCCAGAGAACACAATTCCTTTAGGCTTCCATGTCAGATCAGCGATCTTCGTGGTACACGGAAGCAGCTCAGCGAAGACACCAAGAGCCCGAAGCCGACGCAGGATAAGATGGCTTGTTTGAGACTTCAATAACGGGAGTCAGCATTTACCATTCAAACTAGGTCGGAGTGATAAAGCCGCGGTATTCGAAAGAGGCGGAGAGCGGGGCAGCGTGGTAGAGGGGCAGACAGGCAGTTAAAGACTCCCGATACATACGCCAAAATCGAGAACGAGTATAGTCTAGACAGTCAAAACGTTAGCCAATCCGTTCTTTGTGCATTTGTAAATCGATTGCGCCCGGTGATCGATCGCAGTTGCGGAAAGCGAGGGATAGTGAGTTTCTCCGATCGGTATTCTAGCTCCAGTACGTACGTCAAAGTTGTTATGAGGCGCTTCGGCCTCGAGGTTAGGAGCCATTGTGATCGTAGTTTCAGCGTATCGAGCGGATTGGCGGGGGTTCGCAGAGTCAGAGATTAAAAAAAAAATTAGTCGATAGCAGTACCGCCTAAATAGGATACCGCCTTTCTAACGGTGACTCATGACTCGAGGATCCGTTTTTAGTGCGGCAGTACCCGTGGCAACACCCCTCCCTGGGGTCCTTTGAGGGCGGTCTGTCTCAGATAAGTCAAGAGCCTCACGTACAGTTTTATGCAGGCTGTTGTTAGAAATAATCACAAAAACTTTCGAAAAAAACATACAACAGTGAGGATTCGCTGGTGGTCACCCACCCAACTACTAACTCACCGGCGTGTGGCTTAAGTACGGCTGAGCGGACGGGAAGCCCTGTTTTCCACACCCTATGGTCGTATGTATCAGGTCGAGTGTTGGAGCGGCTTATTATCCTTTCTATAATAGTGAACACTGCATACGGCGATCTCACAGCTATTAACAATTTTAGTAGGTACATGTGTAAAAATAACTAGGTACATAAAAAAGAAAACTCGATCCAGGTGATACTATAGGTCAGCTATACACCAATTTAGTCCTCACGTTTGACATCCACAGCTGGGCCAGAATACTCCTTTCGCCCCTTGATGACATACATGAAGAGACTAAGAATGAAAACGGCCCCAAAGATCACGACACTCCAGTTGAAGTTTTCAGCAGTGACCGGCAGCTCGCCTGGCCAGAACGACCAAAACATAGCGAAAATGGAGTAACACAGGCCAATGATGTTCACAGCCAACCCCCAATTCCCCCCCATATCCCACCGACCAGCAGGTAGGGTATCGGGATGCCAGATCTTTCGCCAGATCATACAGGTCATCGAGATCACATAGGTGAACATCAAGGCAGCGGTGTTAAGAGAGATGATGGCGTTGAATGCAGTATCAGAGCCGATGTTGATCAAAGAAAGCAGGCAGCTGAATATGCAAGACAGGGCGATAGCATTAACGGGGATCTTGCGCTTAGGATCGATTTTGGAAATCCATCGAGAACAGGGAAGACCCTTATCACGAGCAAAAGCCCAAGTTTGGCGAGAGGTTGAGGCATTGAACATGATGTTGCTGAAAATAACAGGTAATAAGATGATGGCTGTTAACCCGTTGACTCCTGCTGTGTTGGTAGCTTGCTTGAACACGTAGAGGAATGGAAATCCGGTATCGTCATTTAGAGAATCCTCGACGGATGGGGTGGCGAAAAGGTAGGCAATCAATAAGATGGCAGCCATGATTCCATTGATGAAATACCCCCAGGCCATTGCCCGTGGTACGTTCCGGCCGGCATCCTTAATTTCTTCCGACATATGCGCACACGCATCGGAACCTAAGAGCTAGTTAGTTTCGTTTCAACAAACTAAGTTAACAATATAAGTAAAACTTACTAAGACAGCCGTAGATAGCTGAGATTTGTCCAACCATCACACTCACACCCATTGTAGGTAAGCCTCCTAGATTTTGCCAATCTGAGACGAAAACATCTTTAGCAGATCGGTGAGGAGACATAGCCCACAGGACGATCAAGATCACGGCCCAACAAAAGATGTGAAGAATCATCAAGATATTGCTTAAGATTGGCATTAGGTCTGACGCATAAACATTGAAAATGTATATCATCAGAACCATTGAGAACACAAGTAATGTGCCTTGCCAACCTTTAGGATCGTAATCCGGATTTCGAACACTAATTAATCCCTGGATGATAGTGCCAGTGAGGAAGGATCCAGAAGCTGCTCCAGCTTGCCATGCCAGTACGGACATCCAGCCAGTAACATAGCTGAGGAACTTTTGGTGTCGAGGTGACGCAAACTCTGATACCCAATGGTACTGGCCTCCATCGGTAGGTGCTATTGAAGCCATTTCCGACAACGACACAATGATGAATCCAAATCCGATAAATGTCCACATATATGACCAGAACATGCCTGCTAGGCCTCCATTCTCTAATCCCTGGTAGTCTGAACTAGAAGAAGTTAATTTGCTTATCCTGTATCCCTGTCATTTAGAGGAAGGATTTCATTGGCTCACATGATCAGATATTCCCAAGTGGCTTGCAAGACTGATGCAAAGCTCAATGCAGCAAGAGGTCGCATGTTTCTCTGATTAAAGTAGCAGAACATTAGCTATGCACACGATAATTGCAAAAGCCAGTAAACAAACCTTAAACTCTTGAATTTTTCCCATGCGATGCATTTCATCGTCGTCCAGTGCCGTTCCACCATGTTGGGAGACCCCTGGATTCCTTTGGTCCATAATACCCATATCCAGCGTCTCCAACGCGGTCGCTTTGATTGAGGTTTCCATAATCCGATGAATACCAACCCAAACAAAAAAGTGCCAGAGGTAGAATTGGGTTCACAAGGATTAAGGGGCCATAGGAGTAAAGTATTAAATTCTGACCTCAATAGAAGGCCGGAATACCCGTGAAATAATGGATCCCTTGCAGTCAGTGTACCTCCGTGCCGCGTGCTGCCCTGTGCTGCCCCACCGAGGGGAACGGGAAAAACAGGCGAAGCATAAGCTAATTACTATTCAGTTGACCGTGTGTTTCGTTTTATAATCATACCATAATTTGAACTTCTTATCAGGGCCTAGAGCGGCTTTCATTTCGAACAAAGCATGTTTTAGTGGCACTAGACTAGGGCTGCATGGATAAATTCCTTCGTGCCTTTACTAAGTGGGGAATCTATGGCCACAATGTACAGTCACAACACCGCAAAATATATATATCTCACCTAGTTATGCATTTCAACTAAGTATTGCATACTCCGTACTATTAATATTAATTTAATATAGTAAATATAGTATATTTAAATGCGCATTTTCTTAGAGAATATAGTAATAATATTTACAAATTTTTAGTATCTTATATACCAGCCCTCAGCAGCAATAACCGCCTTACACCGACAATTTATACCATTAAATCAATCCTAGCCTAGCTCCCCCTATACTCTATAAATTAACTCCTAGAAAAGCTCAACTAATTGCTCTTTAGTTCTCATAAATTTATCAAGGTCGGGATCGAGGTAATCAATTATCTCTTTTAGCTTTGCCTAGGTATGTTTCGTAAGGTTTAGATCCGGGGATATAGCTAGGCCTTAACAACTCCCATAGGACTAAAAAAATTTTGGTCCCATATCCTAGTCCTATCTACTCCCATAGGACTAAAAAAATTCTGGTCCTATAACCCTAGTAGTCCCATAGGACTCCTATATAGTCCCATACTAGTATAATTTTGCTAAGAATTTCCTCTTTCGGCTACACAAATCTACAAAGTAATCAGATAAAATACTATTATTTATAGGTATATAAGCATCCCTACTTCTAATATTAACTAACGTCGTTTTTTTATATAATATAGTCTATAATTAAGTGTATAGATAACTTAAGTCTATATTAAAAAGTATTATCCTTTAAAAAAAAAGGTTAAATAATAGATTATTATCTCCTATAAGTATAAAAGAGATATAAATATAGTATTAGGTAGAAGTAGTTAAGTAATATATATATTTATATAAGATACTATACTATATTTTCTATATATTATTAAAATAGTAAAAATTTAATAGACTTATAGTAAAATATAGTTAATTCTTATATTATAAGAAATATTATCCCTAAATTAATTTTTTTTATTTTAGAATTACTATTCTCTACTCTATAATTATTAAAGAATTTTAGGATAAAGTAGGTTTAAAAGTAAGGATTTTCTATTTAAAGTTATAAGGGATTCTAGATACCCCTAGATCTATTAACTTCCCTTTTATATAGGAGTCCTATAGGAGTCCTATAGGAGTCCTATAAGAGTCCTATAAGAGTCCTATAAGAGTCCTATTAAATAGACTAATAAGTAATATATAATAAGTAGGTTATTATTTATTTATAATATATAATTATATTATTTATTATTTAGAATCTATTAATAGTAGGATATAACTCTTCTTTATATAAAGGTAGGCCTTAAAGATATCCTTTTTATACCCTCTTCTATTTTAATAAAATTATTATTTAAGTATATCTTAATATAAACTATATACTAAGGCTAACCTTTTATCCTAGGTTTTATTCTCCTAAATAAGAAACCCTCTACCTTCTTTAGTCTATAATATTAGTATTATTAATAAGCCCCTTATACTAAATTATTTAATTAGCTAATAGCTAATCTATAATAAGCCTAAATCTTTAATCCTTTAAATAAAGCTAAATCTAATTCCTCTAACCCTCTATTATATTAGTCCTAAATATTAAAAGTTCTAGGTTTTTTAGACTTTAATAAATAAAGCTAACTTTATTAAGTAGTAGTATTATATAATAGATATAAACCTATACTCTCTACTATATAAAGTAAACTTTAATATAAAGTATACCTCTACTACTTAAGAATACTTTAATTAAATAGTCTACTTCTAAACTAAGAAACTAATAGTACTTTATTAGAGATATAAAAAAGTAATTTTATACCTATCCTTATTAGTAAATAGTTTAAAGTTACTTATTATATATTTATTTAATTATATATATATAACTATATTAAAAAAAGGGTCTATATAATAAGATATATAGTAATCACTTAAACTTATAATATTATATAAATCTAATTCTATATTCTATCTATCTAATACTAATATTTTCTTTATACTTAGGCTATTTACCTACCTACTTATAAAGTCTTTAACTAATAGTAATTTAAAAGAGCTTAAGTTAAATTTATAGTAAACTTATAGCTTCTATTCGAGGTTTTTTAATATAAAAAATTCGAAGATCTTATTATAAAAGCTTACCCTTCTATTATTAAAGACTATATAATATTAGCTCTAATTAATTATTTATATAAAATAGTAAAAGCTTCTTTCTCTACTCCTAATTAGAGTAAAATTATTAATTACCTTTAATTATTAGACTTTACCTTTTTAATAGATATTTATAATAATTATAAGCTATTTTATAGATATTAATTAGGATTATTATAAAATCCTTCTAGGTTTTATACTAATTTATAGCTAGTATATAGGCTCTAATCTTATAGATATTCTCTTTAAAGTTTTTTAGTAATAGAATATTATAAATTAAGTAATTATAATTACTATAGATAATATATTAAATAATAAGACTTTAGTTAATAGTCTATATAATTTAATTAAATAGATAGAGCTCCTTAATTTTACTAAAATTATATAAGTTCTATATCTTACTTATATAATTTAATTAAGTCTAAAAGATCTCCTTAACCTAATAAAAGCTAATCTAAAAAATAATAAAATAGTAATAGTCTAGTTAGAAGAAAATAGAAGTCTTTTATAATAAGTAAAAAGATAAAAAGGAATTATTTATATACTAACTAAGATAAAGTAATTAAAGCCTTCTTATAATATTATTTTATATTAACTACTATACTACTAGGTATAGGCTTTTATAGCTTTTATTAATACTAATCTATAGTAATAAGAGGTATTTCTAAATCTATAAAGTAAAGAACTAAAGCTTACTCTAATCTAAAATATATAAACTTAGTAGAATTTAATATATCTTATACTCTAATATACTAATTAACTTTCTAGTAACTATTAAAGATATTATATAGAATATTAATACTTAGAATTCCGGCTAAGTAAAAATAAATAATAATAGATTAAATACTTACTCTATATTATAAAGCCTTTCTATAAATAGACTATTAGCCTATTAAAGATTAAAGTAATAATAATATATAATATATTCTAGGTTTATAACTAACTATTTACCTATTTTAAATAGGCCTAGGCCTATCTTTAATAAAAGAAAGTACTTTAGAAAAAAGCTATACTAAAGGTCTTTAAAGCTAGAAGTAAGAAACTCTTAATATATTATAAAATAACTAAGTAAGTATATAAAAGCTTATATATAATTAGTATAATTCTTATACCCTAATATAAGCTTAAATTCTTTAAAAGACTAGAATAAGTAGGTAAGGTTAATAGTATAGATTCCTCTTAGTATAATATATATAAAATATCTCTTTATAAGTACTTAAAGGAATACTTAAAATACTAGCTAGAAAAGTAAGTACTTCTAAAGATAAAATCCTCCTTATATAGTATAGATATAATAATAAGTCTTTTTAAAGAGGATTAGCTAAAGCTACTACTATAGCTAAAGACTAGGTAGTAAGAAGAATTAAAGAGATATCTTAATACTAGTATATTTATATAATTATAAATATAAGTTAACTAATCTAACCCTATATAGAATAGAATTTAATTAACCTATACTACTTCTAAAAAAAGAATAAGTATTAGTTTTTAATACTTATAGTAGTTATATAGGATATTTTCTCTATCCTAGCTATTAGTATAGGTATTAAATACCTTTTTAGTACTACTTATAATATCTACTATTATTAATAAGGGTTATTAAATAAAGTAATAATCTAAGATCTAATAATACTCTGTTATTTATCTAAGTTTAATATTAAAAGTAAAGAAACTAATAAAGATTTCTAATCTAAATCTATTCTAAATCTAGATAAGAGGATAGAGGTTAATAAGGTAAAGGAAGCGAAACTTCTTAAGTCTATATTAAAGGGAATTAGCGAGGGTAAAGATAGTAAGAACTTAGATAAAATCAGAGGTATTAATATAGATCAGGAGGCTACTAAGGAGTTAGATAATAATTCGGTACTATATCTATTACCTCTTATTATTATTAATAGTATAAGTTAAGCTCAACCCTAAAGAGATTATAAGAAACATAGGGATAATAATATATATAAGTATACTAGATAATTTAATTATATAATACTAGAATTATACCAAATCCTAATAGAAAAAATAACCTTAAATCTCTAGATACTAATTCTCACTATAAGCTAAATACTAATTAATACAGGGCATTTCTTTATAACTTATATAGGTCACGTTTTTCTCTATATTTACATTATTTATAGTCCTATAAGAGTCCTATCAAAGTCCTATAGGACCGGACTAGGTACCTCAGTCCCATCTCTTGGTACTCCCATGGGAGTAAATGGGAGTCCTATCCGGTCCTATAGGAGTGGTCCTATGGGACCAAATGGTGGGAGTTGGCAAGGTCTAGATATAGCGGCTAATCGGGAGTAGGAATTATATTCTCCTATAACTATACTTTAATAATTTTAGTAGTATAAATTAGTACGTTATCATATATGAATATACGCGTTAAATCTATAAATAGTTAAAGTAGGTTTTCTTCGAGGGTTTTAAGACATAACTGCGAAGAGAAGCTTTATCGTATATTATATAGAGAATGGATCTTAATTTATTTTAAAATAAATTAGAATACCTACTACTAAATATTATACCCTAAATCGTAATGAAGATTCGTTTTAATTTTAAGTAAGTGACTATATATTCTTTCCTCTATTTTTCGTTCTAGTAGTTAAGGTAGAAGACCTAACAAGTACACTTCCCTTTTCTAATCTCTACTAGATATTTATTGGACTAAATAATACATATCCCTATATCTAATTCTAATACTTTAAAGTCTAAGGCGTAGCCTAGTAACCTTAGGTTTTAGATAAGGTCTTTTTTAAGCTTTCTAGTAGCCGTATCTTAAGGATTTTAGTATTCGGAGGAAGGTATCGTCAGAAATTAGATTTCGGAATAGAGGATAAAGGAACTATACAGAATAATACGTAGGATTAGGCGTTTATCACACTCTAATAGAATAGGGGGGCGGCTAATACGAGAAAGGGTTTACCCTTCCGTTTACAGAGTATCTTATTCGAGGGTATAGGTAACGGTAGAATGCGTTAAACCATAGACGCGCGCAATTAACTTAATTAAGCAGCCTACCTAGGCCTAGCCGACGATTTTACCCCGTAAGTATAGAGATAACTCGCTTCCGTGCGCCCTATTTGAATTAATAGGGCGTAGAGGTATTCTTGAGACTATGATTAAAGGTTGAAAGGTGTGGGTTGGATTGACGCGTTTTGAAATACGCGGGTGTGGGGCCGAAATCACGGAAACTTTTGCGGTACAAGAACTGTAATAATGTTCGTTGACTATTTTAGACGGTACAAAGTACCAAAATTCGCCAAGACATTATTATGGGGCTATTGAATCTCGAGTGATATTCTCCACAGGGGGGCTTCATACAAGATAGAAAGTCGTATAGCTACCTGGGTCGAAAGCCTCATACGTTATAACCATGCAGCGCTAGTAGAACTAGGCTACCTTGGATATTATCTTGTAAGACATATACGGAGTATAATATAGTAGTTCTGATATTTTGATTTTCTGCCGTTCTGAAAGATGGTATTCAGGTACCCCCCCCTAAAATGGGGGTTGAACCTTGATATACGTCTGAGTACCAGCGTATGGCCTCTGATTGGACTGATTGGGACGGGAGCGGGAGGGTAGATAAGTCTTGTCCACCTTAACCATTGGCTCTATTTTCTACTCTGAAACGTGCATCTAAAAACATTATTTTGCGTTCATTCCATCATTCGTAAATACCTCATCACATCACCTAAAGTGGCATAGGCCAGCAAAATCTTCAAAGCCAACTACAACATAGGAAGTCAGCTGCAGTGTTCGAAGGAATAGTGGACACGCCATTTAGATGAGGAAATTAAATACCAACTAGAGTACGTACTCCTTTTCACTTACCCTACCTAGCCTTGATATGGCTCGGCAAGGATTATAATCCCTGCACACTATGCAATCCGGTTATTTCTCTCCGTGTACGGAGTACGGAGTACACTCTGTTTTTTTCCATTTTTTTTTCAATGGCACCCCGGCCATATTGAGTGCACTGTGGCGCACCATCCTATCGACGCCGTAGTGTTCCTTTTGACCGTTCGTCCCATTTGACGATTTGTATTTTCTTCCCGATTTAATAGTTTGAAAATGTCTTTAACCCTCCCACTCATGTTTCAAATGTGAAATTTTTTCCGTTGCTGTTTACACGGCTCCTAGCTCGTCATGTCGGCCACTGCGAAGACATGGCCTTCGGGTGTGAGCCCTCCTCTTACGACGGATAATGACCATAACCATAGTGGACTGGTTGTTGTTATGACCGCATTCAACTTGTGTCTGATTTTGTTTTCTCTCGCGGCGCGCACTTTCTCTTCGTACCATAGGAATAGGCTGCAGCGAGATGATTACACTTTTGGGGCTCTCGTGGTACGGTACTATCCACCTTGTTATAAACTAACAATGCTTCAGCTTCTTGGCTTTAGACTAACAAATTAGTAGCTTGCAGCGATTGTCCAGATTGTAATCGTGTTTTGCCAGGTTCACTATGGGTGGGGAACTCCGATCGATGGTATCGAGGCCGCGAAGAAAGAGCAAATGTTAAAGGTAAGTAATTGTTGGGGAACTCAAATTTTCTTTGAGATTTAACATTACGAAGATGGTATATGCTGCCGATATTTTCTCTGTTGTTGTGCTCGGGCTTTCAAAGATGACAGCCTGCATATTCTATGAGGGCCTATTCTCCCAGATACAACGACGAATTTCCTACGTGATGCTTCCGGCAATGGTCGCGTGGACAATAATATCCGTGTTTCTGTTGGGAATTCGGTGTTCTTCTAATCCCTGGTCTGAGATCAGTGCCGCCGAGTGCAGTGGATTGGTATGACTTGCCCCTTCCGCAGATGAGAGTATAAACACTGACCAGGCTACAGCGTCCCCGCTGGGAAGTCATTACAGCCCTCGACATTGCCACCGAGATTTTACTTCTTGTATATGCGGCAATTGCAATCCATCAAGTCAGGATCTCGACAAAGAAAAAGATCGTCGTGTTGTGCGCTCTCGAGAGTCGGATTTTGTAAGTCCCTTCACTAGACGATTCTTTGCGAGCTCTTTTATTAACACCAGCATAATTGGATAGGCTCATCCCAATCGCCGCGGTTCGCCTACATTACGTCCTAGTCCAACTCTCCTCTCAAGATCCAACTCTCCTCGGGTCCTTTGCTACGGTCTCAACGGAGATGTACATAGGGCTGAGTGCCACCTGCCTCTTGACGGCCTTCCTCAAGTCCTTCATTGCAGTCTACGAGGATGATATGGGGATAACATATAGGCGGGGGCCGTCGAAGTCCGATTCTCGATCGAGAGCTGCGCCGAACTATACACTCTCCAGCGGGTTCTCCCGTAGTGCGAGAACAGAGCGAGGAGTAAAGGGTTGGGAGCGAGAAGATGACCCGATCGTGGAATCATCCGAGGGTAGTCAAGGGTTACACATCATGAAAACTATAGATTTAAGCATTCGAGATGAGCCTATAGAGCTATCGAATCGAGTGGGGTCTAAAGGTATCTAATAAACCTTTTCCCCCGGTCTATAAGAATGCGCCAGGTGGCAATTATAGCCCCCCAAAAGAGGAGAGGATGAAAATGAACACCGTATCTTCATTATTGAACCTACAAATTTCGAGCACGACTTCACTGACTTCGGTCCTCCTTTCTATATAATAAATTCTTCAATCCGAAAACAAACACCATTATCATCAAGCTCCTCGGCCCAGCGCACGAACAACCCGTGGGTGGGGTCCACGGCAATATGGGGAACTTGCGCGAAACCTCTCCGTCAGGACTGGGTAGATCTAGCAAGACAGGAGCCAAATGTGAATATTAGAATTAATATTCGTACAAGAAAGCTCGAGATCACCATCGGCCAGAATACTTCAACAAGACACACTTGACGATTAGGAAACCTAATGGTATAGTCTACTTTGAGTACGAATGTTCTCTACATTAGCCCGTCATCCTTTTTCGGCTTCTTTTTGATAGCCAGCAAAGGATAACACAGAACACAGTGGATGTCAGAGTCATTACGACGCAGGAACTCCTCGAGTTCGAAATTATGATATAGGAGGTCCAATCCGAAAAATCAGTGATAAAAGAGGATGCTTATTTTTCAGTGGCGGGTACTCCCCTCCTTTTACTGGTGTTGACTCAATTATTTATTCTCATTCATCAGTAAGCCGGTGAAACAACTGCCAAATGCCTACTTTACGCTCAGTGCGTAGGGAGGTATATGCATAGTTAGCTATTCTCATCGCTTTTAGGGCAGTGTAGAACTATCAGGGTTCATTACTATGCAGCGCTCGTCATTGTCATACTTTCAAATAACCCATGATGTTACCTACTAGAGAATTCGTAAATTGTAGTGGACCGGCTCCTCATTAATAACGACAACATAAGCTGACTATATCGGCGGAACCTTCGAGCTAAAAACTTACAGAGCCAAAAAAAAGACATACAATGGTGAGGATTCGCTAGTGGTCACCCACCCAACTACTAACTTGCAGGCGTGTGGCTGATATGCGCTTAAGAGTTGGGTGAGTATCACCCGGGTGAGAAATAGGCGAGGACTGTTTTAGCGTCACGAGACTGGGTGTGAGAAGGGTAATTGTGCAATACAAAGGGTGAGAATTGGGGTGAGAGAATCCGGCGGGGCGGCGTGATGTTGCACTAACCCGGCCAGCCGATCAAGTGTAGAACATTATTGAGCCATAGGCCAGCCATGAGCCCTTGCTAAAACATTTAGACTCTTCGCATCTGTATACTTTGGATAAGTTAAGCACTGTTCTCGAGTGTATTCTTTTGTGTCGCTATACAATCTCAATGCAGTGGCGTCAGGACCCTAACTAGTTAGCGCTATAGTGCCTCGGTGCCTTAGTACCAAGGTTATATTTCCTATAAACCTATAGTTATATTATGTTCGCATTCAAGAAGTAACTATTTGCTCTTTTACTATTATAGCATATCTTTTATCTCTATTTCCCGATTCTATATTTATCCTAAGTGTTCCCTTAGATTCTATCTAGGGGTCTCACACTTCGAGTATATTCAAACGCCCTATAGTATAGCATAATCACACAAGCCCACACATCGAAAATCATATTCAAAGTCGAAGTAGTACAATTTAGTATCTAGTCAAGGTTTCAACTACCGACGTAACATACAGACGTCGGAGTATATGGGGTATGGTCGATGTACTCGGCTTATATCTGCGTCTAACCCCAATATGATTCCTTTAGAGTTGATGAAAGATACAAAAAGCGAAACAAAATTGTTCTTCGCAGAGTTAGTTTACTTTTTAATCAACTTAAATTCATTCATACGAGCCCGTCTAGGCAAATACCAACATACGTACATGTATTTTTGCTGTTAACCTTTTCCATCAATAGACATCAATGCCACAAATGTGCCGCAGACTTACAAGTAACTCTACTATGTCATTATTTCAAGACTACTGGTCCTAGTGTGTTGTCTCTTAGTCTAGCATTTATATATGTATCACGGCAAATATTGCTCTATCGCAAATTACAATGAACGCTCCGATGTGACACTATCCAAGATACGGGAAACACCTACGGGCTAGCTGAGAAAGCTTGACATGAGATGTATAAAAGGGACTCAAGTCAAGCATTTGGTGAAGAAGAATTCTGGAAAGCCCAGATTCAACCCATCAATCCAAATATCTCTGAACACAATCCAGTAACATGCTGCTCACACACGCCATCTTGAATCTTCTGTCTATCAGTGCTATATCTGTCACAGCCCTTCCTCGGACAGAGCCTGGCGAAGCTCAAGGTTGGCATTCTTTCAATAATACCAATACAAAAGCGAGAGTGTGCTGACAGAGCCCATATTATATCTTATAGCATGTCGGCGCGCCTTTGAAGCCGCTCTATCACCGGATTTGTCGATTGAGGAAAGTACCATTTCCGATATAGAGGACGGAAAAACCGCAAATAAACCTGATGGAATAGTAGGAATCAGCAGAGTTTATCAAGGAGTAATTTCACCGTTTCTTTGTGATCATCTCAAAACTATAAAACAAAGAAGGGCTAACTATAAGCAGTATTGTTCGGCGGGTACTACTCAACGATGCAATTTCTGCGCCAACGGACACCTTTACTGGAGAAGATGCGCGAACAACCACCGAGTGAGTTCATTGTCTCTGTGGTTGAAATATGCCTTAACAAATACATTACAGTGCACTCGGACTGGGCATTGGTGTAGCTGGTCTGATGCTAGTGGTATTGCCGTTTGTAGCTAGGTCAGAATATTATCTGCTGCTCCGTTTGGCAACGGAGAAAATCAAATTTATTTTATAACGTGTTTCGCACTCCAAACTGACTTCCAGGGTTCCACAATAGTTGTGGGGCGACAAACCTTAAATGAGCGCATTCTGAAGCATCCATGGTTGAGTCCTGAGTCTTGAGTCCTACCTGCCTTGTGTAACAGAAGTCCATGTGGGTATGGCTGTTGCCTGAATCAAGATATATAAGTACGCAGCTCCAGGGATTGATCTCAGCGATATCTTTAGTCACTCAACATTCTATCATGGCAGACCAACAACCTAAATTCGTTTCACCCCCCGAGGGACTGTGGATACTTGATGATACTGGGAAAAATCTCGAATTCATGTCTGAAGAAGAGCTGGACCGAAATTCCATCAAAGCCACTGATCATACAATCCCCAGAGAGACATCCGCAGAGGTCATCGCCAAATACCTTTCTACCCTGACTCCTCATCAGAAGAAGATGCAAGATAAGCTCCGCGACTTGGGCTGGAATGACAGTGCCATTCACAACTTGCTCACTATACTTGAAGATGCACAGCGGTACAACTGCGCAAAGCTACGCCAGAAGGGATACACCGAATCTGAAATTCAAAGGCTTGATGCGCTCGGTAACCAAAATTTAATGGATTTCTCGCATCTCAAACGTGGACTTACCAGCAAAGCCGATGAAGATTACCGGCTGCAGCTGTACTTGCTGGATGAGGTGAAACGAAGACGTCGGGCTATGCTTGGGGAAGAGTAAGAATAGCTAGAAGGGCATGTGATCAGTGTTGAGGACAATGACAAGCAGGAAGATGGGGGTTGTAATGGACATATGTTTCAAGTGCAATTTTCCATGTCAAATTCGGTGAATAACTTCAATCCTATCTTCACCCTACGATCAATTACCATATATTTCACATCTTTATCTTGATTCAACACAGTGATGCTAGTATTATAGCTTGGAGAATTCAATTAATAATTCTATATCCCTGTATTATGAGCATCGCCCTCCTAATTCCTTTCAAGTCCTTAGGCAAAGTAGCAAGTTCGCATAATATATTTACGAAAATACCAGTGAAGCTGTTACTTACCACTTACGGCATAGGTAGCTTCCAGCCTCGCCCGATCTTAGCATCGGTCGATTAATGTGACAATCACGACGATTTAGCTATCAAGCAATATCCAAGCCACGAGCACCAGTGCGGAGATCATATTCAAGAGCCAAAGTGTTGTCCATTCACAGTGCGTGTCTATACCTCTTTGGTTTACCCCTTTATCTGCCTCCCTGTCTTCCACAGGTTCTTTTCTTTATATCCAAAGGACTCACATCACCATCATTCTTTCTCAGCACTTGATGCGATTTCCTGTATTGTTTCCCTTTTCTGTTTTATAGTGGCTTTAAGCCGTCCATCAATTTTCTAGCATGAAGTCAAAGAATTCCCCCCGCGGAAAGACGGGCACCCTCAAAGCCGACATGAAAGAATACGAAAGAATTTACATTTTATTATAACATCATGTTTTGCACTTAGAATCTGGACTACGATGTTTGATGTTTAACACGAGCATATCTTCCATCCTCCTCTATCTTGATAGAGAGTCTATGTGGAACCTTTCATTATGAGACCAGTATCTTTGTTTGACTTTCATGCAGTCGTTGCGGCAACATCTATAAGGCCTCCAACTTTACAGTATGTGTATAGAGACAGCCAGATCTCGGTTTGTTGAAATACCGTCCTTTCTTCCTCATAATATCACATTCTTAGCTGTATATTACTCCTTGACTTGACGAGGTGATTTGTGATCTAAGCAGGAATATATAATTTATATAATCTCCGCCTGGGGTCTCACCTAGGGAATTTACTATAAATTTGTTTGATGGTACAATTTTCTGATTCAGCCTTCATTTTTCTCTCTGTTTAACCTTGGTTTTATACCCCATCAGTTGTCTTTTACTTTTCATTATTTTCACCAACCAGCTTCCATATTCACAAATCATCCCTATCCTCATCTTTCCTTCTTCTTCATGTCCTCGCCCAAGTCCAGAAAAATGTCATCCAGCAGCCACCTTGGTCTCCCGACGACCTTGGTAAGTCATTATCATCTTTGATCCAAGCTCAAATCTTGCTGACATATATCCTTTTAACATATAGCAAGCCGAACGCATGGTCACTGCTTATCTTGGGTTCGACAATATTGTGGACCTCCAGCGCTTCGTCATCATGTGGCCATGTCTTGAAGCCATCCGACTAATATGTGCTCTACCCGGCGAGACTAGCAACAATCTCGTATTTCCAAGTCTAGTGGAGACTAGCCAAGCACTGGAATCCCGTCCCCGAGCTCGTCCCACCAATGAATATATCCAACACTGCTGGGTGGCATGCGTATTGATCACCCTGAAGTATAATGTCGCAGTTTATCAGACGAACACTTATGAGCAAAACAGAGCACGAACCATTGTAGCGATTCAAGACTTGCCACCTCGCTTTTGGGTTCCAGATCATATTATGGAGGAGGAAGACTTCCCACCATATCCAATTCTTCGGCCAAATCTACGGTTCAGCGAGCCTTCAATCATTCCTCTCCACCGCTGCTTTTGTCTTTTACAATATCTCGAACTTTCGCATGGCTCGGAGGATAGAAGGGATTTATACTCGGATGCCCGTGTGCACTGCTCGGGAGAGGACTTTGACGTCACTGAGGATGATTTCCCATGGTGGATGCGAGACTCTCTATAAGAGAAGTAATCGTAGGCTATTTCTGTTTGTGAGACACTCTTGGCCTCAGCAAGCCTCCGATGATCCCTTTGCATTGCTACATTTGTCTCTTATTACCTAGAAATTTTCCATGACTCGGTAGCTCGATGGGGGCAATACCTAGACAACCTTATAAGCTACTCGATTGAGGAATTTGAGGCCACAGAGCAAGATCTGCCTTAGTGGATGAGACACACTTGATGAGAGAATTAACGGTTAGCTGGCTGGGCTGGTAAGACCACCCTTGATCGGAGTGCCATATTCACGATACTGGAAATACTAGCGAATGAGTAACAGTGTCATATATAGAAGCATCTTCTTAGCTGTGTAATTAAGTCTCATGTATTGAACTTTGCCTCCCATTGCCACAATGGGTTTATTTAACCCTATCAGACTTTACTCAAAATTCAATTCTCTTGTTACACGAAACGTGCCTCCTGGCCATAATCACTTGGCCTATCCTCTACCGTCACGGCAACTCCATAATTAACCATTATATTTCTCTTGTCACTCGGATGCGCCAATTTCTCCTGACTGCTTGACGGACTGGTAGAACGGTATGCACTCGCTGACTGATATGACTCCTCCTTCCCCCTAAAGCTGTTCAAAGGAATATTCGGTCCTCCAAACGCACCCGAGCGGTGTGATGGTATACCACTGCCTGCACGGCCCCGCAAGTTGTACGAGTCATACGGGTATGATGTCTTGGAGGGAGAAATGGCGGTTTTAAGGACGCGGTAGAGGCCGGGGCAGCATCCAATCATGACGGCTAGGAAAATGAAAGTGAGTAAAATGGTTCGATAAGCAAGTCGAGAAAGCGGGAAGTATATGCATACCAATTGATGCTTCGATGGTTCCCCATAGCGCTAGCCATGATGGAGCGGGGACTCCGTTTTCAGTCTCACCTAGCTGAACGACACGGATGGTGGAAATAATAATGCAAACCCAGCCAAAACAGAATAACCCGCCAATGCTCAGCTTTTGTCGGGTTTGCATCTGCAGGTTCCAGATAAGGCGGATAGGGAGGATCATGACTTGGCGAGGTATTAGATTAATGGAAATTCATGGAATAAGGAGCACTATACATACTTGCTAGATCAGTAACTATGTCCACCCCGTATGCGTAGTATAAGCTGATGACAGCCGCCCGATGGTCGCGTGGGGTGTTGCATTGGCCTGAAGTAAACCAGGCATGGAAGCTTGAGCATGATAACCACGATGAGAGAATGCAGCCAATAATAAACTGAGAAGGATCTCGTAAGTTGTTTGAAGACTCGCACCCAGGTGGGAAATCCATACCAGAACGCAAAACCCCATAATAACCCACCAGGCGATGAGGTATTTTTTCCCAACCAACAACCGTTTATACATGGCCAAGAGCGAGAACTTGATCATCCACAAGCAGAGCCATAATGAAGATGTTGTAACGAAGAAGACAGTTTGCAATCGGAGTCCTTCCTCCGAAATGGCGGCATAAGGGGGAATCGTTCCAGCACCGACTGCTGCTATCCGGAAAATGACTGGGGAAATATAAATGTAGAGAATGCTCAGTTCCAAGAAGAATATGTAAGCGACAATCAAAAGGTAGTCTTCAGCCTTGAGATCCTTGAAACTTCGAATAGAACCAACAAAACGGGTGCCTACGACCAGCGAGGTGAGTACAATCAAGGCAATGCCAGTACCTTTGATGGTATTGGGACCGAAGGTGCCCGTAATGGCCTCACCCATCCCTTGTTGTAAAAGATTTTAGAAAAGCACGCCCAGAACCGCGTGGGCCCGCTCCATCCATATACATAAAGCTACCAAAATTTCCGTAACCACATGGTAGCCATTTTCTTGAGTTTAAGATTCACAGATGGGCACCACCTGCAGCCACCATGCGCAGCCATTCTTTCAGGCGTGCATGTTATGAAATAAACAGGGATTGTAACACTTCCACGAGGGGCAATATACGGATTTGTTTCGGATGCCAATGTAGAAATTATGGAAGATGCATGCCCCATCAGCTCTGGGCCAATCACAGAAGAGATATACTGCATCGGTGGGGTGGATGGCCCGTCCCCTCTTACACCCTAAGTGGCCCCCAATTCCCACTGGAGGCGATGACGGGCCGAGGCGCACATGGAGGGGCCCATGAAAAAGAAACACATTTACCCAAGGCTCAATATGACTCAGCACAAAGCTTCCCCATAACCATCATGTAGAAGATCTTCAAAGGAAGGGGGGGGGGGGGGAAATGCGATAGCTTTTTGTCAATGCCGGGGGAAGGCTGGATGAAATGCCTACGAAGTTTGGACTTCTTGTTTCAAACTAAACCGCCACCTGCATAAGCCCCGGACCTACCGGGTTCCGCGGTCTAGCGGGGCGTTCCTCGCGCTCGCTTAGGAAGTTCATCATAATTCCCTTTTTTTCGAGATTATACATGGCTTTCCACTCATGGAAACCAAATAGTTTGTAGCCAGTAAGAATACATTTTTTTTTAGAATAATACTGATGGCGAAATAAGCGACTGATTCTAGAAGGAAAATGCATAAGTTCATTGTTGTGAGCTTCGGGCTAGGTTAAGCGTTCGGGCTGCGCCGCTTCGCTTAGATTTAGAAGCGAGATTGCTTTACATGTTACTGAAAGCGAATATAGCTTTAGAATGGCTAGTCAAATTATACCTCAATTATACAACCCCCCTTAATTACTCAATCTTATCTAACAACCTTGGAATGGCTTACACCAAGGACCATCCCCGGAATCTCATCGGATCAGAGCCTTCGATCAGGTAGCCTCCGGGGAAGTTAAAAGACAATAAGTTTCCTCCACTTGGGTTTCTTTCCTCCTTTTCTTCCCTCGCGCTTGTTTGCTCTGTTTCATTTGCTTTCAAAGCTTTTGAATCATGCATCTTTCAACCCTTATTGGCGGGCTGTCTGCGATCGGCGGGCTGACCCTTGCCCAGGCCGCTGCGACCAGCTCGGCCATTGAAACCGATGGTTTCAGCATCACCGACGCATTAGAGGATCTCGGTGTGGATGTGTCGCAAATCCCCGCATTGGAGTCGTTCGCCTCTATTGAGACGCGGTCAACCGACAAAGCCTGTGCAGCTGCTGTAAGTGAAGAACCGGTCCCAATAGCAATCTGGCTAGGCATCCAGCAATTGCTAATTCCAAACTTACCTTAGTGCGCAAGTTTGAGCTTCCTTTTTGGCTCCAAGGTTGCTTCTCCAGAGACTACTGGGTACAGCAACTTCACTAGCTCATTCTGGTCCGTGCAGCAAGAAGAGGTCCAGCCTCGTTGCGTCTTCCGTCCTACCAAAAACACGGAAGTTAGCACAGCAGTCTTACTTTCCCGTCTGACTGGTTGCGAGTTTGCTGCTCGCAGCGGCGGCCATGCTGCCTTCACCGGTGCTTCTAGCGCGCCTGGCGGAATTAGCATCTGGTTCAAGGATATGAACGCCGTTACCCTTAACGCGGACAAGAAGGTCGCTTCTATTGGCCCTGGAAACAACTGGTTGACCACCTACTCTGCCCTCGAGCCCTATGGCTTGGCTGTTGTTGGAGGTCGGGCCTCTAGCATCGGTGTTGGTGGGTTCGTTTTGGGTGGTGGAATCTCCTACCACTCTAACCTGCACGGATGGTCTTGCGACAATGTTCAGAGCTTTGAGGTAAGATTATGTATCTGTCATATTATCCACTGGGGAAAGGTGGTACTAATAAATGATATGTAGGTCGTCACCGCTAGTGGTCTGATTGTAACCGCGAGTGCAACTTCCTACGCTGACCTATACTGGGCTCTGCGCGGTGGTGGCAACAACTTTGGTCTTGTGACCAAGTACAATTTGTACACCATTCCCTCCCCAGAGCTATACGGTGGTGCCAGAACCTTCCTCCAGACCGAGTTCCCCGAGGTTATCAATGCTTGGATCAACGTGATCAACAACGCCACGGTTGATGGAAACGCTCAGCAATACGTTGCCTTCCTTCGGACCCAAGAAATGAACCTTGCCTCTGCCGAGTTAACGTACGTAAAGAACGACCCCAACCCTGAGATCTACAAGCAATACAGAAGTATTCCAGCCATTTCCGACACATCTAGCGCCAAGACCCTTGTTGAGTACGTCAAGTACCTCGAGACCGAGAACCCGTTCGGTCTTCGCGAGGTGTACTGGCCGATTAGCGCGGCTCTCAACGAGAAATTTGCCAACTGGGTGGTGGACCTCTTCTACTCGATGATCCCCGAGGTGGCCGATGTTGCCGGCGCCCAGCCCGTGCTGATCTACCAGGGCATCACTGAGCCCATGTTGAACAACATGAAGAACTACGGTGGCAATGCTCTTGGACTTGATGGCTCCTCTGGCCCTGTTCACCTTTTGCACATTTCCTGCTGGTGGAAGAACGAGTCTGATGATAAGACTATCTACGCGTTTGTCAACAAGTTCATGGAGAAGGTAATTGCTGAGGCTAAGACCGTCGGTGTCTTCAACGAATATATCTACATGAACTACGCCAGCATGTTCCAGGATGCTGTCGCTGGATATGGTGCTACCAACAAGGCTCAGCTGAAGAAGATTGCCAAGAAGTACGACCCCAGAGAGGTTTACCAGACTCTCCAGCCTGGTTACTTCAAGCTTGAGGGTGCTCCCGTGACCTCCTCCTTCTAGAAATACTTGGGCACAGAGGCGTTATCTACTGCTACATATAAAACTGTATGCAAAAAATTCTAGATGATAGTTGATTATCTACATTGTAATTTAACACTTCCGAATCATATTCCCTCTGCACACTGTATCTCAAATACTTTCACTGCTCCGAAGATGTAGGGGAAAAAAACATAATTACGTTATTCCAGGAGTGTCCCTTAGGTCCCAGAAAAATAAGAACCACTATTCCTGTCTCTCTCCGCTAGGGGACTGCCAAATAGCGTTCTACCATTCCTTCTACCAGCAAAAAAAGAAATCTCAGGTTTGGTTTTTAGGAATAGCCGAACGCGGGGGTCGAACCCGCAGCCTTAAGATTAAGAGTCTTACGCTCTACCGATTGAGCTAGCCCGGCTGGGCTGTTGACGGGAAATCAAAAATGTGGCACTAATCCCAATTCGAACTATTCGGCGACCTTCAGCCAATCACAGACACGAGTTCCCTCAAGCTGAAAAGGGAATACTATCTATATAAAATGAGAGACCTCGCCGATATTTCAGTGCCGGCTATGTTAACAAATGCACTACCCCTAATTAAAAATCGTTTTTCAGTGACCTACTTCTCCGCGTGATGTGTAATTACTGGTATATTTTCTTCTTTATCCATACAGTACACTGCCCTGGCGTGACTTTCCCGGTATCTCAAGTGCAAGCAGGGTGTTAGTCTCAAGATTCTTAAAGGGTATTGTTCGTTCAAATTATTATTTCCGACTATATCTAGAAAGCTGTCATTACACCACGCAAGTTGTACCAGGGATTAAATCGAAATTCGTGGGTATATACACAATGATTAGGCAATTCCACTATGCTCGTGCCCCGTAAAGACACAAGACGCTTTGAGTAGCCCGTATGTCTACAGGCAGAATGTGTACAATCAGAGGCACGTATTATTGCCTTAAGAACCAATCTCATACACCGTGTTGGACTTTTGTGGAGGCGATCCAGAAGATCCAATCTCATGTACTTGATTCTGTTCTGGCAACTCTGGAAGTTCGTTGGTAGGGTCAATCCTTTTGCTGAAAGGTGGAAGACGATATCGGCGCAAAAGGAACCCTGCGAGCAAAATTGCGGCCGCGAAACATCCGATCACAATACCCGCGATCGCACCACCAGAAAGAGATGAGCCGCTCTGGTCCGAGGTTGTCGAGTCCGGGAGTGTGGTACTTGTACTTGTGGGCAAGGAAGTAGATATGGAAGAAGTGAATGTAGACGAGGTGGATGTAGAGGAGGTCACTGTAGAGGGAGTAGATGTCGAGGGGGCAGCGGTTTGGTAAACGGAGGCTAAACATAGAGTTAGGAGCTGGCTTTATATAAACACTCACTGCAGGAAAACTTACTCGATGGGGCAGGGTAGCCTGCAAATATAAGTTAGATTGCTTTTCCCTTTGTTTGAGAGAAAGTCAAAACCTACCCGTTTGTTCCTGGTAAGCCCAATAAAGCGTGTCGAAAGTCCAGTCAGTTTGTGCACACATGTATCGTGTTGTTAAAGAAGTTGTATCGATTGGCGATGTTGGAGCCACGGTCATTGTGTAACACGAAGCGGAAGGGCCACTATGTTGACTTTTAGTAAGACGAGCTTGGTGCAAATGATTGGAGGGATTAGGGCTTCTAACCATGTAGCCTCTCCATCATTATTGTAACTGAGGACATTCGTGCTGCAAGCCGTGGGAAATGCTGAAGAACCCGATGGTAGACAGTCGGCATAAGGTCCGTAGGTGGCGAACGTTTGGCTTGATGGACAAGCGATTGGTATGGCTATAATTGTGAGTCAAAACACAGAACACAGACTTTGACTGATTTATTTGCGAACCTTCATCGGTGTCCACAGGCCACCATCCTTCAAAATCCGAAGCATAGGCGTTTGCCATCTCGGTCCACAATTTTTGTAACTAGTAATTATTATAGGCTTATGAAAAAATGAAAAACACCAGAACAGATTCAAAAGAAAAAGTGAAAAGACCCAAAGCAAGCCAAGAGAAATTTAGCAGCCGTGACTTCCCTCACCCATATGACAATAGTAATGCTTTATGCGATACCCTGCTCGTGCCTTATATCTAAATCAGCCCAGCCCCCTGAGCCACTATCATTGGCACGGGCATATTTGGAAGGAAGATGGAATATTTCCGCTAATAGCTACTTCCTTACTAGTTCATACTTACTTCCACAATTGCCTTGTGAGATCTTCCTGACTTTGCCTCCCCTGGAGATAAAGTATTATTAATGTAGGTCTTCTTGCACAGAGTTCTATCCACCTCTCAATTGATTGTTACAACTTGTCACAGCCTTGGAAACCTAGGCAATTCATGGGTGTAGTTATCCGTGTCGAGGAAATCAGATTGTAACCGCTCATAACCATAACGTATCCATAATTTGGTACCTACTCCGTACGTTCACTAGCGCCCGAGTGTGTGATATGAATTTGTCATCTTGGGGGCCAGACGACGTGGAACTAACGCTAGTTACCTGTAGCTGAGTGCTCCAAGCTGCAAGCCTCCTATCACCATGAAACAAACTAAAGCAACATGGGAGAGGAAAAAGAAGGGTGCTGGCCGTCGAATCGATTCATCTAATTTCTCTACAGTTTACTCCATACAGAGTATCGAGTACGGAGTACGGAGTATGTTGTACATAGCTTGAGACGATAACAAAAGATTAAAAAATTGCTAATTTCTTTCGGCCCACTTCCCCGATCTACTACAGTCTTAGCTTGGCCCCCGAAACTTCTTGGCCCCCAAAGCTTCCTAGTTGGTAGAATACAGAATTGGGATGTACAAGAATTAGGATCGTAGGAGACACACATTTCCAGGCCACGTGCTTGATTTACTGAACTTCAAGGATTCTGAGGCGAAATAGCTGCCCTTTAAGAGTGATAGTAGTCTATCCGGGTATGTCAATTGCTGATATATATAGGAGAGATCTGTGCCGTGGCCCGTTACAGCGGGCCGAGTTATATATATGTATCCAGTACTCCGTAGCGGGTCTCCATTAAAGACGCCTTCCAAAGTTTGATCATACTTTCATTCTTATTTCAAAAAATCCAACCAATGCTTACCTGTTCTACTCTTGGCCCTCGTATGAGTTTGTGCCAACGGTGTGGAAATTTGCACAGACTACAATTACTATGTGTGGGGCTCATCGGGGTTATTTGAAATTATGTCACGATAGATGGACCACCCATCAGGCCCACTCGACATGTCCACGATCGCTTGAGCAGGGAAAAGTTCCGAAAATATTTCATGTGGTACTAATACATTTCATAAAGCTCATGTTCAAAAACCTTGAAATCAAATTAATCACCGGCATCGTCGCACACTCACTATCTTGATCATTTGGTATCCCTCATCGTAGTGATACACCCCTGTGAAAGGTCGAGGAATTTTTCAAATTCGAGGACCCCATCTCATGCACATTGTTTGGGTTGTGCGCTTCTAATTCACGCACCATATCGAGCCTGTCGGGCTGTGGTCTTAGCCAGTATTGCTCTGGATGTCCGTAGACATCGTTTGCTTTTCTTTTGTTGAACCACCTGGGAAAGAACTGGCGAGCCAAAATAACTGCAAATAGAGTGACTGCCACGGCACCGAGCACGATACCCGCGATCGCGCCCCCAGATAGTGTTGACCCACCAGCACTCGGGTTTGCTAGTTGATTTATCTGGGTTGATTGAGTTGGCTGGCTTGTTTGGCTTGTCCGGGTTGTCCGGGTTGATTGGGTTGACTGAGTTAAATGACTTGATTGAGCTGATTGACTTGATGATGTACTTGTAGTTCTGGTTGGTACTGTGGATGTAGTTGAGGAAGAGGTGGCTACAAGGAAATTCGAGAGCTTGAGATTAGCTTCTTTTCAGCTCTTGCTGTAAATGAAACTCACTCGAGGGGTCATCAGTACCTATGTTTGTTAATTCGACTCTGCAGCATACGTTCAAGGCATGGGAACTTACTGGTCGTGGCCACGGCAAAATCTCTGTAGAGGGTGCCAACAGGGCCATAGGGCCAATCATCATTGGCGCACAGATATCTTGTGGCTATAGCAGTTTCCATCGGCGATGTTTGTGCAATAATGAAGGTCACACATGAAGCAAAACCAGGGCTAACGAACTGTTCAGCATCATTTGGTTGACTGAAAAAGCACCTGTAGAGAGCACCTATTTCAAACAAATCGGCCCACTTACCATTTTCGACTTCCACCGTTGGAGTATGCGATTATATTATTGTAACAAGTTGTCGCCACAGCCGTCGAGCTTGAGGGTAAGCAGTCGGCATACTCGCCGGACTGTATGAAGTTCTGGTCCGTAGGACATGAAAGACAACTACTTGTCGTCGCTATAAATTCGGATGAGAATTAGCAATTTTGTTGTATGTGACCATCACGAACCTGTTCCGGCTGTCACAGGTAGACACCCTTCGAAATATGCCCCCGTAGTAGTCATGAGAAACCGATCTTTTTCTGGAGATTTGGCTAAAGGATCAGTCGATATATGGTACGTGAGACTCGAAGACTGACACGGGCTTAGGGCGATGAATACGAATAAAAGCGGCGGCGAGCATGGGCATCAGATCATTCATTCATATTTCAAGTGACTGTTAATGGTGTTCCCTATCTGAGTAGTACTCCTCTCTCATTATTCAGAAATAGCCCGTAAGCGTTTCCTTCAACCTCATCTGCAAGGCACGAGTCATTCAGAATGATCGAGTAGACCAATCATCACAGTATGGTTCGTTCCGAACTACTCCGTAGTCTCATACCAAATCTCACTCTGCAGGTCTAAAAACCCCATCACAGGGCATGGGTAGTGGCAGTACAGCTTGCAGGAAATTCCACTTGGGAGTCTACTATATATACATGTAGAGATAGACTGCTATCATCACGTATTTTTGAACACTCACATGCAATGGATGTCTCAGCTTTCTCTAATCCAAATTACGGTGACCATAGAATATTCGGATGCCAAAGGAAGCCGTGGCTTTGTCGGTGTTCTCCTTTTATTTTCTTTCCTTTTTCTTCCCCGGAAGCACAGTTAGACCAATTTTAAAAATGACCCCAATACTCCGTAGTCTCATTCAAAATGGGGCTAAGGAGTACAAAGTATGGACCTGAGGCCTGACCCCCCAGGGGCCCGACAAACTCTGAAGCTGATAGGTTGCCTGAGTGGGGTATCTGACTTGTTGACCGAGGGCTCTTTTGACCCCTTCTCATTCCTAGCGCGTGACTCTTCATTTTCGTTCGCTAGGAACACCTTTAGATAGCCAACGACATTCAACCTACTCCTTATATATGTTGTAGATAAGTTTAAAGCGCAATCTAGCAGCATTATTAGAATCCGTCAGTAAAAGGGGTGAAGCGGGCTGAGGGGCTGAGATATGGGGCCAGTGGGCCTGACGGTGCGGAATCCCTGTCTACATCTGATTTGACGCAGTCAAATGCCATTAACCGTATTGAGACTGAATTCTTAACACGTTCTTGTTGGACTGGTTGTGCTGATAAATCAAATTTCTTTTTTTTTTTTTTTTTTTTTTTTTTTTTTTNCACCCGTTTCGGGACCCTGTTGATCCTAAAAGCTTTTACTTGCTCGTTAGTGAGTAGTGTGACTCGCTTAAAATCGGTTTGTAGTATGAAACTCATTAACGAACAGAAAAAATATATATTGGAAGAAATTTTCTTATATGTATCGTGCTTAATAACCTTAGGCAGTGGAAGGTTTCTCAGGTCCACGTGTTGAAGAGGATTTGATATGGAAATTTCCGGGCGGCAAAGGGTCTCACAGCGAATTATGAACTGTCCTGAACTTTTTTATGATCCACATACACAGCCCTCTCTTACTCCCAAAAAAAAACCCCCATGCAATCAATACACAAACAGAGCCTCTGGGTTCTACGTCTACGTCACGAGCGGCTTCTTTAAAGCTTTGAACCCCAACCTAATACACCTAGTTCCGACTAGATGGGTCGATCGACATGTAACAATGCCAATTTTCTTGGCTATCATAAAGTTGTTCCTAGTGTGGAGATCATCAGTGGCGATGCAATCCCACAATACGTACCACTAAGCCCAAAACAAGCAATCCCCCAATCATCCTTAGAGCGAGAACCGAGTAGAGACATTTCTAATTAAAGGGGGAATTTCGTGCTCAACCAATCTATTATGCGCAAAGTACCCCACTAACCCTTCTCCTCCAATTCGCCAGAATAGATCCAATTCCCTAGAATAGACCCTGTTTCACTCGGATGGACCCTGGTGCCTAGGCTTATATATGTTGAGGGTCCGCCAAGTCGAACGGGGGCACATCTTCGCTCCAAATAACAACCAACAGGGGCATTGACCATTTTCTAGTCCCTTAAATGTACATTTACATATGTTGAAAAGTATGATGAGTCGCAAATTCAGGCGCTTTCTTTACGTCGGGCTGGCTCTGTTCCTATATTGTATCGTCGCTCTCGCCCATTCAAAAGGCCAGGTAAGCGTGCTACAAAAGAAATCCTTCGACGATGGATTCCCTGACGAAGGGAACCATCAGCAACAGGTGAACACTGCATTCAAGGGGACAAGAAGAGAGTTGCTAATTAGTTGTAGTTCTCTCTCTCCCCTCAAGAGCGGTATCTGCACGAGATTGAGTCTACCACACGGTCGGTTATCAAATGAATGACCCTTCTCAGGGGTCAGCCTCGGGATATCTGGAAAAGACTATCTAATGCTAGTCCAGGCAATTTGATGGATTTGAATCTACTATAAAGAGGATATCGCCGCAACGATCTCGCAACCCTCACCTCACCGGTGACCCCCGTCTACAGTCCTCAACAAATGGACCTACACCGAAGATCTATCGCCCATACCCCGATTATGAGAGTAAAGATTGGAAGAGGAGTCATCGTGGCTCTTTCAAACCGTGCATCGGACCCCGAGGCAAAGAAATCGCAGACAATTTGGACGACCAAGTAAGCGCCTACGTCGGCGTTCCCAAAGGTATGTGGATATTTGTCAAATCATATCTCATGCATCGAAGAAGAGATGCAGTGAAATTCCGCCGGTGGACGTGTCAAATGCGCCAAGGCTTTTTTTTGAAGCAAGGAGGACCCGAGCTAGCGAACTACTGTGCGCCCGCACGTGGGGATCTCTGGCTCATGTCTAACACATCTTCTGCTATGATATACAATGTAGCAAGCGACGGCTTATTGGAGTATTCGACTAATATTAGCATGTGGTGATAGGTTTCCCGCCTACGATTTATGGTTCCCACAAGGCAGTTGGCCTCGATGAGTCGTTGTCATTTGATCGCTATACTCGATATGGCGCTTACGGCTTCGGCGAAGATGAAAAGAATGTCGAAAACTGGATTCGACCTACAAAAGTTGATTGGAATAATGTCGATTGGGGAAAGCTTCAGAAGCAATGCGCCGCCGATAATGCCGACCGATTCGACGCCCAGTCGCAGGGGCCGAACACCCAGATCGCCCCGGAGGCACGTACGGCCGTTCTCATTCGCTCTTACACTGGAAAGGAGTACTCGGACAATGATATCATTAACATCCGAGCGATGGTCGCTGAGCTTTCTCTCCAGTCAGGAGGAGAGTATGAGGTTGTATTGTTGACACACGTCAAGGATGATAGTATACGGCTGGATGATCCTCTCGTGTGGGATAGACTTTTGCAGGAGCACATTCCTCGGGAGTTCTGGAGGATGACTCAATTCTGGAATATGCCTCAAGAGGTAGCACATTATCCTCAGCTCGACCCCGAACTTATGGAGTTAGAATATCCCATCGCTCTTCGTGTTGATCTGTTTTTACTAACTTTGTGCGCAGTGTTCATCATTCGCAATGGCTCTCAGTGCAACAATTCGCGATCCAGAACCCTCAATTTGAATATATCTGGAACTGGGAAATCGACACCCGCTTCACAGGTCACTACTATGAATTCGCCGACAGGATTGCAAACTTCGGCTCGCGACAGCCACGTCGAGGAATCTGGGAGCGCAGTGAACGATTCTACATCCCAGATTATCATGGCGATTACGACACCCGATTCCGATCATTTGTCAATGCCCAGGGTGGACTCGGCGTTTGGGGCCCAATGCCCATGAGGTTAGATAGCGACAAGCAGATCGAACGCCAAGGCCCCACACCACCCGTCCCAGCGCCCGCCCAAGACCCCTATCAATGGGGTGTGGGCGAGGAAGCAGACCTGATGGTTTTCTTGCCTATGTTCAATCCAATCAACACGGAATGGGTCATCCGAAACGAGGTCTTCGGGTATATCGGAGATACCACTCCCCGAAGAGCTTCTTTGATCACCCACAGCCGCCTTTCAAGACGACTATTGTTAGCCATGGACAGTGAGAATCGTGAAGGTCGCCACATGAGCGCTGAAATGTTTCACGTATCAAGTGCCCTCATCCACGGATTCAAGGGTGTCTCGGTTCCTCACCCGGTCTATTCAGATCGGTTGATGCCAAGCGACCGTGTCAGTCGCTGGTTCAATTCGGGTGTTAACGGTCGGAGCGGGAGTACGACGGACAGTCCATTTTCCTGGGGTCGAGAGTCTCGTTTCAAGGATGTTTCTTGGTATTACCGCGCTAACCTGCCCGGGCGACTCTACTGGAACTTTTTGGGTTGGGAGAAGGAAGGAAAGGGTGGACCACAGGTATGGAACCGCTTCAGGCGACAGCACCAAAGATGACTAGCTAACGTTTCGCAGTATGAGGCTGAACACGGTCGTTATTGCTTACCTTCCATTCTTTTCCATCCCGTTAAAGATGTTCGACCCGAGGCCGATAGTACTCATTATGAATTTGATGCCGACAACGGATCAGTCGCTACACCGGACCAACTTGCGCATATCAACGAGCAAGGGAAATAATAGCTCTGCTTTTGCATTCTCTGTTCTTTTTTTCGGATCACATTTTCTTCCTTGGAACGTGTTCTCTATGTATCTATCCTATGTGCCTGCTATATACCTCTCATGTTTGATATTAATGACTCCATAATCGGACCACCCTGTGTGCATTTCAACGGTCCTAACATGTTCCTTCCTAGCAGCGAGTATGACAAGCGGATCCAAATACACTAGGAATTTGGAGGCTGAGGGTGCGCCTGGTGAGTTTGACTATTCCGAAAAGATCGTCACCAACCTGGTGGAGCACTGTACGTGTATGCCATCGGGATCCAGGGGTCGGCCAAGTCAGGCATAGGCCTAACCCTCGGTCGGAGGGTGAGAGAAAATCAAATGTATCAACCTCCGTTTCAGACTGCTCCAGCCGTTGTGGAGGTCCAAAAAAGCGGCAGTTTTCCCACATGCAACACTGGACTGCATTTTCATTGGCCGAAGAGGCCCATCGGGTCCCACTTGGGTGCGTAATCTTTCACACTGTTCTCCGGACAAAACGCCAAGTCCAATCATTTCGATCGTCACTCGCTTACCGAAGCGCAACAGTTACAACAATTTCCCCATAATAACCACTTGGATCCCATGTTTTTGCTTTATTTGAGCTTTCAGGATCAAGAAGCGCTCGCATTGTACGCGAGCGCCATTTCGTTGTCTTTAATAATACATTCATTTGGCCATTGAAATACATACTCTGCCATTCTAGCGACTCCTTCAACATGTTGTTTGTCATTCCTTTAATAGCATTGTTCCTACATAATGCTCTAGCACAGCGTCATGATGCTGACTTAATGTCCTTTGTAACGGTTTGTAAATTCCAAGTTAACACATGTCCACAAACGAAAAACTGACAGGTCTTATCCAGCTCCCAGATGTACGAGCTTTGAAATGGGAAGTCACCCATCACGACCGTGGGCGTCTAGCACCAGGATACTGGTTCGTTGCGCCGTATGGGCAGATAAATCCGGAGCAGCATACCCAGAAGTATCAGCAGTACCAAGTTGGTCCTCATATCTATGACAATGATGGTGTATGTGATCTTTCCTACCCCGTGGTCTACAGGGGATCTGAGAAAGCCGTAATGTTGACCAACCTTTCCATTTAGATGCTTATTTGGGCCGGGTCCAAATTCCACGATAACCGCAATGTTTTTGATTTCCGCGCAAACCAAAATATGGACGGCGACATACACTTGTCTTTTGTCGTGGCATGGGATTTGGATAATGAATTCCAGGATAGGGGTCGCGGCGTTATTATGGACCAACACTACCAGGTCATGAAAGATGTGCTGCCATTTCCCGAGACTCACGACTTCAACATGCATGAGTTCAATATCCTAGACGGCGGAAAAACCGTCGTGGCTTGCGTGTACGGCGCATTACCAGTCAAATTGGAAGAGTTCGGCCGTCCCGAAGAGGAGAGCTGGATTGTGACTGGAGGTTTTGTGGAATATGATATCGCAACAAATGAAGTATTGATGCGATGGGAAGGTCTCGATCACATCGCAATGCATGAGTCGAACAAATTCCTTCCGACGAATGCGCCCGCGACGGGCCCACCTGGATGGGATTATGTCCACGCCAACGCAGTTGATAAGAATCCGGCCGGTGATTACATCATCTCTATGCGATTCACTAACACAATCTATGGTGTTGGACGAGATGGACGTATTCTCTGGCGCCTGGGGGGACAAACAAGTGATTTCGACCAAGACTTCACCTTTTCTAAGCAGCACGATGCGAAATTCATCTCATCGAAGGACAACATCCACGTGATTTCTCTTCTTAATAATGCATCTGACGAGGACTCGAACGATGAAGATGTGTCATCGGTTCTACATGTAGAGCTGGACACTCTCGCTATGACTGCCCGGGTGATCAAACGTGTCAACCGACCAGACGGCAAGCTCACCCGGCTACGTGGTAACACTCACACCCTCCCTAACGAAAATATTTTCGTCGGTTGGAGTGAGTATGGCTACCAAAGTGAGCACGCTGCCAATGGCGACGTCTTGATGACCGCCCGATTCGCCTCAGACCGCTTTTCGACCTACCGTGCGTACAAGTCCGAGTTTGTCGGCCGTCCTCTCACCCCACCTGACGTCGTGGCCTCCGTCCACGGTGCTAGCGATACAACTCTCAGCACCGTTATCTACGTGAGCTGGAATGGAGCTACCGATATCGCCACGTGGAACTTTTATGCCCAGGCCAACAGCTACGGCGAGTCTGTTCTCATTGGAAGCACAAATAAGACCGACTTCGAAACTAGCTACACTGTCGACGGTTACATGGATTATATCATCGCCGAAGCCGTTGACCGTAATGGCAACTTTATGGGGAGGTCATCTGTTCACCGCAGTGAGATACCGAACAATTGGCAGGCTGCAGGATTTCGGGGCTCGACGAACCCATCGGCGCAGGATCCAAAGCTTGTTCTGGCGATTCAACAAGATTCAAAGGAAACCCCTTCAAAGGAGGGCGATATTAGCTTCATTAAAAGCACTGGAGGTCTGTTGATCGGGGCTCTCATGCTTTGCACTCTGCTCGGTGGACTAGTGGCCGGCTATTATATGATGAAATCCCGCAAAACGCGCTCCTACCGCGGGGTTCCCTCTGAAGAAAACGAGGAATATTTACGCTTGCAGGGAACTCGCCGCCTGTCGTCGGTGCCAGAGTGATTTCATTCTCGAGGCTTTCAGCATATCGCATTCTCGAGGCAGTCACCCATCAAAAGCAGCCACGCACTTAAGTTTTGTTAGGAGTCTGTCCATCTTCTCGCCATAAGAGTTATTGCATGGATGTACTCGCCTGTTGGTAGCTACAATGGCTGGGTTGAAGATTGGTGGACTTCGTAGCAGGAAGACCGGTCGGCTTGGGTCAGATATATCTTGAGATCACGAACCGATGATTCCTCCAAGACTTGTCGGGATCCGCCTTTTTGGCTGTAACGCGCAGGCGCGTGCTTTTAGTTTCCCCCGAGTCTAGAGAGACAACTGTCCCTAAACCTGATGAGGTCTGATCCAAATGTCGGGTGGATTTCACCGTATAAAAAGGGATGTCGGCAGACATTGCGTGCAAAATCCAACACAATCGACTCTGCCCGTCACTCCGATCCTTTTAGCATGCTGTAATAGATCCTTCCCCCTTTATCTCTATGTATATATCTAATCAATCCCTTTTGTATATATCCACCCCATACACCTCGAATGGAGAATTTCTCACCACGGAACCTAAAGCTTTCTCATTCTATTTATGGCTTCAGTAAGTTATCATATGGGGTAAACACCAAGCTTATATTTTTATCCATTGGGCGCGTAACTCAGTTGGTAGAGTGTTCGCTTTGCATGCGAAAAGTCCAGCGTTCGAATCGCTGCCCGTCCATTTCATTTTTTTTGTTTTAAAAACAACAACCGAACCCATAAATACGTAGTATGGAAAAGATTGAAATAGAGCAATGGCGATGGATGACGCCAGGAAGAATCTAATTGTCAAGATCCTGACAGTGGTATTCGTGGCCATCAGGTAGCCTAATATCAGTCGCTCGCATTGCCCTTCTCGTCGACAAAGCCACTAACTGGGGCTAAGCTAGCGGAACGTATTAAAGATCCGACCTTTGCGCCGTGTATATTGTGAGGTTTGATTCTAGGGCTAGTCTTGGTGGCGGGAGGAAACTGCTAGATGGGGAGGCGCTAGCGGAGGGCTCTCAGGTTATATTGAAGTCGAGCGATTTAGAAACAGAAGCCATGAGGTCAATTTAGCGTTCTGCAGGAGAGCTTCCGGCAGGGCAAGTGGGCGGCGCCTGTTTTTTCCCGTCTGGGTGATGCTCAAATATCAAAATACCTTATTAATTAGGACCATTATCTCCAACTCACACGGGTTGGTCCTGTGGGATTCTTGCTCAGTAGACTTCTCCCCATCCCGCTTCTCTACTACGACCAAGCCTCTTATATTGTACAATCCTCTTTTACACTTGACATGATACACACGAGTATAGGGCGTGGAAAACAAGACTTCCCGCACGCTCAGCTGTACTTAAGCCCATTACACTACGCGGTCAATTCTCAAGGCACCTTGGACTTTAAAATGGCGGGAAAAATCGGATTAGGCTAAGTGTGGGCGATATAGGCGAGAAGGGGCAATAGGGTGATAGATGTCCATCTACCCAACCCAGGGTCATAAGATACCTCGTCGTGGTTCAGAATATTAGATATTGAGCCCAATCAAATGCTTTCGGAAGTCTGATTCTAAGAGAACACATTTTATCACCCATGGGTGATATCATCCAACTGTTTGATTTCGCGGTCCCATAGAGCCTAGATTAAATTAGTCGATCGATTGCATTGAAATAGATTTGGAGGAGATAATACCCAATCAAACATATCAAAAGTAGAGAGGTTATTTCGGGCATTGTAGAATGGACAAGACAGAAGTGGCTCGGAGTTAGGAAGATGATTTGTTGTCGGCACTTGGAAATCATGTACATCATTATTGTGGTTAGATTCAATAAGATGGAGCATCATTGCTACTATCTCGGCGGCCTTTGCCGTTTCCGGAGACGGTCTTGACGAGAATTTCCAAGTAGCGTGTGAGGTTTTGAGCAACTCTATGAGCTCTCTCCGAGTCGAACCTCTCGCAGTAGGGTTAAGTTTGGACTGGTTTATCACCTCGAGACAAATCACCATGGCAGCCGTCATGCAATCAGAGATGGAACGTGACATACCAAACCACACCCGAGACCGATATCTTGGCAAAGAAAACACCCCCTGGAAGAGCTCTGATTGGTATTGAAGAATCCGTCTCGCAGCATCGACACATACACGGCGGAGAGCATTGAAGTCGCGATCTCCTCTCTGGGAGACCAAGTGCTGACGATGTAGAATACAACGAGCGCGCTCATATGTCATCCCGAGAGAAAGTCGCTGAATTGTCGCCTCGTCACCCCCCGTCACTTGATTCAAAGAACTCATGTTCCAGGGAGCAGAGATCTGATTCCATGTTGCTTCCAATCGATCATTCAATTCCATCGTTTTTTCGACCGTCATTTTCAGATCCGAAGCGGCATCTGTGACTTCACTAGCCATGGAGAGAATTTGCTCCATTGCAACCATGAATGAGATATCGGCAGTTTCGGTGTTAGGGCGTGCGGGGCGGAGAATAGTGACCGAGGGCCCTAGATCATCGTCCAGAAGGTTACGTGGAGATGTGGCAGTACCCGATCCTCTCTGGATGACTGGAAGGAGCCCTGTTTGCGAGGCAATGAGGTGGTCTAAAACCACCAACACAAGCCAAGTCCTGCGTCTCATCTCACGCTCGAAAACTGAAAGCTCCGGGTATACATCCGGATCTCGATGGTACCCCATCATAATCGCCACACGGGAGATAAGACCAATCAAGACAGAAGTGCCTGTCTTCAAACCATCGCTCTGTAGGTATTCGACGCCCAGATACATCACGGCAGCTTCCACTTTGTAGCGACCAGGAATGGTATAGTTTGAGTGGGTCAAAGCTATTGCGCATTTTGTCCGGTAAAAGTCAAATATTTGGGGTAATACCGTCTCAGCTGTACCCGGAATTAGGCTATGTTGGATGAAAGTACCACAAGAAAAGATGGCGAACAGCAACGCAAGCCATGCTAGAGAGGCTGTTGAGGGGCGTTCCCAGAATTCCTCGTACTTGATGCGGTTGTCAGAAACTTTCAAGCTGATAAAACAGAGCAGGCAGGCATACCTCGGCTTTGAATGTAGGACCATGAATGTAGACTAAAATACAGATTAGTTCGGAGAAGTTAAGATCTCAAAGGAAAAACCAAATGCTTTCATACTCAATGCTGGTCCACCAGAGTCGAAACAACACGATACTAGTGCGTCAGCATCCTTACGAGGTGGTAATGCTGCAAGAAGGTCATTGATCCCTGTGTCTTTGACAAATCCTAACAGGATTGGTGTAGTAGACCTCGGCTCTACGTCAATAGTGCGCTCTTCAACGGATGAATCGTAATTACTCTTTCCAAGCTCTCTTGTCTGTCGAGATTAGGACCGTTGAATAGGTCGAAATTTACAAAGAATGTCACATACTGCATTGTTCATGATTACTCGCCAATGGCTCGGGTTGATAAAACGAATGGCCGTAGGTTCGGAGGTTAAACTGTGGGAGCTTTGTTGTGTGTCCGAAACGTGCTGGGGTATAAGATTATTTAGATAGGCCACCTGATGGCTGTTATCGGGATTGGTAGAAGAGAAATTATTGTCGGCATGTAGAGCATTCTGCTTCTGAAAAGCAGTTTCCAAGTATAGAAGTCTCCGTTCGACATGTGCCAGGCGATTTGGAAGCGTTTGGGACTTGTCACGAGGTGGACTTTCCGTCATGTACCGACAAGATGCGTCCTGATTTCGTTTCAGGCAGTTTTGACAAGGCGATTTCCGATTGCATTTCAGTCTAAACAACTATTAATCTCTAGCAACATCGACATATATAAACAAAACGTGGGATTGATTTATCCATGTTGTGCTCAACGTACTTTTTATCTCTGCACGGTTTGCAGGAGAACAAGACTCGTGGCTTTTGGTTCCGTCTTTTTCGGTCACCCTGAGGAAGGGCCTGACTCGGTTCCATATTGAAGAAATATCGTCAAGTTGGGATACTAGAATCCCGTTCTGCGGGCGTTGGGTGTTTTCGGGTTTCTGATGATGGAAACCCGGATTACTCGGTTTTCTCGGACCTGAAGAAAGGGGGAGACCCACACTGTCTTCGTGATAGCCAGTGAAGAAGCTAGTTGCATAACTATAGGGAATCTTTCATAAAAGAAAATATGCAAACACTTGCGACAGGGTATGGGTTCGAATGAACTTCACCGAACTATAAAGGTGTTCTTCTCCCCGGACGGCACTATGGTAGTTCATTATTCACGCTATCCCTACCAACACCAGTTCAGATCTCTCAGACACCATGCAGCCAAACCCAAAATTCCGAGTCATAATCGTGGGTGGGTCTGTAGCCGGTCTCACTCTAGCTCATTGCCTACTCAAAAACAACATTGATTTCGTTGTGCTAGAGGCTAGCCCTGAAGTCGCTCCAGAGGTTGGAGCATCACTTGGTCTCCTTGCCAATGGTGGGCGTATCCTTGATCAGCTCGGTGTGTACGATGACGTTCAAGCGGAAGTTGTATCCATCGAGGACGCATATTTTTGGGCTGCTGATGGAAGTCTTATGCTGAAGTCGAACTCTCCTGACGAGCTCAATAAACGGTAAGAGTTTGCAGAGCGTTGCGACCCATTTGGCCGATCATAGACGTGGCTAACACAACTCAGGCACGGCTACCCCATTGCATTCTTGCCCCGCCGAACGCTCTTGAAAATACTGTTGAAACATCTTGGGGATCGGCAAGATGATGTAGTACCTAACAAGAAGGTTATCCGTGTCGACCATTACCCAAGCCATGTCATTGTTCATTGTGCGGATGGATCCTCGTATGAGGGAGATATGGTTGTTGGTGCCGATGGTGTCAGAAGTGTGGTGAGACAATCGATGTGGGATTACATGGAAAGTCAAGGACTCAAGAGTGAAGTCCAGAAAGAGCGCTCTAGTGAGTATTTTCATTTCTGAAAATGGGAATCATGACGCTGATGTCGTTTGCTAGCTATGAGCGCAGAGTACAACTGCGTGTTTGGAATGTCGACGGCAACCCCCGGACTGGATCCAAAGGATATTCACCGAACGTTCGGCAAGGATTGGTCATTCCTCACGATTGCGGGAAAGGGCAACAAGTCTTACTGGTTCCTCTACAACAAAATGGACCGCACCTACTACGGCTCCGACATTCCTCGTTTCAATAAGGCTGATATTGACGAACGCGTTGCTCCATACTTGCATAGGCCAGTCACTGACTCAGTCCCTTTTTCTGAATTGTACAAACGCAGCACCATTCGAACCTTTGTGGCATTAGAGGAAGCAAACTTCAATCATTGGTGCATTGACCGATTTGCTTGTATTGGAGACTCAATTCACAAGGTGCGACCACTATGGAAATCAAGCACATCTTATTCTAATTTTTATTCGACTTAGATGACCCCGAATATTGGGCAGGGTGGTAACAGCGCTATCGAATCATCTGCGACACTAGCAAACCACCTTGCTAGGTTGCTTCAACGTTCCTCTCCTTATCAAACCGAAGATATCAACCGCTGTACGCAAGCCTGGCAAGCCAGTCGCCGAGACCGGGTTGATAAAATATGTCGCGAGGCATTCAACCTCACCAGGCTTGAGGCCATTGCATCCCCGAAGTACAGATTGATGATTTATCTGATTCCATACATGAAGACAAAGATGATCGAGAAAACATCTGCAACTCTTGTTGCATCACCAAAGCTTGAATGTGCTCCCGAGACTGTCAAAGCATTATGGTGCTCGATTCCGTACAAAACCGAGAAGCCTGCATCAGAAGCCACAGAGACCATATGGGAGCGAGTCCTTTGGGGCATGCCTTTCTTGGGTTGCTTCGCTGTCGCAAGCGCTACAATGGGAGCCATACTCACCAAGGTCCGACAATTGATGATTCCATATTTCATTCAAGGAACATGGCGTTCTACCAACGGGGAGGTCCTTGATATAAGGAAAGCTGTCTACCACATCCCGTTCCTGGATAATCTCCTACGACCGATGATTACATGCTTCCTTCCGTCGATTAGTGGATCCGATCTACAATCTCGAGCCCAGATGATTTCTTTCCTCGCCGATTTAGGTGCGGTTTATGGTATTTGGCTATTAGAAAGCTATCGCAAAGCGAACGGCTGGTCGGAAGTGGCAATGTAAGTGACTTCTAGTCCTAACGCTACCATTGTTAAAATGGCTATACTAACAATGCGCTTCGCTTTTGAAGCCCAATTAGTATCTGTTCAGTTTTCCAACTAAAAGGAATCGGTCTATTGGCGCCTATCTATTATCTGCTGGAGTATGTTCGCACACCTCTGTCTAAATTGCTACCCAAGAACATGCGTGAAGTCGAACCGACAGGGTCGATATCCCTTCTAGCTGCCATGTTAATTGGTCACTATTTTCCCACTTTTGCCAGCTTCACGGCCCCTACGCTGGACAGCCGGCGCTGGTGGAATGCAATGTGGCAAATCTTCCCCATCACCGTTCCGTTAATCCAGCTGCCATTTGCCCTACTTGGAAAACGGCTATTGCCCTCAACTAAAGCATCCCCAGAAGAAAAAAGTCAAAACAGCATGACTAGCACTCGGATCGCCTATGGCGGGTTTGCTTTGATCTCTGCGCTTACATTCATCTATGCGAGATGCTCAGCACCTGCAGATGCATCGCTGCTTAGTATCTTTTGGCCTGGTTTTAGCAGCCATCATCTCCCCGTGACATCTTTCCAGGAAGGCATTGCACGGTTCTTGCAGTATGATCAGGTCCTCTCGATGGGTAGTGGGTTTTTCTGGCTTGCATTGAGATTCCGAGAGATCAAGCAATCCGGGGGTTCCGTCTCCTGGTGGAAAGCTATCGGTTCGCTGGTGGCAACGATTTCTTCATTTGGTCCTGGAACTGCGTTTGCTCTTGGCTGGGGCTGGAGAGAGGAGCTCATACACAAATTGGCAATATCCCAGGGAGTATGCTCGGAGTAACTCTTCACCGTTATTGCAGCGTATATGTATCATGTTTCTCTACCCCTGTGCATTAGCCGAGAAACCAGAAACTATCCACTTTCCGCCGACCCCGTTTATGGCATACTACCTTTCTGACCACTTCTCGTCTATGTGACACTAATCAGATTATAATTCTCTGTCAAACATAACATGATACATACGACCATAGGGTGTGGAAAACAGGGCTTCCCGTCCGCTCAGCCGTACTTAAGCCACACGCCGGTGAGTTAGTAGTTGGGTGGGTGACCACCAGCGAATCCTCACTGTTGTATGTTTTTGTTTCTTTTTGATTGCATGAAAAAGTAGTGATAGAAAGGATAAGTAAGGATGATCAAGAGGTATTTACATATGGAAAAGTCAATATACATAGTTCAAGATCCATGCGGATGCTCGGCGCTTTGATCGGAGGGAGAGAAACAGCGCCAAAGTAGGGTTTGATAAAATGGAGAAGGCGGCGATGGAATTTCTCTTCAAGGAAAATACCTCCAAACTAAAGTGTCCTTAAGCCATACCGAAGCTATTTTCAAGACACAAGGGTAGGGTGTAGATGACCACCTTGCTGAGGCGGGTAAAAATGAATCTTGGAATTTGTCTTATGTAGATAAAAAGTCTTCATTAGCATGTGATTACTATATATGGAACCCCGAAGTCCTTGGAAGTTCACTCTTTTATGCGACACCCATTGATACAATATTGGACCATGATCCGCAGTCGTAGCTTGGGCGCGATCTTCCTAGCATGCATCACCCACGGATGCTGCTCATTAGGCGAATAGTCAGACATACTGATGCATTTCTGCTCTGACAGGTGAGGTAGCCAAGCCGAGCCCGGGTTCGTCCCAAGTTCAGCTTCCCTTTTCCATACTTCCACGGCCATTAGAAATCGAGAACTTCAAAGTACTTCGAAGAGCCTTTGCACTAACGGTTTCTCTTGTAATGCGTGGTCTCTGTATAATGCTTCAAATTCCCTTATCTGAGCCTTATTGTTAATATCAACCATCTGAACAGGCGCAACGCCTAACAAACCGAACAAGCCAGACTGCAGAGCCGCTTCCTCAGCTATATGTAGAGAAACGCCTGCCATAGCTATGTCTAGCCAGCTGTTTTGATCTTTCGTCCAAGGTAGGATCTCGACCATATCACGCACGTCATGATCTTCACGCATGTCATGATCTTCACGCATGTCATGATCTTCACGCATATCATGATCTTCACGCACGTTGTCAACTTGTCTGTAATGATACAGAATCACCGGGATGTAGGATGGATTGAAATGAAATTCTCTCGGGCTCTCGGGCGGATAAGCATCATCCAACACCGCCTTCATGCTAAAACCGTGAATAAGTTCCGCCACGACAGAAGGCCGCATGCCGAGATCCTTTGCCTGCTTCAGGAACTCGTTGGCAGAACTCAGGATGTTGTTATCACCTCCCTGGACAGCATAGAACACTCGTGACCAGTTATAATGCAGCACATCCTGACGCGGCTGCACCCATAGTGACTTCATACAATATTCATCAACAGACTCCAATCACCGTCCATGTTCCAGCGCGACCTGCCGAGACTCGCTGTTGACGAATGCGGTAGTCGGTGGCTGAACATTTTTCTTTGTTGTGCGCTCGGAGAAGCAGGCCTGAGTCTCGTAGCCGTCAAAAAAGCAGTCAGGGAAGTCTTTTTCAACTATTCGATACGGTAGGCAGTGCACCCATATGAGACGGCGCAGTTCCAGAGGCAGCTGCAAAAAGTGGTGAAATGGGTCGTTGTTCATGTTGCTGGTTTCTTAGTCGCTGTCATATGTGTCTCAAGAAGTAAGATAGATAAAGAGAAATGGTGAATGTACTATGGCGAAGCCACGGGGGAAAATTTATCTGATAGGTGAGTGTAGAAGAGAGAAGGGTATCTAGCAAAGAAACAGGTCTGGACAGGAAGAGGCAGGCCTCAGGAACTCAGGCAGTCACATCTAATCGGGTAGTTGATATATTCGTCGTTGACCCTACATATAGTCTCCCCACAAATGATCTTTCTCAATTAAACCCTCAAGTTTCTCAAATATGTTGCCAGTAAGACGCCGCCTGGTCGCTAGGTACTACATAAGTGTATGCCGAGCATCGCAGGAATGGCATGTCTCCAGGCCATTGATTCGTTTAATGCCATCGAATTCGTATTTTTGATTTGGCAGCATTTGAAGGTAGGGTCGCTTGGTTGTCCTATCATTGGTCTCATCTCTGATATCTTCTTTAGGGGTGTTCTAACCATCTTTCTCATGTCTTTTTTTTATTCTGCCATCAGCCATCGACGAAAACGAGGACTTGATCTCCACGACTCGACCTAAGATCTCGTTAGTGCGACAAACGAGTTCGAGAGCACACTCCGATATGTCAAATTATACCTTTGCTACAGCGAATATACGTGACGAATTTGAAATGACTTAAATTTGCTGCTGCCATGTCTCGTGTGTCGAACAATTAGCCATCTCGCTCACCACAATGGCCATTTTCGTATCCTCTTTCAGTAAATAATTTCGAAAATGCAGATGGGAACCCAGAAAAGTGCAGATTGTTTCCCTGACGTCGAAGATCTTGAGGATTAGCAAGGATTAGCAAGGAGAGATGGCGACAGTTTCGCAAACTGAATTTATCGACTTCAACCCCGGTAGGGGCAGTGGAATCGTGGCCCTGGAGATATTAGCAGACAACTATGGCTGTACATCCCGTCCCTATTGTACGCAGCCAATACCTATCCCCGGAAAGAGCATTGTTCAAGCAAAGAGAACTACATTTTAGTTTCAAAGAATTGCAGATCAAGTTGACTTGTACTTACGTTTCAGTTTTCTACAAACCAGAAGCCAGTGCAACTTTCCGACAAGTCCTACCTCCAGTAGAATAGAGAAATATTAGCTTGCACTCTCCTTGCTGGGACGAAACCAAGTACTCGCTGCTTTGTGCTCACTGGTTGCGGTATTCGGCCAAGAACACAATATCGTAGACTTATATTTTACAAGGTATGTCTATCACCTCTATCCAGACTTTCGTCGGGAGCAAATGGAAGGTACCATCTAGCCTTAAAATCAAGGCCATAAGGGAAAAGATGCATAAATACACGTGATCTGCACATGGACAAAAAGGGCCTACGGAGCCCGACGGTGTAGAATCATCATTCATCATCAGTGCATCTCTGCTGGCTACCGCGGCAAATTATTATTCTCACTCTTACTTCGCATCTGAGACTACACTGCTATTGGATTGAGTGGGATGCAATGCTGCCCTCGGAATGAACTGGAAAACAAAACATCCAATCACCACTTGTCAACGATGCATCGGTACACGCAGAGAGCACAGACAAGATAATGAGGTTGATCACTCTATGGCTACCCCATTACTCGGCCTTGGGATAGATGAAAGTTAGAATGGAACCAACCCTATCTAGGAAATAGATCGTCATTCTAGTGGGTATCCCAGTGGGGCCCCTCTACGTCAATCTAATCTTGATTGATGAGGGATATCTGAATGAGAACAGGTTGCATGTTCCGACCAGATCTGGTGATTGGCCAAGGACAAACCGCCTTGGCATCGGCTGATTACCGGGAAACTATGTTCCAGAGAGAAAAGAGGGTCCGTGAGACATATAATTCACTCAATTGATCCTCCGGCTCTTTCCGCACGACTTAAAGCAGAGGCTCAAGTGGGCCGCGATGACCACTGCTTTAATGTTGATTTTGTATCTTCAGTCTGCGGGATTAATTGAACAAAATACTGGTGTTTTCATCTCCTCGGCATCCAGGCAACAGCCTGGAGGGGTACATACTTAGTGCAAGAACATGCATCACGCCCAGGCCCAGACTCAGCGCGCCTGAAACTATATTGCACCGACATCATTGATCGACGAAACTTCACTCTTTTGGGGGTCGGTTCGTTAATATCAACCCCGCATCACGCCATTAACCCGGGGCTATGTGCAAGCTATATCCGCAATACCCTGCTGCAAATCCTATAAGAAGGGCGTCAGCGCATTGTAAATAGGCTATTCACTCGATTCTAACCTCTTAGGCCAGAAATCACCTACAACTCTCCACAGGCACACGCAGTATTCCAAATCTCCTAGACCATTTAACAACACCCCTTCTTCCCCAATCAACCTCGATTCCCCACAATGTTGGCCCCAATTCCAATCCAGGCCAAGGCCTCAAGCTCGTCTAGAGAACTATACCTTAGTCAAGCCCGCGCCAGCGGCAGCACTGAAGATTGCATGGCTCTATACGAGAAATGGGCAGCCTCATACGACGATGAAGTTGGAGACAGTGCCCAAAACTACGTTGCTCCCGTGCTTGTCGCTCAAGCCGCCATCGAGTACGGCCTCTCAAACGGCGCCACAAACAGCGTGATACTAGATGCCGGTTGTGGGACCGGGCTGGTGGGAGTGGCTCTTTCAATGGCCAAGGCCAAAGCAATCGATGGCATCGATCTATCTCCCGCTATGCTCTCTGTCGCAAGGAAAACCGGCATTTATCGAGATCTCACAGTGGCAGACATGAACCGGCCGATTGACAAGACGGATGGAACATACGATCTCGTGTCCTGTGTGGGAACTTTCACTCTTGGACATGTCGGGCCAGACCCCGCTTTGCGAGAACTTGTGCGAGTTACAAAAAACAATGGTGTTTTTGTCTCGACGATTCTGCAAGAGATCTGGGTGTCTGGAGGGTTCCAAGCCGAGGTCGAGAAGTTGGTGGCGGAGGGCGTGGTGAAGGTTGTCACGGAGGAACTCATAGACTATGTAAAGGGACATGGCGACAAGGCAGTGTTGCTCATTCTAGAGAAGATCGATCGCGACTGAGCGAGAGAGCATTCCAATCACGACACAAAGCCCGAGCGACTCACAAGCCCTTGCAACTCAAATTGATTGGTCTTCAACTCCTCCAATGCGACATACAATGATGGGACCTCAACACCCCAGCCCCAATGCAACAATGCGATAGGCTCCAGATATCCTCGACTTTAGCTACATGGAAGCAGCTTTTCACTCTTAGAACGTATTTGAATTAATAAATCCTAATATACTAAATGAGACAACATCGTGAGATTCGGGGGGATCCTCGCTAGAATACGTTTCTACTCCACTTGATGGATCTGCTTTCCTCCATACATGCGATTTCATAGATCTGCCGTTGAAGTGGCAGGTGTGTAGTTCGGTTTGAGCCTTTCTCAATGATGTACAACATACGGAACCTGCATGAGTAACAAGGGATGCGGGGTAAACATTGGAAAGGCCAAGACGGAGCAGAGATCTCCGCGGCATATGATTTGCCGTCAACACTACTGTACAAGGATTAACGTATTTGTGAAAGCCGGGGACCAGGGATCCTTGGCGTGTCGCACATTCATCGAACTTAGGTTATACATTTACGCGGTGCTTTGAGGCCGAAAGCAACATGAGAAGAATCCCGTCGAAATATATGTATGAGAATCAACAGCCAAAACACAATTCTCATGGTCTAATCATTCATACACACATGAAAGACCGAATAAAATCCCAATAACACCACGCTGTGCAATGAGAATGAGGGATAAAGACCACCGAACCCAAATTCAAAAAGATGGTATCAAGCAATGTTCATGAGAGATTTGAGCGCGCGAAGGGAGAGAGGCTTGATGAGGTAGTTATCGATACCAGCCGTAGTAGCCTGGTGCTGAAAGCCAGCGGAGGAAACTCCAGTTACAGCCATGATGCAAGAGGGTCTCATGTTGTATTCGCGTTCGAATTCGCGAATTTTGCTTGTTGAGACGAGGCCGTCCATCACCGGCATTGATATGTCCATCAGGACGAAGTCGTAGTGAAAATTTGAGGCTTTGTATTTCTCCAGTGCGACGAGGCCGTTGTGGGCTGTGTCGTAACTGCAGTTTATTTTATGCATGAAGGTGGCCATGATCTAGCATTGAGTAAGTGGTGCTCACACATGGGAAACAGCGTGGGACAGTACCTTGACATTAATTTCATTGTCATCCACAATGAGCACATGGGCCAATGCTTGCTTGCTGGATGGTCGGGGTGTGGAGCTGTTTGATCCTCCTGGTGAGATTGCTCTTTCATTCGAATACTCAGATGTCCTTCTATCATAGAGATCTGAGCCTGAGTCTGAACTGCTTTCTGTTGGTGTCTGCGGAGGCATGAGCGGGAAATCAGCGCCGGGCACAGGGGACTCGGGTTGTATTTGGATTTCGCGCCACTTCATGATCTTTTCAACGGCTTTGTAAATTTTCTGGGGTCCGAATCTGCAAAGGAGATTAGCGTTCGTACTGAAAATGTTCATAAAGTGTAGCCTACGGTTGGGCAACGCGAATGATGTTGACAGAGAGGCTGTCCAGTATAATCGGGACATTGCCGCTCAGCACGATGAAGAAGTCAAAGCCATTCTGAGCCGCCATTTCGGAAACAAGTTGATCATTTTCGTCCATAGTTCGCCTGAGGAGTTCTTCCTCTATGACAATGACCTGGCCTCGAGCCTTCTCGATGGAGGCAGCCAGAGAGATATTCCACTTCATCTTCGTCATGAAGATGTTTGCGAGTGCACTCTGAATGGAAAGATTTCGTTTGCCTTCGACAGTAAGAATCCCAGTGGGTGCCTCTGTGAGGTCAGGATAGCCATTGAAGCCTACCAGACATGCATGCATTGGGGTGGTTCCTGGCTGAGTAGTGGTCGGGGCCTGGCTATCCTCTGGACCAACACTAGCCGGTAAATATTGAACCGGAATATAGACATCAGCCTGAGTCCCTATGCCTATCTCGCTCCTCACATTAACATGCCCACCCAGCGACATCACTAATTGCTGTACCGTGCTCAGGCCCAGTCCGACGCCTTCAGACAGCGGGTCTTCTTGAGCAAATGGGGCGAACAGCTTGTGTTTGATGAAATCGGGCGCGATGCCACGGCCGGTATCAGTAATGGAGAGGTGAACCAGGGGCGACTGGGAGTTCGATCGGTCTCTGGCCTTTGATAACGCTATTTCGATGAAGCCGGCTGTAGTCCACTTCATCGCATTGCCGAGAAGGTTCATCACGATTCTTCTCCAGGCACCTGTCAGAGACCGAATCGTCCAAGTGTCTGTTTGATCGATTCGTATGACAACGGACATTTGATTTTGTGTCCTGAAATCCTTGGTGATTGAATCGCCTGCTTCGTTGCTGGACGACATCCTTTTAGCGAGCTGGCTCACCTGCTCAGGTGCTCGCTGGCCGGTGTACAATATGTCTGCAACCTCTTCGACCAAATGACTGATGTCAAAATTGGAAACAAGATTGGCTGTATCATTTTCCGAGATCATTTCATTCAGCTTGTCCGTATGTCTCAAGTTGTTGACCTTGCAGAATTCCAACCTACAACGTATTAGCACAATTTTAGCTCCAGGAAGGTCTATTTGGACGGGCTCACATGTGATTCGTTGTATCCAGCAAAGTCAATCCGGACTTTTCAATCATCGTCACCATTTCCTCTTGTGATGGGCCAAGAGAGCTGGCATGTAATAATTCAGCGCTCGCCAGTATTCCGTGCAATGGTGAGCGAAGCTCGTGGCTGACGGAGGATATGAAATCGAATTTTGATCTCTCGGTAGTTGCCCAATGAATTCGAGAGACTTCAGAAATTAAAGAATCACCAAAAACCTTGAAATAATGTAACTCCTCTAGCCCGAGCGCCCGGAAACTGCTTGTCGTCCATACCAACACCCCAGAAAGCCAACGAGACTTATTCCAATCCCATAAAGGAAGGAACAAGGCGGATTTAGCACCAGGAAGACACCGCGCAAGATGTTTTGCACAAGTTTGGGTGTTGGGATCAGGCCTAGAGTCAAAGGCGCCGGTCGTATGATTTGAGAGGCCATCATCCTCGTCAACGAACCCATCTAGACTCAGAATCTGACCTTGAGGGAAAGACTTGAGCATGTGATGAAGCAATCCCTGCGGTATACTGGGAGATTGATTATTTGGCCCAGCGTTGTCTTTAGCTGACAACTTTAGCGCACAACTTAAAGTATCGCATGGAAGGTCATATTCATGCGACACTGCACGAGCTAACCCGAGAGTAATAGGCAGTGGAGCAGCCGGGAACCCAGGTTCTGTAGCTGCCAATGGCTCCCAAATCTCCGGTTCTTCTGGTACACTGACAGAAGAAATGTTATTAAATACAACTGGATAGCAAGACTGACATACTCACAAGGCAAAATCAGTTGGACAGGCATCGAGAAAGGCAACTCCGTCCAGATCCATGGAATCCCGAAGCAACGCACTTGCACGCGAGTAGATAGATGCAATGCGTTCGTATATGGGCGTGCTCTCGGTTAATGATAACTGCGACAAGCCCTGGTCAATACCCTGAGCCGCATCGGTGTCTCCTGACTTCAACACTTCGCCCATCGACTTTTCTTCGCCGGGGCTCATCACCACTGGTCGATCTGAGAAACCCGAGTCGAGAGACGAAGGTTCGGTCGTGGAGCATCGGTCCTGTAAAAAGAACACAGATTCTTCCCCCGCGACGGTCGAAGAGGATGATTGTCCGGATTTGGGAGAAACACATTGAACAACGTGACCCAATGGGACATCAAGAACCGGGGTGGTGTCGGAATCGTCGGGGTCTGCAGTAGTGGCAGCAATTTCATGTGGTAAGAGATTTGCTGCACTGACACTAGACTGAAGACGGCCATGATTAGAGGCCTCTTTAGGATCGAAGTCTGCATGGTCTTTAACAAAATCCGTCAAGCCCTTGACCAATTTTTCTGTCCGAATATGGGCCTGGCTCATTCGCACGTTCTCCAGATGCAGTCCGATCGCATCCGCCACCTCTTGGAGGTCATTGACCTCATCGTCTCCGAAATCCGTCCATGGTTTGTCGTCGACGATGCAATAAGATCCCAAAACATATCCAGATGCGCTGAATAGAGGTACCTCTGCGTAGAAGCGCATGTGCGGCCACTCTCGAACATAAGGCCGATCCTTGAAACAATCCTCCAGCGTGAAATCCCGGATAATATAGCGCGTTCGATTGGCGGTTATATTGCTAGTATCAATGTCGTTGGTCGCGCGGCCTGTGAACAAGCTGACGGTGTGGGGACATACGCCCCAGATTAAATCCAGCGACCGTGCTCCGAGATAGATACCATCTCCCGACTTGTGTCGGTTTTTATCTCGTAGCGACACTGATTTTGTCGTCTCGGCAATGATATGCTGGGTTTCGCCGTCAATTATGGAAACAAAGCAGCGATTGGCATTAAAGCGGAGGACGCCGAGCTGGGCAAGTGCGTTGAGTGCAATGTCCTTGGCTAGCTCACAACCTGTTGGCTGTTCATCTCCTGTCGGTGCTACGGGCGTTTCTTCATCTTCAGAAGTCGTTGTGTCAGGTGCTGGAAATGCTCCAGTTACTGTGCAGTAATATCTGTCATAGCAATGATCAGTGCTGATCAGTGGAACAAGAATACTGTCCAAACGCCACAAACCTCGACAAATCCCGGATCCGCTCACGCTCCTGTTCTTCTTCCGGGGTCGGATGGAAGGCGCTTACGCCTGCAGAAGTCATAGTAGTCACTGGCTCATAGCTGACTATTAATCACTACGTAGCAACTCTTGAAAAGGAAGGGTTGCTAACTCCGAGACTCAAATTCCCCATGGGCAGGTGGGTTGCACGTGAAGTGCTAAAACCTCTCAAACCCGTTGTGCATGAGAACTCCCCACTATTTTGGTTGTTGACAGTGTTCATTGGCAGTTCAGGAAATAATTGGGGCCATAAATGCCGAGGAAAAGATAGCGAGGCCTAGACACTTCTCAGGCGAATACGAGGCGATTGGTTGGAGCGGGAAGCCGACCGTTGGCTCCCGGGTGACATCGACGGATCATGACTTTGGTCCAATTTTAATTTACCGCTTTTCTCTCCGCCTTCTTTATTCAATACATTCACAAATATTTACACCGCAGACATAAAGGGTGGGAAGGACACGCTGCCATTGAGATCGTTAAACGAGGGTATGGTATTGGAGCCAGCCAAGGATGTCTGCTGCTCCTCGAGCAACGACCCGATCAGGTCCCAGCCCATCGGGTCATCATCATTGGTAACTGCGGACGCGTCCTGTGCCCCAATGCTCTGCAGGCTGTCGACGAGTGACTTGACAATGCCATTTGCAGAGAGTGCGCTCGGATGGGTGGGGGAGAAGAGTTCGAAGACTCTCTGGGCTTGCATGAGGGAGTCGAGCGCCCGTGGCACCACGGAGGCGAGCGAGTTGGCGGAGACGTAGGCTACAATTGTCAACGTCGCATTCCAGAGCGGCTGTATGACCTCTGACCAGCCGTAAAAAACGTCAGACATGGAGCAGATGGTGAAGACTGTACCGATGATAATGGTTGCATGCTGGAGAGCACTAGCAATGTGCATCTCCACGTATGGCTGCTGGGCGTCAGCTGGTGTGATAATGCTGCTAGTGTCCCTAGAGTGGGCGTAGCGGAGATGGATGAAGGGACGCTGGATCAGCGTGTATGCGCTGTGATAGTGAAGCCTCAAAGCACCGCTTGCCGCTGTAGCCAGTTGGGCAGAGTCAAGGCGCGATCAAAGTCGAGCATCTCACTGTTGCCAGAGCCATTCCCACACTGGCTCAGGAAGAGTTCTGGAGGTAGCCGATCGCGCCAGACCTCGAGGCTTTGGAGAGCGGAGGAGAGATTAAGGGAATGATGTTCGAGAGTGGCCGGGCTATTGCTGCCGTCGTCGAGGTCCGCCGTCGAGACGCGTGTGCCAATGTCAGTCACAACGACGGCGAGGTTAACCAGATGGGTCGAGTAAGCGTAAGCGTTCATGCCGTCCTCGCGTGGGGATGAAACGTAGCGGGCGAGAGCATCCTCGGTAGGAAAGGGGCATTTGACGAGACTCTTTTGGCTGGCGGAGGGCATGTCGAGCTGCAGCGAGCACTCGAGATCTAGGGAGAAGATCATCCACCACAGCTGTATTCGAGCAGTTTTTCCGGCCTCGGGAAGATGACTCAATTGCGGTCGATGGAGTTTGGCGATATAGGCCTTGCGGACAGTAATGCCGAGCAGGTTGTATGCGTCGCGGAACGCATTGCCCTTCACAAGGTAGAGAACCATGAGAATGTGACATCGTAGGGCCTCCAAGCTCCCCTCTGTGTTGATCCTCATGCACTCACGACAGCGATGGAAGTATTCAAAGCCGGGCCAGCTGGCTTCTGATGATAGGGTTGTGTCGTAGTACTGCTGGGAGGGTCGCTGCTGGAGGCCCAATACCCGCTCGGCAAGCCCAGTGGCATTACTATGCTGTATGCCCAAAGCGATTATGGAATCGACCAGAGCGCTGCTTGCCGAATACTTATCATACACGGTCGGTGGGGGCAGGGCGTCGAGCTCGGCGAATCCTGTCTTGCTCATGATCGGCAGAAGCGGGTGGCGAGCTTCCCAGAAGAGACGAAGATAGTAGCTCCGCTGGCTTTTGTGAAGCACGTTCAACGCTAGAAGGCGTTCCCCCGAGGGAACGGTGGGATGCGGGAGCTGGGGGAACAGGTACCCTCCAAGGGCAGAGTTATGTGAGGAGGCTGCGCCATTCGCGCTGGCAAAGAAGCCTTGGACATGAGCAAGATTGAAGCTTTCTTTGTCAACAGTATCTTGAGGGGTTCTTGTCCCCTTGTCCATGTTCATACGAGAGGGAGGGACAGTTGGGTTGATCGGACTAGTGTTGGCGGCGGAGCTACTGATGCTGTCCCCGTCATCGCGACATACAGCGTCAGCAGGCGAGGGTGATGGCAACCTTAGAGGGAGTACTGTCAATGACTCGGATCCCGCGCGGTCAGGGCCGCTGTTGTCGGCCCGAGAAGAGCGTAGAGGGGCGTACGACACGACGCACTCTGCCTTGATGCCGACGCACTGTGTGCAGGGCTTCTGTTCATCGCACTTGATGCGGAGCAGGCGGCAGCGGTCACATGCTTTGGTGGCCTTTTGTCGCTTGGCCAAGGGATGAAGTGTGTATTCGGGATTGGAATTGCAGTCTGCGTCGCTAATATTGTTGTTTTTCTTGCTGCGGGCCCGAGCCGATCCGGGGCCTTTGCTTTGGCTGTCTACCTTGGCAGGCGCGACAGAGAATCTGTGAAACATGGGGGCTCTATTGCAGTCTACATGGGGGAAATCGGGAAGTATTATACGTCGAGAATTTCGGTGCCCTGCAGGGGATGTGGGATGAATTAATTTATAATGCCATGTCAGCTTAAGATAAGCCTCGCGCTGGACCCCCCCGGGGCCGCCACAAACCTTAGAACCCACCTGGGCCACGGATCTGACTAAGATCAGCCCCGCTCTTCGGGGTATCCTAAGGCCTACGGGTATTTACAAAGCTCTAAAGGTCATCATCAGAATAACTACAACTCTACTTTTTCCAAGGCTCTATGTAACTGAATGACAGATCAGAACTTCATCAATTCAGATAAGACGCTAACAGATCTGTCTTGAAGTTCGGAAACGACACTAAAATGAGACCCTCGTGATTATATAGTTCACTTCCTATTTACCTAGGTATTCTTTCATAGATATTGAAAGACACAATTTCCACCTCTCCATAAATCATTCGTTTCTCTGACAATCAAGCATTCGCTCCAAACACCTGCAGTCTCTGCTCCAAGGGAAGCTTCTGCAGTTTCTCCTCCGGCTCACTGCCATCCTTGGGAACTCCAAACACCATCTGTGCCTTCAGTTTCCAGTCCGATGGGATGCTCCACGTCCTTTGCACCTCGATATCAATGAGTGGATTGTAGTGCTGCAGGTTGACTCCCAGTCCGAGTGCCTCAAGGGCCGTCCACAGGTAGTACTGGTGCATGCCATTGCTCTGCTGCACCCACTCATCTGTCTTATCTTTGTAGATTTCCAGGGCATTCTCCTTCATCGCGGCCGCGCAAAACTGGTCATCCCAGAACAGGATGGTCCCGTAGGTGTCTGCAAAGCTGGCGATGCGGTCCTTGGTGCCCCCATTCCAGCGCTCTTCGCCAATCCTCACCAGCAGCGCATCGGCGGTGATTGACCATAGCTTCTTGTGGTCGTCTCCAAAGACAACCATCAAACGAACCGACTGGTTGTTAAAGGCCGAGGGTACGGTTAAGACCGCGGCCTCGGCTAGCTTGACAATGGTGATTTCTGGGACTGTTGTCTTTGAATCAAGGGTTCGGATGGTGCGGCGCCTTTGGGTTGCTTCGGTGAAGCTCATCGTGACGACTGGAGATGCCATTGGAAAAGTTGAGAGACGGGATAATGTTGATGCTTTGGTAAAGGCTCGGAAACTTGAATGAAAGACGACAGAGGCCATGACGAGCAGCTAGTTTTGTAGTCATGGCCCGGGATACGGAGATGAATAAATTTCAAGGATTGACACCTTGTGAATTCGTCAGCGGAATTAAGATTGGTAATGGGAGGTTGATTTGTCCCTGTATAGAGTGTCCCGGAACCGCCAAAATTACCGCATTCGGACATTGGCCCCACATTGGCCCCGGAAGGAAAGGTAGAATTGCCTAATACAGTAATATGTTTCCCCGGAAGGCTTATAGTATAGAATATCCATACATGGAGGTTGGAATCATTGATTGGAAATTCCGATTGGAAACTTTGTATATATACTAGATTTTGAGTACTCCCCAGCGAGCCGCTTTATAGTCCTTGTCGAGAGTCTTGTCACTCTCTTTCGCCAGAGCAATGGATTTTGTCAAGCGAAACTTCCCAATGCCCACCTCAACGACTGTAGTAAGGTCCAGTGAAGAGCTCTTCTTTGATAAGGATGGCCACCTCGAGTTTGCGCCAAACGACCCTGAGAACCCAAAGAACTACTCGTTTGGACGAAAGTACTCACCACCATCGCAATCTCCTTGGTAATGAACGCCACTTTCTCCTCCTCTGCACCATCCGGATCTTTCAAGGGCGTTAGCGATGACCTCCACGTCTCTGCCGAGGCCGCTGGACTCGTCACCCCCCTCTTCCTCCTAGGCTACTGCGCCGGTCCGCTCTTCTGGGCGCCTTTGTCCGAGTTCTACGGCCGTCGCTGGATTTTCTACGTTTCCTTCACCATATACCTTGCCATTGGATTCCTGTGCACTTTTACACCCAATTTTGCCGGGCTCTTGGTCGGCAGGTTTCTGACTGGCACGGCTGTCAGTGCCGCCCTGACGAATGCACCTGGGATCCTCGCAGATATATGGGGACCCGTCGAGCGTGGCAATGCTATGATCTTGTTTGCCACAATGAAATTCGCAGGACCCGCGCTTGGGCCAGTAGTTAGTGGGTTTGTCCAACTAAAGAAGACATGGCGTTGGACCTTCTATATCCTACTCTGGATGGCAGGTGCCATCGAGCTTCTGCTCGTCACCCTCCCAGAGACGCTTCCCATGATGGTCTTGCGCAACAAGGCTTGTCGCCTACGCAAAATACCCGGAAACGAGACCGTCAAGGCTCCAATCGAGACATCGGATCGTTCGCTAGGAGGCATTTTCACAGTGGCCCTGACGAGGCCTTGGAGACTTTTGATCGACCCAATCAACTTTTTCGTCTCAATTTACTACGCCGTTGTGTATACTCTGCTCTACATGCTGTTCAGAATCTACCCCATTGTCTTCCAGCAGAGGCGTGGTTGGAACGCCGGCGTCGGCGAGCTACCACTGATCGGCACAGTCATCGGCGCTTGTCTCGGCGGCCTGGGGCTGTTCGTCAATAGCCAAGTAAAGCAGAAAAAGTTCACCGGAGCCCGCAAATCAGTGCCAGAAGATCGTCTTCCCGGCGCCATGGTTGGCGGGGTTATGTTTGCCGTGACGATATTTTGGTTCGCTTGGACGGCAGAGTACAACTCAGTTCACTGGGCTGTGCCGACTGTGGCAGAAACCTTCCTCGCAACGTCAATCCTCCTCATCTTTGTCGTCTTCATTAACTATATCATCGACTCATACCTTATGTATGTCGCATCGGCCGTCGCAGCAAATACTGTCCTACGGTCCGCCTGTGCCGCAGCATCCCCACTGTTCACGCAGTATATGTTCGACGTGCTCGGTGTGGGTGGGGCAGGGTCACTTATCGGAGGAATTGGCGTGCTGCTGATTCCTATACCCTTCGTCTTTTATCGCTACGGCGCGGTTATCCGGGCGCGATCCAAGTTTACCCCGACAGATGAGGTGCCATTCCCGCCTGTGGACGAGGAGAAGGCCATAAATGGCAGGTCGGCAAGCCAGACTTCCGGAAATGAGGGCGAACCAGTTGATAATATTACTGGGGGCACGAAGCAGTGAATTGTCCTTGACATGAGCCGCGGCGGCGTGTCTGTATTTGCCGTCCAAGCATCGAAATCTAATGCACATATGTATGAGAATAGCAATTCCAAACTCACCTAGGTACCGGGAGCGGGGCTTCGCGAAATCCTGGCAATAGCGAGTGATATGTGCTACTCATAACCACGAAGCGTTGTAGGTAGCTATCCAGAGTTACATAAATCACACCCGAAAAAAAAATCCACAAAACATTTCAAGTTGAAATTCAAGGAAAAAAAAAAAGAGATTTGAAGTTTGATGAAATAAGAGGATATCAAAAAAGACCTATTGTTAGAGAAGTACTCCGTATAGTTCATCAAGTTGAGCATTCGCCTCGCTCTCGTTCCCGTCTTCGCTCTCGTGTTCTGGTCTCGCGCCCTTTCACCCTTTTCCCTCTCGCTATCTCGCTCTCGTTCTCGCTCTCGACCCCAGACTCGGCCATCAGTTCCTGCAGCTACTAAAAGCCCGAGACGTCAATAAACTTCTCCACCATGCAAAGCTATGACATTATGTTCCCCCTTTGAGTATGATCAACCTAGGCACAGTTCTCTAGCTAACCCGGCTAGATCCACAGTGGTCCCTGCAGATGGTATCTAGTGGAGCCTGCGTCTTTTTCTCAAGCCCGTCGGAGTTATTGTTGACATCCATCCGAATCTTATATCAACCCTTTATTGCTCGATCTGGAACCCCTACCGCTGATCTCAGTATTACTCCTGAGATGTCAACCATATCAGCTAGGAAACCTACAAAACAAGGAAAAGAATGACTAGTTTCTACTAGGCCAGGCAATTCTAATTCCCGAGATCAAAACAAGGATTCATGTATCGGATCCCCAAATTGCCGAGAGGGCGGCTATAAAGGACATGTCCCTCTGCTCGGAATAGTTGATTGATTATCCTTCATTCAGAGCCAAACTTCCAACCCAAGAGATAATCAAAGCTCTACTACTCCACATAATGAAGTTCACCAATCTTGCCATCACCGGTGCTGCCATCGGTCTTGCCAGTGCCGGCCCTGTCTCGAAGCGTGCTATCAGTGACGGTATGTAACTTCCAAACCAATGGATTTCCTCCTCTTCTAACGTTTTTTGTTAGCCGACATTCTCAACTATGCTCTTACCCTTGAGCATCTCGAGGCCACTTTCTACGCGGAGGGTCTCAAGAACTACACCCAGGAAGACTTTGTCAACGCCGGCATGAAGGACCCTTTCTATGCCAACCTGAAAGAAGTTGCTTCTGATGAGAATGAGCACGTGGACTTCTTGACTTCCGCGCTCAAGGGTATGTCCCTATCAATCAAACTCGGAAATAATGAACACTATTTTAACACTCTCTAGCTGCCGGTGCCTCCCCCGTTGCCGCCTGCTCCTACAACTTCCCATCCACCGATGTCAGCGGCTTCCTAGCCCTTGCCAGTGTTCTCGAGGGTAAGAAGACATCCGATTGCAGCAACAACCACCACTAATAACCTTTCTAGGTGTCGGAGTCAGCGCCTACCTTGGAGCCGCAGCCTCCATCATGAGTGACACCTACCTGACAGCCGCTGGCAGCATTCTCACCACAGAAGCCCGCCACAGCGCATACTTGCGCGCTGCTCTTGGTGAAGTCCCCTTCGCTCAAGCCTTTGACAACCCCCTCGATTTTAACGAGGTGTACACCGTCGCCTCCCCCTTCATTACCTCATGTCCCTCCAGCAACGGCGCGCTGCCAGTTAAGGCCTTCCCCTCGCTCATGATGAGCTCGATGGACGCTGTCATGACAGGCTCACAAGTGCAGCTCATGGCTGGCAGCGGCTTCAACACAAGCGCCAGCGACGTCAACGCCGCCTTCATTACCGTCACCGGTCCGGTCTGGGCTCCTCTCAAGTCCATGGGTGATGGAAATTTCACCGTCACTGTTCCCAAGGGCGTTGCCGGACAGAGCTACGTCGTCCTGACCCAGGGCAACAAGCAGGCGACCGATGACAATATCCTTGCTGGTCCTGCTATCGTCGAGGTAAATTAGTTTACCTTTTGCATTTGCATTTTGGTTGGGTGTTTTCTCGCCCCTTTTTTTCGCAGGGCTGATGTTGCTTGTATTCATAGATTGGAAAGAAAACTGGTATGGGTACCCCGAGTGGTATGGCCGCTATGGGCATGGGTGGCAAGAAGAACATGACTATGCCTACTCCTTCTAAGTCGGGATCCTGGAGTAGCTCTTCTGCTACCGCGTCTGCTTCTGCTTCTCCTGTTTTTACTGGCGCCGCTCAGAAAATGTCTGGTACTATTGCTGGCGTTGTTATTGCCGCTGGTATTTTTGCTGCTGTAGCTCTGATTTGAGTGGGGTTGGCCTGTTGGATTTCTAGTCGAATTTACCGAGTGGGTATGTTAATATTCATTATATATTTCCCTTTAATGATAATACTATCTTGGCAATGACGTCTGATCTGAAAATATATTTTAAACAAATCCACCCTTGCACATAATGAGATTGCAATTTTGGCCAATAGTACTGAGAATGCCATACACACACATCATATAAGGCAACTGGACGCATACCTAGAATACTTCCAAAATTGTTCTAGACCCGAGTCACATGATACGGAGAGATATGTCAATATCTCGGAGAATCTCTGCCTTGCATTTATTCACAGCCATATTCATGATTGGTCTCCGCGGCATGTCAATTAACTTTGAACATGCCCCCTCTTCGCGCGCACACCAAATCCCGCAACGGGTGCGATCAATGCAGAAGCAGGCGGGTCAAATGTGACGAGCAGGGTCCACCATGCTCGAACTGCACGACCCGCGAGTTAAAATGCACTTATTTGAAAGTCGCCGCCGCCCGTCGCGTTACAACACATCTTACCCCACCCAGCTCAGCATCCGATGTGCCGCGTTCTCTAGATGGCCATGGTTCGCCCGTAGCAGCGATACCCGGCCCAGCCGTTACCACAACAATCCCAGTCCCAGCATCAGCCCAAACAAATTCCTTCGGCATCGACAACCTAGAATTAATGCACAAGTACTCAACAGAGACGTACAAAAGCCTCTGTATCAGCGACTCAGAAATAATAATCTGGCAAATAACCGTCCCAACACTCGCCTTCAAACATGATTACCTGATGAGCGGCATCTTGGCGCTAGCCTCAATGCACATCGCAACAACATGCGAGCCATTAGAAGCAGCACCCATGTACTACGAAACAGGACTCCAGTACTACAACCGCAGTCTGACGCCATTCCGAAACGCGATCGATAATATCTCGCCGCAGAACTGCAACGCGGTATTTGCGCACTCGATAGTTATGATCGCGATCAGTATCGCGTCGCCCCGACTAACCGTCACGAAAGATGAGTGCGCCAGTATCACAGAAAACATCGTGATACTGTTCGAGCTGCTGCAGGGCGTGAAGAAGATCATGCAAGTCAGCAAGTCGTGGATTAAGCTCGAGTTATTCTCGCGGGGCGAGTTTTGGAAGCAGACGCCTACAGAACTTGATCCCGATACGGAAGCTGCGTTGACGCATCTGGCGGCGTTGAATGACCAGGTTATGATTGGGATTTACTCGGAGCAGCATCGCATTAATAAAACCGTCATTGCGCACTTGAGGCATTGTTATGCTAAGTTTTTGCGCGGGGCAGATCCGGCGCCGGTTCTTGCTTGGCTTGCGGCTGTTGACAAGGACTTTGTTGATAGTCTCCGGTGTCGGCAGCCGTTTTCGTTGCTGATTCTTATGTATTGGGGGGTGTTGTTGAAAGAGCTTGATGGGCATCGGTGGTGGGCGCGGGATTCGGGTAGAGCGCTGGTTTCGGAGTTGTTTGAAGCTTTGAAATCCGGGGATCCGAGATGGGAGAGAGCTCTTGCCTGGGTGCAGCGGAAGATGGCACTTTGAGAATTGGAAGGGTAACTGGGGTCAGTCGGGTTGGGACTAATAGATTGTACATATAGCATTTTTGAAGCGATTCACACAAATACACCATTTCTTTCCGTCGAGACTGAGAATTGCCGCCAACGAAGGTGCGTGTCAACAGCGGACGTCCTTCTCAAGGGCCAATCCCAGATGATCAATATTGTCTCATAGGAGCGGGATCTCTACGCCGACTACCCGGCTAGACCATGCGGGTGACGCACTAACAAGACGGGCGGGCCCTCACTGCAGAAGAAGCCGCTCAACCATACTACAAATGGCATGGCACAGATGAAGATTACACAGCCCCGTCAGTCATAGCACCAATACACCCATGGATGGCATCTATCAACGGTATGTGGGGCGGGTTGGCGGCGACTTGTCTCATCTATACAAGTATGCCGCTAGACCAGCGGCATACTCTGCTTTCCCTAGATCAACAACGCAATTCAGAAAGTCGAAGGATCTACTGGCGGGGACAATTTACAGTGCTGCAGGCCACGCTATGGCCGCTAATGCCACACGATATGCACGGTGAAACGAAAGGGGCTCTAGCGGGCCGTGCAGCTGCAGAATGCGGCTGACGACGGGACCTCCTAATTCTAACCAATATTTACCTTCTCGATTGTGATGCAACTGGCGGTGAATAATTGGCCAGTTCAGTCAATTAGAGCAAAGATTACCTGATGGTTTGAGTATTTATCCAATATAGAGACAATATAGGGCTCTTCCCCGCAATCTTTTTCTCCAAGGTCCGTGTCTAAGCCTCACTAGGTTTCACTAGATGGACGCTTTTTAGTCTCTTTTCATCCTTTCTAGCGTATTTTAGTGTGCTTTAGTGTGTAGTAGTATGTTTTAGACTCTGTTAGTATAAAAGCTAACCCCCGCAGCTGGTCCAACCCGAGTTTCCACGGGTCATACCCACTACCTACGTATGTATGTATGCATGCATTACCCCACTCATGCTATTTAACTCGTAGATCTCTTCAATCTCATCCTTTCAATTCAAGCAATCTAAAAAATCATACAATGGCCGAAAATCCAACCTGCACAGTCGAAGAATTCACCCGCACCACATTCGACTATGTCATCTGTGGCGGCGGAACTGCAGGACTGGCTCTTGCAGCACGCCTCACCGAAAATACCGCTATAACCGTTGGCGTCATTGAGGCCGGCAAGTATCGCATTGGAGATCCGCTAGTCGATACTCCTACGGCGTTCCCGCAGATGTTCGAGAATCCCGAGTATGATTGGTGTGTGTATACGGTGCCGCAGGTAGGTTTATTTTGTATTGAATCAATTCAACTGCCTTTGATTCGTCAACTTATCTCCCGGGTTTATAGAAAGGCAACCGCGGCTTGTCTCACCATGTCCCGCGGGGAAAGCTCCTCGGTGGATCTAGCGGCATCAATTATATGATGTATGTGCGAGGATCGACGCAGGATTACAATGACTGGGCCGAGCTGGTAGAGGGTGATGGCTGGTCTGGGGAGCATATGCAGCAATATATGCGGAAGCATCAGGTACAATCTCACCATATGCATTTTCCAATCCAGTTCGTTTCCAGTTGAAAATCTGACAATATGAACAGACTCTCGAGCCAATCGACCCGGCCATCACCGATCGCTCCACAATGCCACTCGTAGGCGAGTTCCACGGCCTGAACGGGCCCATCCGTACCAGCTTCAATGATTTAATTATGCCAGTGGAGAATGACGTTATCAAAGCCTGCGAGGAGGTGACCGGCATCGCAAACAAGCCCACCGACCCATGGAGCGGGGACCACATCGGCTTCTATCACACTCTCGGTGCAGTCGTTCGAACCGGCCCGGACAAGGGAAAGCGTAGCTACTCCGCACGAGGATATTATGAAGCGAACCGTGCCACTCGCCCAAAATTCAAAGTCCTCTGTGAAGCCCTCGTCAACCGCGTCGTGCTAGACGGCAACAAAGCCACCGGCGTAAGCTTCACACACGCTGGAGTCGAGTACCAAGTCTCCGCACGGCGCGAGATAATCGTCAGCAGCGGCACAATTCAAAGTCCCCAGATCCTCGAGCTATCTGGAATCGGCGACCCGGAGGTTCTCAAAGCCGCCGGCGTTGAGTGCAAGGTCGCCAACAGCGGCGTCGGTGCAAATGTCCTAGACCACGCCCTCACCCTCTACATCGCGGAAGTCCAGCCCGGTGTTCTCACACAAGACACCCTGCACCAAGTGCCCGAGGCAATGGAAGCTGCCGCCAAGCAGTATGCCGAAACCAGCGGCGGACCACTCAGCTCTGTCTGTAACATGCAGGGTTTCTTTCCGGCAAAGAAAATCCTCTCTGAAACAGAGCTGGAAGAGATCATCCAGAGCATTCGTGATGTCAAACCGAACACCGCGTTCCACGCGAAACAGCTCGCACAGATTATCGCGAACCTCGAGAGCGACCACTCTGCCAATATGCAAATTGTCACCGTGCCAGGTTCCATGAACCCGGATGGTATAGGTCATCAGAGCAAGATCATTCAACCGCGAAAGCCTGATGAGCCGGGTGGTTTGACCTTCGGGCTTTGTATTCAGTACCCGGTCTCTAGAGGGACTATCCATATTGAGAGTGCAGGTGAGTTATGGCCAAACACAAATCCCCTCCACGTCCTATCTACTCTGATATACTAATGAATCTAGACCCAACCAAACACCCCATCATCAATCCCAACTACGGTGGCCACCCAGCTGACATCTCCCTCCTAGCGGCGATGCTACGCTGGAGTGATAAAGTCATGGAATCAAAGCACCTGAATCCTTCGATCCTGCACCGCGCGTACCCGGACCCCAGTGTCAACTTGCAGAACCTGGATGAAGCCCGAGAGGCAGTGCATGACATCGTTGCGGGTGAGTACCATATCAGCGGATCTGTTGCTATGGGCGATGCGTTGGATAGTAGACTGAGGGTGAAGGGTGTTGAGGGACTGCGTGTTGCGGATGCATCAGTATTCCCCAATAATGTTTCGGGTAATATTGTTAGTAGCGTTTACGCTATTGCGGAGAAGGCAGCGGATATGATTCGTGAGGATTGGGATCTTAGGACTGCGAAGACTATGATGTAGGCTTATTTTGGGATTCGTTCCACGCAACAATAATATTTTATACTTGAATGAGATTGATTCTGTCGACCCTTGACCAAAAGCGGAGTGATTAATGCACTGAAACCAAAGTAAAAAAACACTTAAGGAATACTTGAGATAACCCCATCATTCACCCGCAAATTACGAGTACGACTACGTCGCACACTATCCTCCATCCATAGCCGTAGCCCCATATCAGGACAAAGCGTACCTTGCATCGTAAGATCCTCATACCTAGGCTCCGTAACCCGTCTCTTTCGAACCTTCCTTTCAACAAATTCACGCACATTCTCCTTCTTCGGCAGGTCCTCAAAATCACATCCCTCCAAAAGAGCTACCGCCTCTTCAAAGATCTGTTCCCGCGCCAAATCAAGATCACTCTGTTCAGCACGAACCCCCGTTTCAAGCAACAGCTTCAAAACACCCAAATGTCCAAACCTCACCGCAAACCCAATAGTACTATATCGCGGAGTCTGAAAAGTCAACAGAACCACATCATGTGTTAAATGCGGGTTCGCCCCCATCTCAATTAACAAAGCCACCATCTCAGTCTGTCCTTTCATAACAGCCGCAAATAACGCCCCCTGCCAACACATCCCAACCTCCAATCCCGCCTCAACAAACACCCTCAATAACCTCTGATTATTCTGCTCCGCAATAACACACAACGCCGCATCATCTGTAAGCCGCATCCCAGCCCCAAGTAACATCTCCACAACCTCCGGCTGGTTCGTCCGAATCGCGCACTCTAGCGGTGTTGGTATCTCGTACATTCCGGGACAAGCACCAGCCTCTAATAAAAAAGGTATGATATCAGCCCAGCTTGCAGCAACAGCTGCTCCAAGAGCGGAAAGGTAGGACTGAAGGGTATTTGCGGGTTCTAGCGGAGCCTTATACTGAAGGAGCAATTTTGCTGCCTCGAGACTATGCGCCGGGATCGCGCCTTCGCGGAGTGCATCGCGTAGCTGGGTCGGATCGCATGCTTGGCCCGGTCTTTTCTCGGATAGTAGACAGGCGAGGGTTTCTACGTGTGGGCCGCTGGTTGCGAGCGCGATGGCATTCCCCTCTATCGGGTTGGTGGGGTTGTGGCTTGAGTTGAGGGTGCTTATTCTGGCGCCTGCGTTCAGCATTTTTTGGGTTAGGGCTGTGTGGCCGTGTTTGGCGGCCCAGAGGAGGGCGCTTTGGTTGTGGTTTTGGATGTTGGTTTTGTATAGGTAGAGTTGGAGGGCTGTGTGTGTGCGTTTTGTTGTTTGGACGAGGGCGCTCAGGTCCTTTTGGCTGGAGAGGGATTCGGCGATTGAGAGCAGGAGTTCGGTTGGTAATGAGGTTAATTGGGACATGGTGTATCTGTATCCAAGTTGTGGGGGGGTGTTTTGAGGCTTATTTTGGAGGTTGGGTGGATATGATGGGAGATCACCCTTTAACGTCTTTAGCGCTTAGCGCTGTTGCAGCTAGTGGCTTGAGGTATTGGGGGCGGTTTATTACACAACGGGGTTTAGGGATTTGGTATATTTCGGGGACTCTAGGTTAAATCATTTCAGTCCTTTTCTAGGAGAACCGGTTGAAACAGCAAATAATATTCGCGAGTTCATAGGTTCTCTCGTGTATTTAGCCTATATGAGGACTATGAGCTGATTAGAACGACGAAGTTTGGACGTACACATAGGAGGATAGTCTATTTTCACAACCCCATCCGTCCAATCCAGACTGACAATTACTGTATGAGGCACTTTGGTAGGGTTGAGTATCAACAGTGAACTCCGGGGTTATAAGGATCTCTAGGAACTATTGTAAGTCCATATGGTCCATTTACCTTATATTTCTCTCATTTTCCGACTGTCTTTGTTGCCTTCTTGTATATATGCTCTGAACATATATGCATAAACATGAGCAGCATAAACACATAAATTTTATGTTTCCCACAGGCGGAAGTAGCCGCAGGTCTATAGCAGCTCAGATGCGTTATAATACTAAAAGTGGGCCTAGATATTCTAGACCTTGAATTCTCCGGTCTAGTGGAAATCGGGCTTCGTTTCTTAGTTTCTAACCCTTCTGACCCATTTTTCCCGGCGCGATATCGGGAAAGATATGTCATATGATATAAGCATCTTGGGGAAGATGTAATGTCGAGTTATATTTTATATGTCAAGTTTACTAAATCGGAGGATATTCGGATGGTATATAGGTGTGCTAATAGCAATTCGTTGGTTAATTTGGAGGAGTCATAGGTCTAAAGTTTGGAATGCCGTACCCCATTTCTCGGCGCATTGACCTTTGCCGCCGTATAGGAGTGAGACATACGAAAGAAGTGGAATTGTTAAGTACATGTACTCCGTTCTCCGTACGGAGTAGTGGTTTTTTTTTTTTCCAGGATCATCGGGCCTTTTCTCGGAGTCCGAGGTTGCATACTCCGTACAAGCATCAATAAAGACCAGTAGATTTTTCCGTCGAACTTCCAAGCATTTTCTGTTGATTGAAATTTAGCTAAGCTTTATGAATAATATAATGTGTTAACTTATAAACTTATAAACTTGTAGAATACGAAATAAGATCTAACCTGTAAGGACCCGTGGGACCCACGCATATACTTAGTCACCTGATTCTCTCATCAAATCGTAGGAGCACGTGCAACAGAGCTGTTTCCCGCTAGTCCTAGGACGGAACAAGACATTTGGGGGGGGGGGGGGGGGGGGGNGGGGGGGGCGTGGTCTTGACTCTTGAAGCCTCTCGCTTCTTTAGTTTGCTTTTCTCTTCGCCAGACTCTGTCAATTGAGTTCGGAGTTTTCTTCTGTTACTTCTTTCCTTCCGACCTCTCCCAATAATCTCACCTCTTCACATTCGACAATGTCTAGCCAACCTCTCCTTCAAACCGCTCCGGGTAAGTTCGACAACACCTCCACTCACAGCAGCTCAATAGCTCAGCAGGAGAGACAATTCCACCCGGACTCCCTCCCATCAGTGTGGTATTGGTTGTTGCGCGATTGTTTTGCTTCCCTTGAGCTGTGGACGCCGATCAACACTGCGATAACCTCCGCACACCAAGAGAAGCAGAACGATCGCACTCCCCCATCTCATATCATACCACAACCACCCTCCAACCACTCCAATCTTCCCCGAACCCAGCTAACACCCTCCAGGCAAGCGAATCGCCCTCCCAACCCGAGTCGAGCCCAAAGTCTTCTTCGCAAACGAGCGCACCTTCCTCTCATGGTTGAACTTCACCGTCATCCTGGGCGGCCTAGCCGTCGGTCTCCTCAATTTCGGCGATCGTATCGGTCGCATCTCCGCAGCCCTCTTCACCGTCATCGCCATGGGCGCAATGATCTATGCCCTAGTGACATTCCACTGGCGGGCGCAGAGTATCCGTCGGCGCGGACAGAGCGGTATCGATGATCGATTCGGTCCTACTATCCTCGCCATTGCCCTGCTCGCCGCTGTCGTTGTTAACTTCATCTTGCGGATTCGGGATGGGCAGATGAACTAGGGCGAGTCTGGATAGTGGATACGATTGTTTTTTTATGGCGATTTTGGATTGGAGATTCGATCTCTCCCGTTTGGCCCGTTTGGCCATCTGAATGCTATACCATTGATTACGCTGGCCTGTTCTTTCTCGTTTGTTCTCTGTTGATATCGACAGCTTTGTCTGTTCTTGTGTATTTATTTGGCGCAAGTTGGTCTGCTTTATGCTTATGAGGCCAGAATGCCTTTCACGTTCACATTCTCGAGTCGAGCGTCTGTCTTTTCTTTTCATATTGCAATTGGCGTCTTTGGGATTGTGCTTGTCTAATCAAAAAAAGAATGAACGATTTGAACTCGAATTGAATTGAATCGCGTCATCTGCCTATACACACTCCCTCGATCTCACGGGCATCTATCGTCACAACCTGCCCATCAACACGTCCCTGGATAAACCTGACAAAGTTCGAGTAGTTCTGCTTAGTCCTTTACCAGCAAAGGCAGCATTACTAGGCAACTTTGCCATCCAGGATGTAATATTGAGCTGACTGCTATCAAACCCACTCGAAGCGCAAGCACATTGGTTATCATTACCAGCTTCCGAGCCCAAGACCTAGCTCACAAAAATAACAGTAGGAAGCTTTGTATCCATAACCCTTCGATCCCCTCGCATCGACACAAATAGTCGCCCCGATATTCGCGCACTAGAAGTAATGACAACCCGCATCAAACGCAATATTCCTTCCGGCTCAAAAACCCAACTACCAGGCTGTCTCAATGTTATCTTTTACTCGGGCGATTGAGCTAGTATAATGTGGCTTTATAAAGCGCATGAGTAAATATATCAATTTTAGGTTGGTTGGTTGGTTGATCGGTGATCGATGAGGATGCTGTTGTTATATCTTGTGGTTTCTAGGGCGCAAAGAAATGTTGGTGTTGGAGGCAGCGAGTGTTAGGAGGATGGTGCGTGTTAGAGCGGTTATCAGCCCTCAAAGAGAGGAGAAATAGTTAACAATACCCGATTTGTTTCCGGTTCAGAAAAAGCATTGTTTTGATTGGAATGTTAAACTTGGGGACCGGGTACCGATCCGTTCAAGGGATTTGCAGCTGGTTACTCTGTACAAAGTATATGTATATGTCTAGATAGTAGTACGGGGTACTTTGTATGTTAATAGACTATCTGGAGTAAGTCCCACCCGTTTATAGTGTATACAACACAATAGTCTACCTAAGTGCTTTGTCCTCTGCCCCTTCTTGGCTTTCCCATTCTAAGGTGTCAATATACAATATTGTACAACATCACAAGATTTACACACCTTGGGTGTGCCCAGGCGGGGCGTGGAATATTTCTTGGTTCATTTATTTCAATGCAATGCAACTACGAGGTAGAGTAACCATGTAGTAACTAATGTCATAAAGTAAAGTATCTCTCTCGGCCACCATGCCATGATGTCTCACCAAACATAGAAATGATGAATACTCCTTTGTTCTTCTTTACACCAATCTATTCTCTCCATATCAGGTCCAAAGAATGGAGTGTATATTCTCAAATATCACGATATTCTCCATCTTCACTAAGTCCTACAGCTCATGAGACGACTCACCAACAGACAGCGGGCCTTTCTTGACCATGATAGTGAGGACTTCATATAGTATATCAGCAGCAGCCCTGTAGAATAGTCAGTCTTTGCATTGTGTGTCATCTTCAGAAGAACCTTACATCGTGGACAACTCTGCATTGGTATCGTAAGCCGGTGCGACCTCCACGATATCCGCACCAATAAAGTTCAGCCCATCAAGACCACGAATTATCGTCCGCAACTCGCGCGTAGACCAGCCACCAGTCTCTGGTGTGCCAGTAGCCGGCGCAACTGTGGTATATACTTAGCAACAGGGCGAACATAAATCCCAACTCAAGACTCACAAGCAGGATCCAAAGTGTCAATATCAATAGAAAGATAAACCGGGTTATCGGTCCCAACACGGTCGCGAATTTTCTTGATAATACCATCCGTTCCTAAAGATTCCACTCGTAAGCACGAAATCAACACAAGTAGCAAAATACCATACCAATAACATCAATTTCCCTCGCCTCAACAATCTCAAATCCGCAATACCCATCATTGTCATAATCCGAAGGACCGGACAACGTCGTCCGAATACCGGCATGGATATTCGTATCATTCTTCAACAAGCCCTCCATAGCAGCATGGTAAAAGTATGTACCGTGGTTAATAGCAGCAACCTGACTAGGCGAGCCACCAAAGACCTTCGGCTTCCACGAGTCCCTAATCAAATCAGCCATGCACATACTAGCGTTCAAGAAAAGAAACGTCCTCACAAATGACTGTCGAAATGAATAACCGTCACAGGCCCATAAGCCTTATTAATACTCCGCAGCAGGGGCAGTGTGATAGTATGATCACCACCAAGGGTAATGACACGAGGAAGGGTCTTTCCAGCGCGCGAAAGACCCAGTTTATCCGCGTCAGTGTACGGTTCGCGCATCAGAATACTATTGTGTCCTTCTTCGATTTGTTTAATTGCCCAGGAGTTGTCGTATCTGTAGCGAGGTCAGCTTTGTCGAGATTTATTCACACTAGTGCTGTTATTTCGGTGCAAACGTACGAGGTAACAGGTACATCCCCACAATCTAAAATCCGCATGTCGCTTGTAAATGGGTTCGCTTGCAAGGGAACATTGTAGCCACCACTAGATCCCAATTGAATTGTGTAAGCCTTGTACTCGTACCGTGGTTTTAAACATCGCTGCGAGGTAGGGCTGGTACGTACTAGAGATTAAGGCGACGAGAACCTTGTCTGATGCCGCTGGGCCCGAATCGCGCGCCAGGTCTGTAAGAGGTTCCGGTGTCGAAGGGGGCACC